CTCCTTGATCGAAATATCGTTGCCTTCTTGTGCTCCTGTCGGGTTTCGCAATGAGCCGGTCGCGTATTTCCCCGAGTATCCTTTCTCAATGGTCTTCTTGGCCGTGCCTCCAAACAGTCTCGGCATCGAATAGACAGCAATGTTAGCTCGTCACATTACTCAAATAGAGAGGTGCTTGAGTGGTCAGCCTCGGTCGAACGAACACAGTTTATGCCATCGGAGGATCGGGCTGAATTAGCAGTTCTTACATGACTCGGATCCCTCGGTAGCTTGTTTGTTTGTTTGGACTACATCGATTATTCTCAGTCCCCAAGGAATCGCAATTTCCCCCATGTAGCATGATGTTGGCGGTAAGGCACACCTGTGACAGGATTGATGTGTGGTCTACGAATGGTCAATGGCAAATCCAATGGCTCGCCGGTGTAGTCCCTGGGCGTGAATCGACTGTGTATCGGCTCCGGAGTTGCAAGACCCGACTGGGTGCGCACCAAGCCGGCCCGGGTAGCCACGTGGGGTGCCTGTCGGCATCATCAACAGAAACCAGCCTTGTCTCGCTAGAACTTCATGGATATCAAACAGGTCCTTATGGATTGGACTTGGATTCGAGGTTCCAGTGACGGGCTTTTGCCAGTCGGCAAAGACATAAGTTATAATGCAGATGGCGGAGGGGAGAATGTCTAAAATAGGTTCACAAGGTGCCCTTGTGAAAGTTCTCGACCTTCTTGTTTAAATGTCTTGGGTACCTATGCGTGAAGTTTCACTGCTTACCTACTGTTACTGTTTAACACTTCTAGTACTTGGAGTTGTTTTCCATGATGGAGGCTGCCGCCAAGCATCGGGTAGGAAGCCACCCGCACTCAATTACCAGTAATCGAGTGGGGAACGTTGCTCAGGGAAATAGGACCTCTACCGAAATGCGATGATGAATACAAGTTTAAATATAGAACCCACACTAGTCCCAAAAATGCCAAAGTGGTAAATTTTACGACTTAATGCCGAAAGTCGTAAAATTTACGACTTCACCGTTTCGCACTGCAATTTTAACCCCCCCCGGGAGCATGGAGGAAATTGTGATAAGAACCCACACTAGTCCTAAAAATGTCAAAGTGGTAAATTTTACGACTTCAATGCCGAAAGTCGTAAAATTTACGACTTCACCGTTTCGCACTGCAATTTTAACCCCCCCCCCGGGAGGATGGAGGAAATTGTGATAAGAACCCACTGAGAAGCTTCAACGTCCTTCAGCCACCTTAGGTATGATGAGTGTCATTATTCCCATATACGATATAAATCGTTGGGAGACATGACAGTTTCTGCAGTTCTTTGCTGCTAGATACTTTGAATTTGGGGTGGGGTCTGCTATTATCTGGCATTCCAAAACCGAAGTCTCTTTTGAACGTATTCATCGCTCAAGATTCGTGCATATGCGACAGCCTCTGCTCTTGGGCCGAAATAGAAACTTTGCACGGAATGATTTAGTGGAATGAACAAATTTATCCATAACATAATTGCTTGATTCCCAAAATCAATGCCACTTTAGATTCTAAATCATCACCGCCGTAAGTAACCTGCTTGACACATCCATCTGCTCCTTGTTAACATTCGCAACTCTTTCTCGATCAAATCTCTTTGACGTTGCTTCAAATCCCCCCCGGGAAAAAATAGCTTTCCTAGACGGTGCTATTCGCCCTGAAAGTTGTCCACTGCTCCTGCATTCGCTTGAGCTGGCCAGGAGTAAACTCGTTCCAGCAATTGCTGCAAAATACGTCAGTAGGATGTTTAACTTGTCAACGCGTCCTCAGTTGGCGAGACTTACTCTGCTTGATAATTCATAAAGTTGTAGAGAGGATCCAGGCCTGGCAAGTCGGGGCACGTATCCTGACCGACCGTGCAGTTCCACGAAGGCGTAGCCTGCGCGGGCGTATCATCGACATAATCCGTCCCCTGACACCCTCCTTGGAACGTGTGCGGCAGGCCGAACCAGTGTCCGACTTCGTGGACCGCCATGTATCCGCGATCATTTCCCGTGGGTGAGTCGGCGCCGGGAACCGTGCTGACGTCGATCTGGCATCCGTCCAAGGTGAACGTCTCGGACCCGGGCACCGCGTCTGCCTCGGGGTAGAAGCAGCGGCCCAGGGTCGGGTAGATGCTTTGCACGTAAAGGTTGAGCGTCTGGTAGTTGCCCTGACGAAGCGCGGATTTCATGGCGAGCTCGTCGGTTAGGTTGGTGACGGTCGACCAGCTCGCGTTTGCGGTGCGCGACGTGCCGCCTAGTTTCATGGTGATACCGTATCTGCTATACACATCATGCAGAACCTGGAACTGTTCTTCGAGCGTGGCTTGCTGGAATACTTGGTTAGTTTTGACATCCGTGGTCGGTTTTGCAGCTTTGAAGGCGGCGGCGGTTACACTTAAGAGAGCTGTTTCATTCGGAGCGATTGAATGGAGATAGACGGTAACGGAAATGTTGGCGGCGAGGAGGCTGCCGCCCCCGTGACTCAAATCTCTGCCGGTGTGCGAACTGGCGATTTGCGCGTCGCTGGGATTCGGGGTTCCGCAGAACGAAGTCAGTGATTGCAGGGATGCCTGTACCACTGAAGCACCAAGGAGCAAAGAGAATAGCATCGTGACGCTATGCTTGGCGGGTTTTCCCCCGGTTAAGACTGTACCAAGGATTCAAGCTGGCAAAGGCAGAATCTTTCAGCAACGGTCGATGTTTCTGCTGAAATTGACTAAATATTGCGTAGGATCCGGGGTAATAGGGGGGATAAGGAAGGGTAGGCGCGTAGCCACTTTGCCAAGGGGTTCAACTACTTCGTATGCTCCGCAAGATAGATTGTGGAGTGGTTAATTGGCACCCCGTAGCAAGGATTGTTTATTGGGAAGGTGGCAAGAAATGAAACCGAATTGGATAGCTTGACGAAGATGATGTGATCAGTACACTTCCCATAATAAGTTATCGACACGGTACAATCAGCTGTGCTGCTAGTCCTTTTTATGCATTCATGATCGCCTTCAAGCCGTCTATTGCTGATCCTAGCCTTTGCGAGTATTTGCATGGATCACCATCAAGCGCGACAAGGGATGAACTCGTTGCGATCTAAACCCTTCATCAACTACATGCAGGTTGATGGGGCCGGTCGTTCCACAATTTGAAGAGACAACCAACCCACGTTCATTGCATAGACATCTTGGAATCTAAGCGGCGTTGTGTAGTTGGCTTATATTCAGGATATCGAAAGATACTGCTCTGCTCTACATCTTCAACACGGGATTGACCTGATGAGGGATGAATAGCAGAAAGAACCTTCGACGCAACCAATGGATATCTTACCTTTCTGCTCGCTGCATTGACTAAATTCAATTAGTCGTCAATCCAGTTCGGGAGGCATACAGTGGCGGCATGACACAAAGCAGGCTGGGGGCAATGAGAGCGTCGTCCGGCGACTACAAAAACATCCTGAACTGAACGTCTTTCTTACACTGGCCACTTATTTGTTAATAGTTTCAGGCTCCATTAAGATATTGTACACTACTGGAAAGCTAGGAACCAATTCGGGTTGAAGTCGATTTCGTACGGGAATAAGACCGGGCTGAAGATGAAATTCTGGTTGTAAGCCCACCAACCTGAACTTCGTCAGAATGCAGCAGCTACGTGTGATGCGCACAATCTTTGAGTCGTGGTGACGAAGTGGTTATTGTCCTATTGCTGTGAAGGAATTCGGATTCCAGCTTAGAAAACCCCATGTTCGAGATTTCCTCTCCAGCATTGGGCTACTTCACGCAGGTTAAACGATATTGGTGGTCACGGAAACTGATCGTGTCTTAGAGTGACGCCTCACTACTTCGCTTCAAGGCAGGGTGTGCAAGGATGAGAATCCCACAGCCCTCAACAGCCTGCATCTCGTCATCGTCCAGCCTGATCCCGTTTCTTCTTTCTTTTAACCTCACTCTTACAAAAAGTCTGGATTTTTCGATATGATTACCTGGGACGAGGATATCAATTTCGCGAGCGCCTTGCTTCTGCATAGTTGTCTGACTGTCCTCATCAAAGAAACTCTCAACGTCCTCACGGTCACCATCAGGCTGGCGCCCTTCCGTCGCAACTTTGGACATGGGACCTCAAATTCCCGATCCGTTCTCCTAGATGGCTATACCTCGATCCTCTCCAATGACAACGATGGCGACCTCGCCGAACTATACTTCACCAACACGGGCCTGCTTTTGCTGAGCGCGTCCCTCGCCTCCGCCATCGCCATGAACCTGTTCCTTTCCGACACCGTTCTCAACGTTTTCGTCGCCTGCACGTTTGGCTTTTGCTTCGTGGTGTCCATCTTCTCGTGCCGTCGAAGCTGGTTGCGGTTCATCCTCGCGCTGCGGCGAGCGGGTCGGTTTGTATGGTCTGACACGCCGTTTGTCAACTTCTTCTCCCTCATTTATGTCGCTGTGGTGCTGAAGAACTCGACGACCATGAGGCTGAAGGACTATGTGACGCTGAGGAGCATTGCCATCATTGAGTTGGTGTTTATGAAAGCGTATATTGCGGCGGCTAGTATGGATCGACAAGTCGAGCTCTTGCGTTCTCTGCACAAGTCACGCCTTGTGCTTTTCCAGGGAAAGGTATGGACTAGTTTCCTTCTATATATGTGTCGTTGAGCAGTTCTAGAAAGAGATTCACTAGTTCTGGAAAACCTTGAACATCTTATGGAAAGTCTCCTGCTGACACGGCTTCAACAGAAACTTGAGGTCGAGACTACCGAGCCTCTCCGGCTCGAGAGAAGCTCAATCGTTCCCTTTACCACAGCCCAAAGAATGTCGGTGATGCTCATCAAGACGACCGTTGGACACGACTTTGGATCAGTCAGAGGTTCGAAGGGCCCCGGCAGCATTCCGGTACCACCTGCCGGCTTCTTCGCGAACGATGATGCTGGCTCCGGAGACTGGCGAATCTATCGTGTACGGGACGACATTATGCTGATTGCCGATAGCCTGTGTAGCACAGATCCGAAAGAGCGGTGGAAACGGTTGATCAAAAACATGCATGGCATTTTCCTCAAGCAGTTGAAGAAAGTGCGGGTCGTTTACCTGCTGAAAGTGGGTGGTAAGAATTTTGTAGGCGATTCCTGCGGGAGTGAAGTTTCATTGTGGGTGTCGAATGTGAATCTCGTCACTGGAGTTAGCAGTTCTGTTTTGGAGGTATACAGGCCTGTTGCAGATGAAAGAATCGAGCCAGGTCGAGTTTTATAAGTCGCGGCTGTCATTGGAAGTAAGCTTCGTTCCAATAATTTCCTCTTGTTTGCGTTTGTAAGCTGTACCGGACTGTAAACATTTAACTTGGTACGTTGCGTCTTGAGCCGAACTGGATGAAGGCTTACATCCACTCATTATCAAAAAAAAATACGACGTGGAAACAAGAAAGTTTGTTAAAGTCGCCAATTATAGCTCAATGGCTATGCCCCAACGAGTATAAACTCTAACTAGGATTCTGAATCATGAATAAATTGAGTGGACCAGGTCTCTAAACACAAAGTCGTCGGTACTTTCCGAGCTGCAATTCTCTTATTGATGCTTGCCAAGTCCTTTTTCACCGCAATATTTAAGGACCTCTGAGTAAGTACCTCAGTAGGTAGTCGGTCAAGCTCGACAGGGTCAACGTCATCTGAGCTTCCTTTAGCCTTGCAAGACTTCAGCATGCAAATCAACAAACTCCTCGTTGCTGTAATGCTCGGTCTTACAACCACCGCTCTGGTAAGGCGCCATCTTCGCGATCCCCTTATGAGTCATTCACTAATGCACATGATTAATTTTTCATAGGCTCAACAGGGTAAATGCAATGCCATAGGCAAATGCCAAGTAATCAGGAGCCGCGTCCAACTCTCCTGTTTATTGGGAAGCTGCTTGGGAAAGATGGGACAAAGATGCACGAAAAATGGCCCTAGGCTTTTAAGTGTGGCTCACTGCCCTTAATAAATCATCAAGTCGGTGTTGAGGTCATCACTATGAGGTGCTACTAGTGCACACACTCTGGGGAAAGTCATGTCTGCGACTCTGTGTCGAGGATCAAGGAGCTACTACCAAACGCTAGCTTCTGTGGGTCTCTTTGCAGTGCCTCACTAGGAAGTTAATATTAGATCAAGGGTTTACTTGAAAGCTTTGCATAGGCAGTCAGATGGACTGTTAAAATGTTCTCAACGCGCCTGTCTGAATCGGCACTTTGGCTGTTGCTTATGTCGTTACTTTTGCATTTGGAGTCGCTACTCTCTACACTTACGTCGACCACGCATTGGAAACACAAGGACACAACATGCCACGTTGCCAATATGCAGGATTGGCCATCTCAACTGCATGCTTCCCCCTTTTTTGGATAGTCTATCTAGACGATTCTTACACCCTCAGTGCCTAAGTTGTGTTCTAGATCATGCTGTCTCACTACTTCACCAGATATGAGATGCTGGAAATAGAGCAGGCAATCGAAGCTGACAAGATTGTATTCACAGAAACTGCTACGGTGCCAGTCGAAAGATTCTTCCAGGTGAGCACGTGGCCGCAGTCTAACAGCCTTCTCACAGTACCCGAAGCGGCAGGCCTCCGTGGCAGGGAGTTCATTAATCCTGAGGGCGACGTGGTCTCCCACGAGTCGCTAAATTTCATTCGTTTGCAGCATCTTTACTTTATCAAGACGGACAAGGGATACATGGCGACGTCTCACGCGCGGCCGGAGATCGGAGAAAAGCTCGTAGCCCTGCTGGTCTGTACGTCGTCCTTGCTGGTCCGCTCAGATCGTTCGTCCACTTCGAAAATTCGACGGTGCAGGATCGTAGGAGCAACGTACACTCACGGCCTGATAGACACGGAGGCCCTGCTCGGCGCCTTACCGGATGGTTGGCGGGTACGCATGGCTAGGGATTCGGGGTTTTTTGATTCCATGCATTTCTTCTCAGTGACCGCGGACGAGGCGACCAAAGAGGATCCAAGACTTGGTGAAGATCTGCCGGACTGGGAGAGGCGCGAGGATGCGAGGACGGGCGATGACCCATGGAATTTTACCCGGTCTCGGAGCAGGAAGACGAAGGAAATAATTGACTCAGATTCTAGGTTGAAGCTCCAGGCTCTAAGTTCACGCAAGTTCGTGTTGAAAGGTATAGCTTAGTGCAAGCATGGTCACAACTTGTGCCAGGACAGTGACCTGTGGGCTATGGGCAAGTCCGATGTTTGTCATACCGGTAGAGTCCTTCTCCTTGTTGACCACTTCAAGATCTCGAAACGTTTAATCTGAATTTTAGGTGCTCATCCAATGTATGTTGATCAGACTCGTGTGATAGTTTGCGCCTTCCATGCTGTCGCCAACACTGAGCGATTGAATCATTGGCCAAGACATGGAAAGAGAGGAAAGATATGTTCGACGATACCTGTAAGTATGCGGCAGTTTGGTATCACGGGCTGTACTCGTCTACCGCTTTCCAGAAGTCAAACTGCTGGGAGCTTGGTGTATGACATTGACGGGGATGGATTGCTTCTGCCATCAGACAGTCTGATTTCTCCTCTAGATGTCTATTTCTTCTGAGGGGGAATAGTGTTTGTGCCTGCAAACTCCGTAGTTCAAAGAATTCCAGCTTACATTTCGCCGCACAGGAAGAACACATCTGCGCATTGTCATCAGAAATAGCTCTCTCAGTGCCCGTAGCATGTGGTACCACTGTTTGCGCATAGGATCAAGTAATCCCAGCGTCAGGACCCACCTCAGAAGATGAGCGGCGGACATAGCTCAGTTGGGAGAGCGTCAGACTGAAGCGGGTCTCGAAAGAGCACTTGAATAACTTCAATCAATCAATCTGAAGGTCGTGTGTTCAATCCACACTGGCCGCATCTTTGCTTTTTGCCCCTCCAACATGCCTTTCCTTGTTGAAAGAACGGATTCACTTACTTCCTTTCCTGACTTATTTATGTATGATAAACCCAAATATTCGGCAGCGAATAAATAGAGTGCTTGGTTGTTCATCTCTTTGTAGATCACGACTTGTTACTCACCCTACTACTTACTCACTTGGGAGCTTTGTTTATGGCAGGCAATGTTTCTTCTGACTGAGTCAATGAGTAAGTAAGTAAGTAGGTAGGTATTGTTACGACGAATATTGTATATAAATCTCGTTGTAAATCTATATATAGAGAGAGAGAGAGAGAGCATTGATTGGTTCTATGACATTTCTTTACACAAACATGTGCTCATTGTCGGACATCGCAGTTTAATTGATTGGCCAAGCTTAAAGTTTAAGAAAAGTTCTTGTTCATTTAGTATCAAATTAGACACCATCCTCCCTCGACTTAACAGCAAACCACCCTCACTCACTCACTCTGCGTGTCGTTTGTCAGCTGCACGTAACACAGTCAAACGCGTAGTACTACAAATGTCCAACAAACATGAGCAGCAAGTGCACATGTTCTCAATTGAATTGGCGATGTCTGTGTGTCTGTAGTGTACCCGTAAATCAGAACCGCAAATCGAATCGGAACGTTCACTTTGCAATGCAGCGCCGCCCGGTCCCCGTCCGAACAACCTAGAATGAAGGAACCCCTATGATCAATCATCAGCCGGCGGCCCCCCGCACTGACCCGCCGAAGCTCCAACTAAGGTCACACCCGACCCCCACGCGCCGGCACGCGAACACCAGCATCACAACCATACCGGCTTCAAAGAGCAAATGTCCCTTCCGATTGCTCGCACCAACAGCACACCATGTCGCGCAGACCGGCAAAAGGAGACTACATTGAGACTGTAGGTGACTCCAATCCTCCAATCCATCCCCACTCCCGACCGACCGCGTGCCAAGACCTTCGACTAACTCCACTGCGACGTACAGGACACGGGCAACAAGGTCGCCCGCAAGGCGACGCTCGTCGGGACGCAGAACATCATGCTGGGCGGCAAGACCGTCATCCAGCCCGAGGTCATGATCCGAGGCGACCTCGCCCGCTCTGCACAGCCCTCTGCCGGCGGCGCCCCGGCCAACAGCACCGCCGTCGCCATCGGCCGATACTGCTTCCTCTCCAGGGGGGCGCTCCTCCGACCGCCGGGACGAATGTACAAAGGGTATGTACATGTCCTTACACCTCGCTGTGCCATTACACCAGGTCACATTTGTGAACCTGCCCACTCTCTCTTCATAACCGCTGACTCTGTCGGTCCACAGGGTCTTCACGTACATGCCCCTCCGCATGGGCGACCACGTCTTCGTCGGCCAAAACGTCGTCATCCAGGCCGCCTCGATCGGCTCCCACATACACATCGGCCGCGACTGCGTCATTGGCGAGTTCGCCATCGTAAAGGACTACGTGCGCATACTCGAGGGCACCGTCGTGCCGCCCAACATGGTCATACCGAGCTTCAGCGTGGTCGCGGGCCAGCCCGCGCGCGTGGTCGGTGAGGTCCCCGAGGGCGGGCACGAGGAGTTTGAGCTGCGCGAGCTATACAAGACGGTCGGTAATAACCCGCAGCCCTTGACTGCGTAGGGTAGTCGGGGCCCAGGTTGAGAGAGCTACGAGACGGCTGTAGTGGTGAAGCTTGCGAGGCATGGCGAGTTGATGGACAGCATGGCGTGTGCTCGTTTGATAGAAATGGAGTTTGGCGCACGTAGGTCGAGCTAAGAGCTCAGATGATACCCCTATTTTTCGAGTAAAGACTTCATATTGCCTCATATCATACTCAGTGTGAAGGGTGCCAAGAGTTCCTCTCTACCACCCACCATGGAACTTTACACTAGTCGGTTTAGACTCCATCGGGGCACCACGTTGCGGAGACTTTCGGTACGATTGTTCTACATTGCTATTGCTGAGACTTGTCGCCCTGTTTTGAGTAATCACCACATCTCTTTTCACAGCCGATCAAGATGCACCCCGACACAACCAGCATTCCCAAGCAGACCACCCCAACGCCGCCAGGTATCCAATTTCCAAGAGGCCTTCAAGGCTCGCCGGGCCAGATGGAGTCGGCCAGCTGCCTCACCAGCTTTAACTTATTAACCATATCCTGGTGCGAGACCGAGTTGCCCAAGTGATGACTCGCAAACCCGCACTGTGGACTGACGCCAATCCTCTTCAACGCCTCCTCGCGCGTCTGTCCGGCGCCCTGGGCGACAAAGTCGGCAGCCTGGTACACGCGCTCCCTCAACTTTTCAATGTCTTCGAGCTCGGGGAACTTGGACGTGATGACGCCCAACACGACGTTCTTATGCGCGGGCAGCTCCCTCAGGGGCCCGAACCCGCCAGCGCGGTCGGTGTCGTACTCGAGGAAGTAGGTGTCGGCGTTGATCTCGTTGAACAGGCGGGATGCGATGCGGTCGTAGCCGCCCTCAGAGAAGTGCCGAGAGTAGGCAAAGTTGCCGCGGCAGAGGTGGATGCCGAGGTGCATGTCGGCGGGGCGCGAGCTGATGGCGTCGTTGTAGAGCGTGATGTAGGACTGCAACAGGGCGTCCGAATCTTCGCCCGCGTCTTTGAAACCCTGGAGCATCTTTTCCGAGCAGAAGTCTGGGGGCAATGAACACCATGTTTAGTCAAACGCGACTTGTGGCATGGAGGATCTGGGATTGAGAAATTGAAGAGACGAGGGTTTTACTCACAAGCCAAGTTGGGGTCGTCGATTGTGACATTGCGTACGCCGTGGTCGTAGAGAACTTCGAGTTCGGTGCGGTACGCCTTTGCGATGTCGGCGAAGTACTCCTCGTCGTTGGCGTAGACGTCCTTGGGATACGCGTGCCCCTTTTGGTACCGGAGGTGATACCACTCGGGCGCGGGCAAGGTCAGCTTAGCCTCCTTGACGCTGTCCGGAGGGATGTTGCTCTTGAGGAACTCCCATTCTCTCAGATAGGTGCTTCCCTTGTGCTTAATCTTGCCAGTGCAGACGATGGACTCGCCAGGCTTATGGTCGCTCTCAACTGCAAGTCGACTCATCAGTCTCCCCATCTGCCGTGCTGGAACTTCTCTGCCCAGGACTTACTGAAAGCCGCAATATCTGGCACGTACATGCGAAAGATATCCCAGCTCGGTGTATCGACCTCCTCAAACCCCTCCAGGCCAGGAAAGAAGTTACCCCAGAACTGGTGACGGCGGTACTCGCCGTCATTGATGGCATGAAAGCCGAGGTCCAGCTGCGTCTTGATGATTTCGCGCACGCCCTCCTCCTCGAGGCGGTTAAGCTCGTCGTCGTCGGCTATCTCGACGGCCTTCTTCCCGTCCAGCGCGACGCGTTTATCGGTCAGAGCCTTGGGCCGCAGGAGCGAGCCCATGTGCTCCGCGCGGAAGGGCGGTCTCTGGTGGTTCTTGGACGTCATGACTTCTTTCTGCATAGACGGAGCGAGGAATTGCATTGTTCACGAGAACACGAAGAAACGACTTCCTGTCCGCGGCGTATATATATATAGACTTTGATACTCGCGACGGGGCGTGGGGTTGGGAACGGGATGGGTCTTCGGCATTGCAAAATCCAAACGACAAGCTAGGTTGAACAGCCATTGAACAAGGTCTCGCGAGTGAGCGTGCCCTCTAGTGTCCGGCCACCCCAAGCAAGCCAATGTCCGCTTCTCGGCCCTGGATCCCCGCCAGGACGATGTCATCCCGTTCCATCATCACCACTTCCCCCAAGCTGCCCAACCTCCAAGATCCCCGCTTTCCCCGCCTTTGTCATAGCTTAGTCGAGGGGGTCTGATCCTCTACTTCTCGACGGCAGATGGGCAGGGCGGCCTCGGATTTGGTAGCATTCGGTGGCCGCTTGAGTAAAGGCCACTCTTTGAAGCTAAGTGATGGAGACTGGCAAGCAGTTTGCAAAAAACCACGCAAACCTTAATAGTGCAGTAGGTATCGTCGAGAGTCCTCGACGCGAAAGAAGGTTTGAAATCATTTTAAAAATTTGATGGTTAATCTCAGCTTTAAAAACATGTCTATTTGAATATTTAAAATGTTAGTGATTATGGGTAGGAAGGTATATTGGTATAGAATGTAGGCTCTTACTAATAGTATTTGTAAAGTATGCGTGTTTCTTTTTTTGCAAACCGCGTGGCTGGCTGTGAGGTTCTTGAGATTGGTCTGCTTCTTCCAGACGCAGCTAAGGCCGTGCGCCGAAGCAGCGCCGCGGTGGAGAGAGGTTGCGAGATTTTTGTTCGAGGAAAAGAAAGTTGCATGTAGCCTGCATTCTATTGTTATTAATATGGGCTCTGCACGACAAATAATCTCCCTGATGTGTAAATGCTGACTGGACGTTTGTGCAGCCCAAGTGCATCATCGCCTGACGCCTTGTCTCCTCCAGCTTGTTCCAATGCCACTCGCGAAAAGGGGTCCACAGTGTCCAAACCAGTCAGCTTTTGGTAGATTAAGTCTTTGATTTCTCTCGTAGATTGGAACCAACTTGGCCAGAGTCACGGCTTCCGCAAGCACCTCTGGCGCCTTTATATGAACCCAGATGGCAGATTGGAAGGTGACAGAAGATGCATAAACGAACGTGGAGGCTTTGAGGTAGATAAGGTAATGGAAGCTGGTTGAAGCTCTTATCGTTATCTTATCTCTGGAGCTCAAGTGGGGTACATTGTGGCGAAGGTGACCGTCCCGGACCTCACGGTGACATGTTGCCGCCCCATCAGGAAACCTACTCGAACCTACATCTCGAACAGTATTTCCATAGCATTACCAATATTCTTCACCTCCATGCCGTTGATCCTGCTCAGTCAGTAATGGAATGATTTCGCGGGCTCAGCTCCAATCATCAGCAGATCATCACCCAATTTCTGATGCGTCAGATTTATCGCTTCATCCGAACTTGAAACTTGCCTGGGTCTGGATATTCCCGTGAAACATCGCGCTCCGGCCCTTGTAGTCGGCCTCTTTCGACGACACAGATACTTGACGGCAATTTCCGACAGTTTTCCTTTCTCCGAAGGAAAATAAAACTCTGCGTCTTTGAATCGATCTTGACGGACTCGGCTACAACGCGAGCGAACATGGCTACCTCGATCAACGATCTCCCAAATGAAATCCTAGGCCAGGTATTCTCCCATTTGGACCGACCTGCGCCTTCAGACTCAAAGCTCCATGATCAACCAAGCTTTATCATGCTGCAAAACCTTTTTTTCGACCGCGATCTCAAGACTACTTCTCTCGTTTGCAAGCGATGGCGAGACGCCGTCCTACCTCTTCTATTCCGCCATGTAGTCTGGACGGTTGATCGATTCGAGCTGCCGCTCATGGAAGAAACGGGAGACCCAGCGTCCGCGATCGACTTCTTATCTTTTCTCAGGTCCAACAGTCTAACCAACTATGTCAACACGCTATCAATGTTTGTCGAGGATGCGATGGGCGGCATATCAGAGGGCACCAGCAGTGCCACGCTCATGGAGACTGGCTTCGCCAACAAAGCCTCTTACAGCGAAGACTACAACTGGCTCTGGAGAACAATCTTTGAACACATCGAACCCACCAGGCTGACCATGATCGCTTCGCCGCGAGTCTTGGCTCAATTGCTTTCGCGCATGCTTTTCCTGGGAGATGCATGGAACTTCTCCATGCCGCAGCATGTTCTGTCACTCTCGCGGAAAGACAAAAGGATAAAGGAGACACAATCCAAGGCGCAAGTGACAGCATCGTCCGGCCATGCTTCTGGTTCTGAACAAGCTTATCAGAAGCGCGTTCCCTGTGATTTGCTCACCATCCGCCCATGGCAGGCTCTGTTACTCAACGAAGGGTCCTCAACGCGCGTCTACAAGACATACGAATTCTACCTCAAACGGCCACCATCCATTCTCGGCGCTCTGCTGGGAGCGGAAGAGTTCCCCAACGACGAGTCAATGATCTCACCCTCGATTCGGGACCTCTCCTACGTCGGCATCTTCCCACTATCGAGCCACTTCAACACCCTCGTCCAGAACATCCCCCACCTTGACCGCCTCTTCGTTCAGCTCGTGCCCCGAAATGACATCCTCCAGGACACGGACGAGATGCGCAACGTCGACCTCGCCGATCTCTGGATGGAGCGGAACACGGCCTACTCGATGCTCTTCCGCGAGCTCTTCGACCCGGACCCGGGTAGCCCCTGGCTCGACCTCCGCGTCTTTGAGAGTGGCGACGCAGCAGACAAGGAGGCGTGGGAGATGGCGGTGCAGTTCGTGCAGTTCAGCGGCGTGAAGGGGTGGAAGGTCGAGAGCGAGGGCGTTTTCGTGAGGGAGGGAGACGAGGAGAGCGCCAGCGCGATCCTCGGCATGTCTCAGTCAGTGGCGCCAGGATCATCTTGATCACAACACTATACGTTGGGTGAGGTTGCTAATTACAGGTGCAAAAAGGCTCCCGGGTAAACTCAGACGGATGGCGTTCAACGGAACTGCTGCGCTGCCGGTGTCTAGCGTTTCGCTTTACATGGGAGACGTAAATACCCCATAGACGAGCCTTGATAGGACATTGGCAGCAAAATCGAGACAGTATTTGGCCCGACCAAACAAAGAAATCCGTGATACTTCTGCTACGATCCATTGCCCTGACGAGCTAGACCTACAATGTCCGAAAAGAACGGGAACGCAAAAGACCGAGAGATGAGTCCGAAGATCGAATGCATGAGGAAACGAACCATACTGCAGTCAATAGTTCCAACTTCAGCGTTCTGGCTACAGTCTGAACCTTGAAGGATAACACAGTGAGCAGTGCTCGCGCTGGACAGATCCCACGCTGCTCGTCTTATTGCGTGCTAGCTGGCTGTCCTTTGTTGCTATGTGGGAAAGTTGGGTTACAGTGCATAATAACCTCAATCCACCTTTCATTGCAGCTTCCCGCCACGCCATGGCGGCGCGGCCGTTGGGCCAATGTATTCTGGTGGTATGATAAAGACCCTGTGCCCTCCACATTCACTCAAATCCCCTCAAGTTTCTACCCGTGGGTGTCCCGTACAGAAGTCTCATGTTATCACGCAACCTCTCCGGAGCAATTACAACTGGAGAATCGGTGCAAGTGGCTGTGAATTAAACATCATAATTTTCCCCCCATCGAAGCATGTGTTTCAGAAAGACCATAGCGGAGCAATTTGCAGACGCTGTCAACAGTCTTAGTACGAGATTATGAGCTTCCATTTTGAGCTGAGGTTGCGGTTCTAGGTGGGGCAAAGGTGAGGCTAAAAACAACGACTGGTAGTTCCACCCCCAAGCTCTCGGTGAGCTCGGTGTACTCCGCATCATGTGATTTCGCCACTCGGACGGCCCAAGCTCGTCTGACGAAAAGCGGGCGCAAATAACCTCCCAACCAATCATGACCCGCAGCATCTGCAGACAAAGCCAATTGGCGCCTCCCCTCAGTGGCTGGAAAGACCCGGTGTGGACAGTACGGCTGGGTCGGGGGGGAGGACCAGACCAAAAAGAAAGTCGCAGCGGACGGAAGCTTCTTCTCCAAAATCATCGACCTATCTATCGAACGATACACGCACGAGCACTACATCATTCCGCCCGCCCTCTCCTCCCCTCCTCCCCATATCCTCCTCCTCCCCATCACCAATAACCCCCTCTTCCGCAGCGGCCACTTCCTTCTCTTCATTTCTCGCATTCTTTCGCCTTTTATACCATTTACGACTGCAGCGACGACTTACGCTCATCAAATCCCGACTCCGACAAAAACCGACGATCTACCTTAGTGGCCGAGCTTCCGGACAGAGCTCCAATTTCTTCTCCTCTTCTTCGAAACAACAGTCAACACGTGCATTGGGGTACCGTCTCGAGGCTCTCAATGTCAACGCCCCCTTCATTCCGACGAACGTGAGCGCCTTCTCGCATCGACTACTCGAGTCACGACGATTGAACCTACACAAAATATCGAACCAAACATAATACTAGACAATATGGTCCTCTCTCACACTACGAACCATACCTACTCTCACCCCTTCCCGACCGTCACGCTCGCCTACTTCCTCCGCTACTCCTCTCCCAAACTCAACCCCTTCTCCACCCATGTCCTCAGCACCGACACCATCGATAGCCGAATCGACCCAGTGACGGGCAGGCTGCACACGACCCGCATCCACCTGAAGAAGTCCCGCATGCCCGCACCCGTGTTCAAGCTCCTCCCGGTATCCATCACCGGCGGCGGCTCCGGCGAAAAGGTGAGCTACGTTCTCGAGAACTCCGTCATCGACATGCGCGAGGGCTGGATGCGCACCGAGAGCAAGAATCTCAGCTTCATGAACGTGCTCTCCGTCGTCGAGAAGCAGGACTTCCGCCTTCCCGCAGGAGCAACCGCCGACGCGGCCACCGACGTCACAACCACCTTTGTCTACAAATCGCGTCTCGGCGAGAGGCTGCGCGGCGGCAAGAAGGATCAGATGCAATCTGCCGTCGAGCAGCCGGAGCAAAAGGAAGGCCGCTGGATGCCCGGTTGGATGAGTGGGATCGGCGCGCGCGGCGTGCAGCGCAGTATCGAGAGCATTGCCTCGAGCAAGACGCAAGACCAGATGGGCAAGAGCCGCGAGGGCATGCGTGTCGTCCTTGAGCGGCTGCGAAAGAACGGCGTCGTGGGCGTGCTGGAGATGATGAGACGGGAACGCCAATTGGCTTGATAGCCATCCCCCCCAGCTCGACGAAAAATGCGGACCACGGAACGTGACCTGGACTGGAGGAGAGAGAGAGCACACATGTATACCATTCGCGAAGGGCCATTGACGACATTGCCCGGTCCGCGGGTCACGTTCCGAGGTCGCTGTACCCCTATCACCCCACTTGTTGTACATTATTCTATGACCATAGCGCGGCGTCTTTGTGGCTTTTTAAGGAGGACGGGGAGGACACGGCAAAATGGATTGTGACGGACACGGAAAATTCTTGCACTCATCTGTCATGCCGTCTCTGTATGACATCCCCTCTCTTGTATTTGGCACGGATCTAGTCAAACATGTAAAAACTTTGAACTTTTACTATGTGGTCCCACTTGGTCTCGTGCAATGATATCTGTGTCTTGCCAGTTGAACCACTAGACGACCGGCTTTCCATCAAGCTCGCTTGACGGCACATCTCAAGCCGTCGAATAATTTGAATCCTCAATTGGCGACATGTAGCTTTGGTCGGTGCTGGGGGATGCACAGCCACGAACTACCTATTTAAGCTTGCGGCCCCAGATCTTGGCGATCTACAACACAATTCAAGGTTGGGATGGTTACCGCCTATGTACATCTATGTACATGAACTGTCGCCATTATATTTCCTGAGATGTCCCACGGCCCTGAATCGCGACGGCTGACGGCAGGTTTTTGGAATGTTTATTGGGCATCGAAATGCCGCTCAGTCAGTAACATCCTCTTCTCGATATCAAAGGGTATTCCGAGTCGCTCATTCATTCACTTGTTGGGACAATATCGCTATTGATTTGATAATGTATTTTCATCTTGTAGGTTTACAGTATAGTACACTTCTGTACAAGAATTGTTCCTCCATCACTTTTGCGCCTTCTTGGCTTCAGCCATGGCAGCCTCCTCGTCCGCCATCATGGCCTCGATATCACCCGACACGAGCCAATCCTTGACCTCGTCGACAATCTTATCCAGCGCCTCCCCGCCGGCAATGACGTCGGGGAGGTTATGCACGTCAATACCCGCCCGGTGATCCGTCACGCGGTCCTGGTTGTAGTTGTACGTGCGGATCTTGTCCCCGCGGGTAATCTTGTGCTTGGACAGCACAGAGTTCCGCAGCTGCGCCGCCGCCTCCTCCCGGGCCTCGCGCCGCTGCAGCGCGACGCGCGACCGGATCAGCTTCCATGCGTCGTCCCGGTTCCGCGACTGCGACCGCGAGTCCTGCATGCTGACCACCGTGCCCGTCGGTATGTGCGTCATGCGGATCGCCGACTCGGTCTTGTTGACGTGCTGCCCGCCCGCGCCCCGCGCCCGCATCGTCTCAATCTTGACCTCAGACGGGTCGATGAAGAAGTCGCTCTCCGGGTTGTTGATGTCCTCCGAGTCCCCGCCATCCCCCTGGAACGACGGCAGGACCCACACGGCCACGGCGCTCGTGTGCACGCGGCCGTTCTTCTCCGTCGCCGGGATCCGTTGTACGCGGTGCATGCCCGCCTCGCCCCGGAAGAGGTCGTAGGCCCCCGGGTCCTGGACCTCGATGACGGCCTCCTGCAGGGGGCTCTCGCCCGCCGCCGAGGACGAGTCGCCCGCGGCGTCGGCCATGTCGTACTTGATCACCGTCGCGCGCAGCCCTTTGCGCGCGCAGTAGCCCTTGTACATCTTGAACAGCGTGTCGGCGAAGAAGCGGCCCTCGAGCCCGCCCGGTCCCGGGCGCACCTCGAGGAGGCAGGGCATGTGTGCGTAGGGGTCCTTGGGCGTCAGCGAGGCGGACAGCTTGCGCGAGAGGGAGCTGAGCTGGCCGTTTGTGGCCTGGAGCTCCTCGGCGGCCATTTCGCGGAGCTCTTTATCCTTGGAGAAGAGGAGGCCGTCGAGCTCGGCGATGGAGCTCTGCGCCTTTTCCCATTCTCGGAGGGCGGCGACGACGCCGGAGAGCTCGCCGACGCGGCGGGCCGTTTTGGAGTCGTAGTCTTCTTCGAGGGTCGCGGAAAGGGTGTCGTGTTCGGTTGCGAGGTTACGGGCTCGTTGGAGGAGGGCCGGTGGGAGGGTCGCGGTTGTGTCTGGCGGGCAGGTACCTTGTTAGCTGGGGTCCGCAGACGCTTTTGAGGGTGGTGGTGGTGGTGATGGGAGCTTTACCGGAGCTAGCACGGCGGATGAATTGGGTGGTTTTTGGCTTCAGGAGCCCTCCCAGGCAACGACGACACACCCATGGTGTCGCGAGCATACTCGGACAGCGAGGTGGACTGGTGGGAGAGGAATGGGTAGGAATCAGGACACTTTTTTTTTTTTTTTTTTTTTGGGGGGGGGGGGTGTGGGGAGGGCGGGGGGGGGGGGGGGGGGTGGTGGGGGGGGGGGGGGGGGTGGGGGGGGGGGGGGGTGGGGGGGGGGGGGGGGGTGGGGGGGAGGTGGGTGTTTTTTTTTTTTTTTTTTTTTTTGGGAGGTGGTGGTCAAAAAAAGCTTGGGATGGCCCAGAGCTTCGATACAAAGTTACGCGCCAGTGACATGGTCGCATGCAATCATTTCCCTCCGGGCCAAAAAAAAAAATGCATTATGTAATGCAGTGCTCTTCAGCTCATGTGCAATTCAAGATGCAAGATTCCTCTCACTCTACTTGGACTTCTGAACTTTCCCCTTTGGATTCTAGACTTCATCGCTCCGATTTATCTCTTCTCGTATTTCTTCTTCGTGGGTGTTGCAGGGCTGCACTTATACTGCGCCTCTCAAAAAGATTTTCTCATCATTGCAAGAAGGTCTCCATGTTAGTTTCTTACACTCCACCATCAACACCCCAGACTATCATTCGGTTTTAAACTTCAGGTTGCATTATTTATATGAACCCTCAATGTTTCGCACTCTTACTTGTGGCGTCCACCGCTGGAAGCCACTCCCGCACTCGAACTTGCCACGTGCTTGCATCTCCTCGGTCGAGGGTATCGCAACCCTCTCTACCGCTTCCTGGACAAGCTGGGGAGCTCTTAGGGCTCCTAGTCTCTCCAGGTTAACTTGTTTGGCAGTCAACGGAAGCATTAGGTAGACCCCATCCATGTTTGTCTTTGTGAAGTCCACTCGGATAAACTCCAAGACGCTCTTACCACGCTGGTTTACTCTTCCTGCGTCTGTCTCTCGACGGAGCTGTCTCCAGGCTTCATGCCAAGCACACGTGTGACTTCCAGGTTATGCGGCTTCACTCGGAATCGCAAATCGCCTTGCTCCAGGCCCGAGTAATTCCGGCCCGGGCAGCATAAAGGCGATGAATCAAGCCCATGCAGCTTGCCAGGTACTCAGGTTCATGGCCTGATATTAGTCTTACATATCTACGCCAAGTAATTGATGTAGCTGCGCAATACGACTAAGCCACGTCTTATTTCCGAGTCAAGCCAGCCCAGGTCTTAGCCTCTTTAACCTCCCGACAACCTTTAGGTTACCTTCTTTGTATGGCATGAAAGGTCTTTTTGTTTAACCAAAACACTGTTTACTAGACCAAGTTTCGGTTCTGGACATCGGCCTCCTTGATGGCTGCATGTTTAAGCTAAAACTACCATACGCATGAATAGGTTTCTGATACTCATAATTAAGCATTATCTGAAGACCATACTCCGTATGGTTCCCGAATGTGGCTGGCGAACCACCAAGCTTAGATCATGCTCACTTAGACACCGGCCACGATATGCATGATCCGATCATGGTGGATATGCACGTTTCCTCGACTCAAGCTTCGACTCGAGCGAGGTATGCGACGTGTCGACTCGAGCGAGGTATGCGACGTGTCGACTCATTAGCCGACCGATGTAGTTCGCGGTCTCCGTTCTATTTCGACTTCGTTTAAGATATCTTTGTGCGTCAGAAACAGCGCCTCACGAGGTGAATATCCTTCAAGGGTGTGAGTCAAGGATGATGAGAATATCATCTTTCCATCGTGACATGGACGTTCACTTTAAGTCTGATAATTATGGCACTAGTAGCATTGCTTCAATCCATTTCTCGTCCGATTTTGAAAACTACCCTGCTATTTCTGAATGTTTCATCTGCAAGTATCGACGGCCATAAACCAGGCAGAGCGTTCAAGGTTAACTCGATTATCGAGAACAGTCCTGAGAGTGACGATATGATCAATTACTGTAAAAGGAAACCAACAAAACCCTACTTTACGTTTATTCTTGCGAAGATTCTACCAAACTTTTGGCCCAGTAGGAGACAACGTAGGCTGGAAAGCGGTCATTCGACTAAGAGGCGGCTGAATCCTTACCGCACCGCAGACCGTCTTCTTTGGGCTTCAGTGTTGAGAAGCAAGCAAGTCCATCATCCATTAAGAATATCGAACACGAGGATCCCCGTATATGCGGAATTCCCTGTCAGGATTAGTTTGCCCATGCTCTTCTCAGTAAGCGTCGGGCAGAAGCGACGCTAAAAGTGGCTTGACCAGAGTCAGGTGGATATTGAGCTGCTCGTATTCAACCCAGGGCTGAACGTCGCCCTCCAATGACGCAGCCCTAGCGGGCCAAGATCGTCTGTTCAGCTAGGGATATAAGACTCAACTAAAGCCCTCGCCAAGGTAATTACAGCAGCGTTCTAGACGTCAAATCCAGCCTTATTACTACGCATCTGTTTCCAGAGTTTCAACGGTCTTTAGTCCCGAAACCTTCCTTTCGCTAAGCATCAGAATGAAGTGTTCTACCATCGTCGGCGTCTCCTCTCTGGCTCTTGTGTCAGCAGGAAACTGCAGTCTCCCCCAAATCAACCTGGGCCACTTTTCCTTCCCCCACACCAACATGTTCGTCGCCTGGTCGCCATACACGCCGACCACGATCCAAGAGCTCGACGACGTGTGCGTCAAGTCGGGCGCCATCAAGGGCACGGCCACATGGACCGCCGTCCGCACCGCGAGCACCTACACCACGGGTCCCATCTGCGGCAACCCCTTCAACATCACGAGCGACGAGACGGGCGTCACCTACCGCAACCTCGAGCTGGCTTGCAGCGACGACAACAGTGAAGGACAGGCGACGCAGGTCACCGCCGTTGTGGACGCGGCGTCGCAGAGGACCGTCCAGACGTGCACGCCCGTGCTTTTGGACGGCGAGGAGTTCCGCTTGGGTGATGGCTGCTCCAACTACCACGGCAGCTCCCTGTCGTTCGACTTTGCTTGTTCTTCATAAGCTAGGGAGCACATTTCCGGGCTCAGCTGCTGGATTTCAGGTACAGTCTTATGCATCAATCGGACTACTATAGACGAGCAGCAATGAAAGTCGGACTCAGTTTCGGTCACTAAATTTATAGCTGCAAGAGGATGGACTTTCGATATCTCGAGTCGACCTAAGATCAAGCCCATCAAAGGAACCAGGCAAAACTATAGAGCAGGTACCCTAATAAAGGTCTTGATAGTCTGAGACTTGAGCTATGTTTAATAGGCAAATCTGCAAGGAGTCAATTTCAAGCTCCATTCATCTTCATGGCCCACTTCTTTATTGTATACCTACCTATACCAGTCCGCGGTTGTCCGTCCACTTGAGTGTTCATGGTGAATGGGGATAAGTGAGCAATGGAGTCACGAAATTGGGCCATGCAAAATTCCTTCCTGGGACCAATAACTGCGCGTGTTTGACATATTCTTAATTAACGGCCATTCAGTATCACCGAAACATCTCAGTCCCTGCAGGGTCCCTTTCGAGCATCGAGGAGTGATTCAAAGTCTGTGGGAACATAACCATAGATTTCGGCTGGAAAACACGCCACGGGCTCGGGCCGCGGTGACTAGTGCATGCGTTCGAATCCGTCGTGTAAAGTGACGCCAGCTGCGCTTCGGAAGGTGGTGCAGCAGAACCGAACCAGCTTACCCACCCCGTACTACCGCCGGCTCGGCTCTCCACCTCCTGGTGGCCCCGCCAAGTTTAAGCAAAGCAAACATCCTTACGTCGACATGGCAATTCTCCAGGCTCTTTCTTGGTGATTTAAACCCTTCTCTGGAAGTAAGCTTCGCCCCAGTCTTGAAACTCTGGTCTTCCAAGGAAAAGCGCAGTGTCTTGGTTCCTTGTCTCTGTCGCTTATTCGGCAAGCAGACTCCTACGGACGACCAGCATGACGGCCTATTGTAATACGCAAGATGCAAGATGGAGACTCCCACCTCGGACGGTTCTTCATCCCAAAGATTCAAGCCAGAGGCTTCAAATTGGTATCATAGGTGCCGGGATCGGAGGACTGATGGCAGCCGTTGCCCTGTTAGAGAGCGGCCATGATGTTGAGGTAAGCTTGAAAGCTTTATAATTTAACCCCTCATTCATTGGTTTTTTTTTTTTAATAAAAAACCTGAATCCTTCAGATTTACGAGAGATCTCAATTCAAGAGCGAAGTCGGGGCAGCGATCTCGACGCCTCCCAACTCCACCCGAGTGCTTAACTACTACGGATTCGACTTTGCTCGGGCCAGGGCCACCACTGCGGAAAAGGCAAGTTTCTCATTGTTGCCGGAGCCCACCTAGCATGACGAGAATCCTACTTTGCTGATTCGCAGTTTGTCGTCGGGAAAAAGTACATATACTACGACGATCCCAACAACATTGACAGGACGCGGATGGTGACATGCACCGACTATACCCCCAGATACGGAGCCCCTTGGCTATTTTTCCACCGCGTTGATCTTCATAATGAGCTCAAGATCCTGGCTACCGAGCCGACGCCAACCAGAAAGAGTGTTGCCCGCCTGCACCTCGGCGTCAAGGTGTCCGATATTGATCTAGACGGGACTATACACTTTGAAGGCGACGCGAGCGTCCGGAAAGACATCCTTATCGCGGCCGATGGTATACGAGTGAGTCCCTTTTCCCCGCCTCCCCCCCTTCCGTCGCCCTTCAAAAAGCGCCAGACCAGAGAATAATCGAAGCGTGATAACCACTGACTTTGTTCAGTCTTCCTTCATCTCCAGGGTTGTGGACGATCCACCGGAAGCTCAGCACTACATGTCGATGCTTCGATTGATGGCTCCCGTGGAGGACCTACGAGATGATCCGGATGCCGTGGCTCTCTTCAAAGATGGCTTGACTTCGATTCGCATCAGCTATGGTAAAATGCGAAGTGCCATACTTTACGGCTGCCGAGGGTAGTGTTGCCTTCGTCAAGACCCTCATAGGATTGCCAAAGACTGACACGTCCATCCATCATAGGGGCTCTCTCCAGAACATTGGCCTGCTGTACCCCCCTGGACTTGCTCTAGATTCCGAAGGTTCGTTTTTGCTTTTTTTTCCCCTCTTCCATACGTTCTTCGGCAGATGATTTATGAGACTGATTTCTTTGCTCACCTTTAATGGTTTAGGCAACGACCTTTCGAAAAGAGAAGACTTTGTACACCAAGTCGTCGAGGGGTTCCCAAAGCCTATACAATCCGTCTGCACGTAAGTGGAAAAGCTCCAACCATTTCAAGCAAAAGCCATGCTAACCACCATTTTGTGACCAAAGTCAGGCAAGAGGTGTCGGACAGTGGAAAGTCTTCACACGCAAGCCCCTTGCGAGGCTCGCCCGGGGTCGAGTGGTCCTCATAGGAGACGCCGCGCATCCCATGCCTCCAGGTAAGCAAAACCACATTTACCAGAAGAGAAAAAAGGAAAAAAGGAAAAAAAAATAGTTGATGAGCCGGATGTCGACTTACCTACCTTGCTAGTACGCGCTCAAGGCGCGGCCATGGCAATCGAAGACGCCGCGGCGCTGGGCGTGCTGCTGTCGGCCCTGACGTCGAAAGACGAGATCGAGACCCGGCTGGACATGTTCAACCGGCTGAGGGTGAAGCGGGTGGCGGGGACGCAGACGACGTCTTCGCAGCACCGGTGGGATCCCACTCTTGTTACCGAGGAGCAGCGACAGTACTTTGACGGCGACGTTCCGCGTAAGGGAGTCCTGATCTGTTCTTCAAGACCTGTGCTAATCATCACCGCCTTTCCCCCACATCCAGAGACCGTGGAAGACCTGGAAAGATTTAGTTACGACAACAGTGTTATTCGCGATGCATTTGACCTGTTAGAAAGGGGCTTGAAGGGGGATTTGTAGGTGCGGGCGAGTTTAGTAGGACACATGTTAGATTTAGAAGGAATTACACGATGAATTCATTAGATGGCTTGTCTTCTCATCTACGCGTGAATCCTACAATTCCACACAATTGTAAAGTCGCTGCATGTAAACACATCCGACACAGCTGCGATAAAACCATTCCGATGATGTTTGGATTGTGGTATCTCATGATCCTGCACAGGTATTCATGCTTAGGTGCTATGCTATACAGGTTTTGAGTTGCGACGTTGTGGAAATAAGTCGCGCGAAGTAGCTCAAGCGCCGGGCTCCCGGCCAAGCAAGCGACGCCAGACTCCCAAACTTTTATGTTTTGACACATGGCACCCTGGCCAAGAAATGAACGCAAGCTTAGCTCGAGAATTCCCACAATAAATCTGGCGTTGGACTTAGATGCAGAATGAGTATCTCCGTGTTCAGGGTCACCGACGCGCACTCGGAAGAGAACGGGCCCATGACCTCGGGAGGGCGGGGTCCGGGTCCCGGTGGGCCGCCCAATTCGGTGGTCAACGGAGGCCCGGGTTGCGGCGGCAGGATCCCGACTGGAGGGCACGGGTATCGATCACACCCCCTGACATGAAAACAACTTTGACCGGTTCGTCCCCAGTGACCCGTAGTCCAACAATCACCTGCAGTAGAGCTGTCTCCAATACCCCAATCATTCTTTCTAGTCGAGTAAGAATTGCAATCATTGCGCTATCGAATCCTTTCCCCCCCTTAAAAAAAAAAAAAACCGACTGCGAACTCGTAACCAATCATTCCCCACACAACAGCAACACCTCAAAACACAGACGCGAATAATTGGCAAAAACACCTTTACAAACCCCCCAACCCATGCAATCACCAAACAAAACCACCAGCTTTTTCGCCTTCATCGGGGCTGGTTCGCCTTCTAGAAGGACACATATGAAAGTAGAAAAAAAGAAGAAGAAAAGGGAATCGATGCCTGATTAACAACCACAAATGGGCCAAACACATCCTAGTCCATTCACACCCCCATCCAACCGTCCTCTGGAACGCAAACGCCAGTGACTCCTCCTGCATACCACGCGCAGGTAGAAATCTCCAATCCTCCACCACTCACCACCACCACCACCACCACCACCACCACCACTACCCCTTGACCTCTTTTTCTGATTTCCGCGTCACCGTGAAAACGAAATGTTCCAGGTGGCTCTCACCCCAAACCACCCACAATGACGAAAGTGATAAAGGCACAAGCGTGGCCGGTCCCCTTTCATCGCATACTTTATCTCCTTGTTCTCTTCCCTCAGTCAACGTTGACGCTCCAAGTTCAGCCGCCCATTGTTCGATTTTCATTCCACTTGTCTTCTTTAATCTTACACATACGCGTCAAGTAGTCTCTGCGAGCTATTCTCATTCATTGCCGCACCTTATCTTATATCAAGAAGGAGAGCCGGTCTCACCCATCCATCACACCCCCCCTCCCATCACCTCCCCATATCTCATCCACCTCCACCAAAAACAACCCACGACCTCAACACCAAACCTCAGAAGATGCATCTGCTCTCCCTCTCCATCCTCCTCCTCCTGGCTTCCTCGGCCGCCGCCCTCCCAGCAACGCCAGCAACACCCACAAACCCACCACCGTCACCAACAAACTCCCCAAGCTCACAACAACCTCCCATCCAGCCCTTCTTCTCCACCGCCTCGCCCCTTCCAACAGGCATATCCGCCAACCCGGCTCCGGCTCCGGCCCCGACCCCAATCTACTCAACCATCACCCCCAAATTCCCTTCCTCAAACTCCTCCTCCTCCTCACAAAACTCCTCCTCGCCGTGTGCCTCCAGTAGATCCCTCCGCCTAGGCCCAGCTCGCCTCCACAAGAAACCGCACAACCAAGGCTTCAACTCCTCTCTTCCTCCGCCGCCAACCGCAACCCTTACACCCACCGCAATCCCCACCGAAGCTACCGCCGCCGTAGCCGTAGCCGCCGCCGCAGCCGTAGCCGCAGCAGCTGAAACCCCAACAGACTCCGGCCCTCGCGACTACGCCTCCCTAATCCCCCCCGCCCCGGGCGTCACCCCTCGTCCGGAGCCGAACCTCGCCGAGATGGGCTACTACCAGACGACGTACTACTCATGCGCGACGAGGGGCACCTCGGTCCACTGCGGCTGGCACAGACCCATCATGGTCGCGCCCGCCAATAACGCCGCCGCCGCAGCCGCCCCATCCGCGAACCGCAAAGCCGGGATCGGGGCCATGGTCGCGGCGGCCGTAGTCGCCGTTGTGCTCGTGGCCGGATGATAGAGGCCCAGGCGAGAGGAGGGTTATCGAGCAAGTGTGCCACCTCACGATTCGATCGTTCATGCCGGCGACAATTCGTCGTTATGCAGAGGACGGGTGTCAGTCAGGTTCTCGGACCTGGCGTCTCGCAACCGGAGCCTCATCGGCAGAATCTGACTAGCGCGCCTCGCGGCCTAGGGCTCACGATACAAGCGGCAGGAGCCGTGGCTGGCACCAGACAGATATCGGCTGAGATGCTAAATTTGGTGGTCCTAAGCGGCTGACAGTGTCAAAGCGTGTGGGGAGGGTGAAAAAAAAAGGGAAAAACGCTAAGCTTTCTTGACCCCTGACGATTAATGAATAATGATTGATGATGATGAACATGACGGATCGCCCAGCAGGCTGGGCTGGAGTGTCAGAATGACAAGGTTGAATACAGAGTCCATATGCCTCACGGCCTGATAGTACACATAGCATGGGTCACTCACCTCCCTTCTCCACGGGGCCTGCTTCACGGTAAAAAGTGGACGAGGAGGAACCGCGAAGGGCAATTTTGGACAGTTTCTTGTACATCATTTGAATACAGCTTATGAAGATAACAAAAAAAAAAAAAAAGAACAGCGAAGAGAGAAGGACACTACCTGCCTTTGGCCCCGCCCCAAACCACGTTCTTTTCTTTCGCCTTCTAAAGCTCGGGTATTTCAGAACAACATGGAACAGAGTACCAGAGAAACGAAAATGTTGAAAGGAGAAGCGTAAAAAAGCCAGTAGTCCGGGGAGGAAGAAAACGTATAATGGTATGTTGGAAAGCCGCCCCCTCTCTTCTTTGGCTCTTCCTCCTTATTTCCCTTTCTCTCCGTCTTCTCTCCGTCTTCGCTCCATAGTTAAAAAACGTTATATCAAGAGGGTTGAGTTAAAAAAAAAAAAAAAAGCCTTCAGTGTGGTTGTGGAAACCCGTTGCTGCGGAGGATTGGATTACAAGGGAAGAATCGCATTGTTCTTGAAGATAGACTCCTGGCAGTGCGTTCTTGCATAGACATCTTTTCTTATGTCTACCGTCCAGGCCGCGGCGGGTGCTCGGACGGTGAGGTGATTAGGGACCTAGAGTCCCCCCGGCGGATTCGGCTCGGGGCCGCCGTATACCTCGGTACGCATTCTGAAGTTGCATACGGCTCGAGAATGGTGAGATGGGTGGATAGGCGACGGGCTTAGTAAATCAGTCGGGTGAGTGGATGAGGTCGTTAGAGAGTCGGAATGGTGGTGGTGGTGGATGAGGGAGGCATTGCCGCTCGCCTCGTTATCTACTTCTTGGCCGGGGCAGGCGGTGCCTTGACATTGTTGGACAGCCAGGCCAGGCCCTCAAGCAGGCCCTCGCCCGTCGTCGCGCAACTGGGCACAACGTACCAGACCTTATCTTTTAACTTTGAAAGGTTCAGGGCCTCGGTGACTTCTTGTGGCTTCATGGCTGTGGTGCGATCATGCATGTCAGTCTTCCAAAGTTTCCTGAAAGGCAGCAGAGAGAGCCGTGGGCAGTGTGACGCCGCTTGGGGTATGGGTCGGTGTCAAAACTTACCGCCGTTGACGTCCTGCTTGTTGGCAAACACCAGCAGCAAGCTGTCCTTCATCTCGCGGTCGTTGATGATTCTGTGCAGCTCCGACTTGGCCTCCTCAATTCTTGCGCGGTCCGACGAGTCAATTACGAAGATGAGACCCTGGGTTCCTATGCGGGGGCAGTCGTATCGTCAGCGCAACTGGTCACAGAGAATAGATGATCCTTGGAGGGGATATGATGGAGGAGAGGGCAGGCAAGGACTCACCGCTAAAGTAATGTCTCCAGAGGGGACGAATCTTGTCCTGGCCACCAACATCCCAGACGTTGAACTTGACGTTCTTGTAGGTGACGGTCTCGACGTTGAAGCCGACGGTGGGAATGGTGGTGACGTCCTGGCCGAGCTTGAGCTTGTAGAGGATAGTGGTCTTGCCGGCGGCGTCAAGACCCAGCATTAGCAGGCGCATCTCCTTTGATCCGAAGATCTTGCCCATCATCTTGGAGAGTTGACCACCCATTCTGACTGCCGGAAGGGTATCTCGGGTTCGTGGGTTCGTGGAGTATGAACAGAGTCGGTCGGTCGGTTTGTTGTCGAGGGTAGCAGCGGGGGTTGGTGCGGTGCGGTGCGGTGCGGTGTGGTGTCGGGTTTAAAGGGGATGTCGCAACGTATGATGAATCGCTCCCTCTGAATTTCCTCGCGTAAAACTTCCGGGGTGGCAGGCGTGATTGACGGTTCGGACGGTGTCGCGCGCAATTGAATCCCAGGACGCGGTAGTCGTCGGGGTGGGAAAGGTTTCCAGGTTGAGCGAGAGAGAAGAGTGTTGTGGGAGCGAAGGAGTGTGGAGTGTGGAGTGTGGTGGATGTGATGAGTGCAGAAGCTATCACAAGAAAAAAAAACACGAGCAACTAAGCGATTTGCTGGAGCCGGTGCTGATGTTGGTGCAGGCGCTGGCCTGGTCGGGGATCGGAGGTTGGGGGTCGAATGGAGTTGGGCTCTTTCCACTTTCCAGTGCCAATGGCCAGTGTTCGCTCGCTCGGGCGTGGGACGTGGGATTGGCGACGTGGGACGTTGGACGTGGCACGGGGACCGAGACGTGTGTCAAGGCGGGCTTGGGGAAATCAGGCACGGCAGGCAAAACCAGGGAGGAACGACGCCAAGACGGTATGGAAATGGGCCAATTGACAGCTATATTTGGGGTGTGATTAATGCTAGCCGTCATCCGAAACGAAGTAATGCTGTCAGATACTTTATTGGTACTTCCTACTTTAACTACGAATACTTGCTAAGGCACGGTACTTGGCATCCTCCAGATGAATGCTGCTTACTCCAGGTGAGTGGGGTACCTTGTGAGTGTACAACTACAGCGTACTTTGAGCTATCTGACAGAGACCAAGCCTGAGGAGTCGAGGAGGATCGTCTGGAGGATCGTCTGGAGCTGCCGTCTGGAATGGGCAATGGCAATGGGCAAATGGGCATCTGCAGCTTGGCTTTCCAAGCGTTTCAACCGTTTGTCAGGCGGGCAGACCACAGACCACAAAATACTCGTCACCTCATCGTACCTATACAGAATACAGAGTATAGGTCGGCGTCGGCGTTGCATCAATCCTGCTCTCCAAGTTGCGGCTTGCCTCGGGTTCGCAACTTTGTTCCTCTGAACCTAAGGTAGCGGGGACCCGTTGGAGGGGCCGCATCTTGTATTCGCAATCACGTTTAGATGGAAATATTGAATCTCGAGCAATGCAGCGCTCGCTCGCTCCGGGGCGCATGCGCATGCACATGCACATGACATGACAACTCCAGCACTCTGTCACTTACTCAACCACTGTCCACATCAGTCACCAGCAACAACAAACGCAGCCACCCCTGCCTTTTCCAAAGCTTTTAATTGTGGGACACTTCCCCCCTGGTCTACCCATCTTAGCTGGGTAAGTACGGATACACTATTGCTCGGAAATTCAACGCAGGTCTGCTACTGCTCTTAGGTACGTACCCGCTCCCGCTCCCACACCAGCACCTCTCCGGTCCAAACGGAGACATGCAACCCACGCCGAAGCCAATCAGCCTTCTCGTGTACCTTTTTCCGAAGTGGATCCCAAACAGCAAGGGGTCTTCTACCTTACTCTCTTCGTCGTCTCTCACCCCTGTGTCGTCTCTCAGGTTGCCCCGAACGTTTGCCTCTTTCGCTCTCTCTCTCTCTCTCTCTCTCTCTTTTCCGCTCTGACTGCTCGACTTGCGAAACTATTCGATTCTCTTCCGCAATTCACCCCATCCATTTCCTCTTTTGTCCAGGACCGTTGAAAACAGACCAATCACCATATGTTTTCATCCCTCTAGATACTGAACCCTTGCCCCGTGTTTCCGTGGCTGTTGCCCTAGCCAATGGGCATATTTAGCGACCTGCAGGTACACCACCTCCACCACTACCTTACATATCTGCCTTAGGTAAGTCACGGCATTCTAGATATGCACGTGCCATGCCGGAGTCAGGGGCGAAACTCGACACTTTAAGCCAACCTTTCATAGTTTGATTGCAGCGTCCCCTTGCTTTCCATGTCAGTGCAGAAAGTGACAGATTTAGAAGCCACCAAACAGAGATGACTTGTCGGCATCGTACCGCAGTAGAGCCTGGGCAGTCTGGACCAAGAATGCAAATGTTCATTGTCATTTCTATTCGTACTGTTGTCTCCGGTATTCGCTAGCTGCTACCCCTGCATCATAGTAAGCATGTTAACATCCGTTTCGACCCGCCGCGTCATGTCTCCTTTTTGTTTGTTTAATGAGGCTTAACGATGTGGCACATGTCCCATGTCCGGGCCGTTGATCTCTCGGCCAATACACACTTTCTCAAGTCAATACTTTAAGCGAACGCCCGCTCATGGCTCTCGCTATCGCCGCTTACACGATGCACTTCCTGACTTTGGCCCTCTCCGCATCACCAGATCTGTGGATCTCGGAGCCCTTGTCCGCTTCAGGGTCGATACTCCAGCACGTAGCGCCGCTCCACCTGATGCGTAGTCGATGAGTCGTTTTCGCCGTGAAACTTGAGATTGACCGTCTTGCCGTCCGGCTCCGTACCGACAACGTCTGCCGCGTAAAATGCCGTTGTCTGCGGGTAGAGCCCGAGGACCATCCTGCCCGCCTCGAGCTTGGCGAGATTGTGCGTCTGGTTCTCCGCCGGGATCGGTATCATGCCCGACGCAAACGTCTTGTACTCTTTCGGCTTGACGTTGTCCTCCGGCTCCACGTCCAAGCACTTGTACCGCCGGCTCTTGCCTTCGCCAATAACACCGACCACCTCACCAAGTATCCAGTCGTACGGCGCCTCTCCCTGCTGCGGCTCGTCCTTTTTCCGTTTGAACGCCACCTTGTCTCCTTTGGAAAAAGACACCTTGCTTCTGGCTGCCGAGGAAGCGCTCGAACCTAGGGCACCCGACGATGAGCCTGCCGTGTTGGAGCCCGTGGATCCCTGCGGCTCGACGCTATCTGCCTTGGGCGGCATACTATCGCGGTTGCTACCCCGATCGCCGTATTTGCGTGAGCTTCCGCCAATGGGGCTGGGCACGGGAGAGTCGCCCGCTCCATCAAAGTCGTACAGGGCGGCCGCTGCCGCGTCTCGGTTGCGGGTGGAGCTGCCGGTCCGTGATGACGCGCCGGTTGTCGCTGGAGCCTCTGCTGCTTCCTTGGCCTGCTGCACGGCCTTGAGAATCTTGAGCTGCTCAATGAGGTTCTTGATGTTGTTCGAGTTGTTCTCTGACAGCTTGACGCCGGAGCGGCAGTTCTGCTCCATCTTGTTAAGATCGCTGGCTGATGGGTTTCCGCCGTCCATGCTTGCAATAGCTGCCTTTTTGTCTAGCTTCAATAGCTCGGCCAAGTTGTCATTCTCTTGGTTGACACCGCTCACAACTTCGTGGAACTTCTCCCTTGCAGATTCCCAAAGCTGCACCTCCTCGCCGTGGCCGCTGCCATTGTTGCGATTCGAGCCGCGGCCGCTTCGGTTCCGTTGAGACATCTTGGCGTGCTGAGATCCCAGAGGGCTGGGCTGGACGTTGGACGAGTCGCGTTTCTTCTAGATTGACTCGTGGCCGGCGCCCGGACGAGAGAATGTGCTCGCAGGTTTCGGTTCGACGGTGGGAGGCTTCCTCCTACGGCCACTGCGAAGCGGCTTCTCAGCTTCTGTCGTCGGTTCCTGTGACATCTTGACATCAGCTCTGGGTTGCGCCTGGTGTTTGAGCCGACTTGGGTGTAGAAAGGAGGAGGAGGAGGAGGAGGAGGAGAGGGAGTAGAGAAGTCCAGATGAAGGAACCTAGCTAGGGGTAGGGAGAGCGAGCACGATGACACTTACGGGGAAGGCGCGATGTCCACTTGGTTGCTACTCCGCCAGCTGTCACAGGTCGGATTACGTTCAATTCCTCAGCAAGAGCTTGCCTTGAGCTCTCTCTCTCTCTCTTGCTGCGGGGGTATCTAGGCGCAAAGACGCTATTTAAAGAAACAAAAGAAACCGATCCAGAAAACTAAGCCCATGACGCGACCAGCCGAAAAAAATAAAATGGTTAAGCTTTGAGTTGGCTAGGTCTCGGAATGCCATGGCTTGCCAGCAATCAAGGTGGATGGGGATGCTGATGGCAGAATGCGGACGGCAAGGTACCTTATCAGGCCACGCGCAGGAAAGCGGAGTGCTGGAAGCTTCATTGGCTCATTAAGGCGCCTGCCAGTGCTGCGCAATTACAGAGTGGGACAGTCAGCAGCTCAAGTTGAAGATCCCAGCCAATTAAACGACCCTACTTCTGCTTTCACTCTGCGGCCCGACCACTTGCCCGGGGCCCGTGCTCTGATGATCGCTTGGAGGGGTCCGGAGGTGCTGGCTCCATTTGGCGGGGTCCTCCAAGTGAAGCTCTCCCTGACGTCAAATCCAATGGTGGGGTGAGCATACGCACCCCCAACCTTATTAGTACGACATCGTCGTCGCATCTTCACTCTCCCTTGGTACTTTCCCTCCTCTATACTCTTCTGATTACTTTGAGCTTTGACGGCTCATCGATTTAGTCACAATGGTTCTGCAAGTTCCCCTGTTCAAGCTCCAATGTGGAGTGAATTCCTACGAATGGGGAAAGAAGGGAGAAGACTCGGCAGCTGCGCGCTTTGCTGCCACAACACCAGCTGAAGGCTTCAGCGTTGAGGCAGAGAAGCCTTACGCAGAGGTGAGCTTCATAATAGTACCAGCCATCAAAATCGCACAATTGACTTATACTTTGCAGCTGTGGATGGGCACTCACCCTTCAAACCCGTCAAAAGACCTACAGTCTGGTCGCACCCTCCTCGACCTCGTCCAAGACAACCAGCAACTCCTCTCTGCGCCCATAGCCTCCAAATACGGCTCCAAGCTTCCCTTCCTCTTTAAGGTTCTATCAATCAACAAAGCCCTCTCGATACAGGCCCACCCCAACAAGAAGCTCGCCGAACAGCTACACGCCCGCGACCCCAAGAACTACCCTGATGACAACCATAAGCCCGAGATGGCAATCGCCATCACTCCTTTCGAGGGCCTCTGCGGATTCCGCCCTCTCGCCGAGATCTCACACTTCCTTGCGACAGTCCCTCCCCTGAAGAGCCTGGTCGTCGATGACAAGGCCGACGAGTTCATCAATACGATCAAGGGAGAGGAGGAGAGCGAGAATCCCGAGACCAAGGACCGGAATAAGAAGGCTTTGCAGCATGCCTTTGCCTCTCTGCTGTCCGCCACGCCGGAAGAGATTAAGAAGCAGGCGGAGAAGCTCGTCTCCCTCGCCAAGTCAGAAGGCAGCAACTTCGCCGGCGGCGGCGTATCCACAACAGATGGCGAGACCCTCTCGGAGCTCATTATCCGTAATCACGCAGAATTTGGCGCAGATGTCGGTCTCTTCGTCCTCTTCTTCTTGAACTATGTCAAGATGGAGCCTGGCGAGGCCATGTTCCTGGTTGCTGACGACATTCACGCCTACCTCTCTGGCGACATTATCGAATGCATGGCCGCCTCAGACAACGTCGTCCGCGCTGGGTTCACCCCCAAGTTCAAGGATGTTCCAACCCTCGTCGACATGCTCACCTACAATTACGCCCCGATTGACGAGCAGAAGATGTCCCCCTCCGAGTACCCCTACGCCACCCTCAACCGCACCGCCTACAGCTCCGGTTCCGCAGTCATCTTGTACGACCCGCCGATTGAGGAGTTCAGCGTCGTCCGGTCGTTGTTGAACGGTGACGGCTCCAAGGTCACGTTCGAGCCCATCGAGGGCCCCAGTATCGTCATCTGCACATCGGGCAAGGGCACCATCGCTGTCGGCCCGACGGTGCAGAAGATCAGCGAGGGCAACGTCTTCTTTGTCGGATCGACGGCGGAGTTGGTGCTGCAGTCCGAGGGCGATGACGAGGACGAGTTCGTCACGTTCAAGGCGTTTTGCGAGATTGACGAAAAGGTGGAGGAAAAGTTATGAAAAGTGCTCACAGGTGCAGCGCGAACATTCATCCCCATTGCCCGTATTTGAGACGCGGAAGCAGTTATTCATACCCAAGATTCATACAAGATGATCACGACCAAAAAAAAGCATCATGTCAGAGATTATTTTGATACTGCTCAGTTGCTGCCCATAATGAAAGGTATCAGCCCGATCCCGGCGGATCTATCTGATGTGTGGTCTCAATGCCGACCCAAGCATAGATGACCGTTTTAATGAATGCTCCCTAGACTCATTAACTTTCAGAGGTCTCCAGGTCAGACACAGCGCGCCAAAGAAACCCCCCATAACACTGTGAAGGCGTCCACATGCTATGATTTGGGGGTACATGAAGGGAAGGAACGATGCCGTAACGGAATCTCGGAGTCTTAGAGTATTCCTTCCGGGAGACCGCCTTGGTTTTTGATAAAGAAAAAGCTCACCCTGCCGTAGCAGGTATCCCCAATTGGAAACAATTTGGTTGAAATGACAGCAGCCCAATGCCGTGGTGTAAGGCAGGAAATATTTTTAAAAAAAACCCTAAAAGATGCCCCTAATTATCCTCATTTTTGAATCCATGCCCCAAGGTCCCTGGCCCATCCCCTTTCCCCCGGTATCATTCAAAATTAAATGCCCCATAACTCGTACCGTTTCTTTTCTGTATCACCGTTTTTCCAGCCCATAAAATCCTGCCGTTAACCCCCAGATTATCCTCAATCCAACCGAGGATATTCGAACTGATCCATTACCCAATGGCCCAACCCCTCCCGAGATATTTCAACCAACCCCTGATATCAAAACTTCAAGACAAACGAGGAATAAGGCGAGAAAGAAGCACAAAAAGACTGGTACAAGATCACCCAAAGACCCAAGGCCAAGGAGGCCAAGGAAACAAACAATACAGAAAAAAGACCCAATGGCAATGAATGGTGGTGTGGTGGAAGTAAAAGGAGAAAAGAAGCCATGCGCGTTGGCAGGTAGTGGCCGCGAGAAAAGGCGCAATTGGTGAAGAAGCGAAGTGTTGCCGCTCCCGCTCCCTCCCATGTGATTCGAAGATGGCATCTAAGAAGCAAAGATGTGTACTACGTAAGGAGTTGAGCAGGGTGTACCGACTTGTGTATGTGAAAGAGACAAGGAGGGAGAGAGAGAGAGAAAAGAGGAAGCGGTAGAGTAGGGGCTGGATAAAAGTTGAATGAAGATGACAGGATGAAACCACCCACGGCGCTGACATTGTTCTTTGGCCCTGGAACCCTTGACCTTGCTCTCCGCTGGGACTCGAACGCCTCCCAATCATACAATACACGTCGGAAACGGAATGGGATGTTGGTGTTGGACGGAGGCGAGGGGTTCTGTCCGTTCTCTTTAGGAACACGAATGGAGGGGCTGAAGATGGGGGAAGGAGGAGGGGTATGCGAAACCCGTCGGGAATCGTTGGTCGACGTTGGAATCTGAGTGCGAGGCGGGATGGAGGGAGGGGACGGGACGGGACTGGACAGGTGTCGGGGGGGGTCTCGAGGTCCCTGGGCGGGCGTCCCGGGTCGGGTAGCCGCATCATGCCGCCGGGGTCCCGAGGTGAATTGTAGCGTCTCCCAAGGTTTTCGGCTCCTTGTCTCCCTCCCCCCCGCTTGTTCTCTCCGGGGCAGATAGCAACACCATCCACACTCATTCACACACACACACAAATGCGTTCCAGAATGCCATTGGTAGATGCAAGCCAGATTGTGTAACAATTTCTAACGGTTCGGCCCAGCCTCATCAACGAGGGTCAGGTCCCCTTGCATCATGAGCCCCATTGCCGGACAAACTGGAACCTCCCAGCCTGCCTCCGCCCCCCCCTTCTCCTCCGCCCCTTGGGCCTCCGACAACGGTTGTACGTTTGCGGCGTCGACATCTTCGTTATGTATTGTTGATGGTCATCGTGATGGCAGTGACAGCTGGGCCACACACATGCAGCAGAGATGCAGCATGCACATCCCTCACCACCGGGGAAGGGAACCCTCAATCCGGTTCCTGCGCCTCCTTGAGAGGTCTCACGCCAAGGCAAGCCACCTCGCTTCCTGCTGGAGAAGAATGGGGGAATGATATATCCCCCCCCGGCCTCCTTCCCCCCCACCATTGCAACAACGTCTTCTGTTTCGACGACGTACGAACGAGGGATAAGGCTATGGTGCACTCTACTTCGACAGCATACGAGCGGATGGCGTATTCCTCGATAAGAAGCTGCAGTTCTTATCCAACGGTTGAATGGCTGCCATCATTTTTGAAATACTTTTTTTTTTTTTTTTGAGACGTTTCGTGTTGATAAAGTCGTGCAGGAAATCAGGCGTCGAGACCACGCCGCGAGGTATGGCGCCTGCACGGCTTACGCTGTAAGGTTCTTTCCAGAAATAGTAAATGGAAAGGCTTGCCATTCCAGAGGACTTTGGTGGCGGTTTCCCTCTGATGATCCGGCCCAATGGTGTTGGTGTTTTGGATCAATGGGGGCGGCCAAACCCATCTGGACAAGGCGCCACCGTGGGTTCGTATTCCATCTCACCGAGTAGAATTCGGGGCAGACGCCACCACATCCTCGTATCCTCTCACCAGACTGTCATAAAACGTGCCTGTCTGGAACGTCCTCATTCGGCGAGAATAAGCGTTCGGTAGCGTCGTAGAAGAGAAATTGAAAAATTCAAAAGAAGCAAGACGAAATAGAAAAACAGAAATGATCGTAAAATGTTGAACCAAGCGGTGCTGCCAGTGCCAAAAAAAAAAAAGGGGGGGGGCCCTATTTCCTTTGCTGGCACCAGATATCGAGTCCATATCGCTCCAGTCGGAGTAAGGACGCACCCAGGAGACGGACACCTAGGAGACGGACAAGCCACACGCAGACCTGCGACCTGAGTGTTGGTGGTGGAGGTGGTGATGGCTGAGGTGGTGCTCGGCCGCGACGTCCTCGGAGAGCATGTACTGCCCAATGTGGTGCCGTCCGTGGTGACCAACCGCGGCGTACATGCTCGGGGACGGGGTCGTGACGGTATACTGCTGGCCGTTTGAAAGCGAGCCGGTCGTAGTAGCCGTGGTGGTGGTGGCCGAGGTCGAGGTCTCATCGCTCCCGCGACGGCCTCCGCAGGCCCCTGATGATGATGGCGCGGAGGAGGCGTCGGTATACTTGTAACTCAAATCGGATGGGGAACCTTGCGAGCGGAGACTTGCTTCCGAGGCGCCGAAGATGGACTCGCTGCCGCCGCCGCCGCCGTTAGTCGTAGACGGCGGGTAGCCTCCCATCTCGGCGTTGGAGAGGCGTTGCTGCTGCTGCTGCTGCTGCTGCAGCTGTGTCATGGATGGAAGCGTCAGTGCCGGGGGAGGATACGCCGATATGGGCGAGGTCTCGTAGTTTCCCGAGCCCGCGGGGCCCGAAGTGGCGTAGCTCGTCGTGACATCCGAGCTGGGCGACGGCTGGGGGGTGGGACTGTCCGAGGACTTTGTCGAAGTCGAGGCCGCGTACGACGAGACCGAGGCGGCGGCGACAGGGCCTGCTGGCAGACGCGAGGCCGGGTTGGGGAGGAGACGGTCGCCGCCGCCGGGACCGCTGGTGTGGGGCAGGGAAGCGGCGACATTGGAGAGGGAAAAGGCATGGCCTTCGGTCTGCACCGCTGTCGCCGTGGGACGGTGGACCAACGCCGCGGCGGCGGCGGCGGCGCCGTTGCTGCCATAGCCGTACCCCGCCGCGGCGTCCGTGTTGACGTACAAGTCGCCCGCCGCGCTGGAGGCCGCGGCCGCAGCCTTTGCAGCGGCAGTTACGCGGTAGTATAAACCCGCATCTTGACCGTGGTACTGGTACGGGTATCCCATGGTGGCGGCGGCGGCGGCGGCGGCGGCGGGGCCGTAGTCCACGGCGCCGCTGCCATCGTCTGAGTAGCCCGGGGTGGCGGACCAGCTTGGCATAGTCGCGACTGAATTGTAGTACTTTCCGCCGTAGTAGCCGGCCGAGTTTGGTGGGTAGCGGGACAGGCCGCTGCCATCGTGGATATCGGAGGCGTAGTGGTGAGACGGGGACGTTGTCAGGGGGGAGGCGAGGGCGCTGTGGGCATATGTCCTCGCAGTTTTGAGGTCGTATGGGAATGCTTCTGTGGATTGGACCCAGGGAGCTTCTTGAGAGGCGACCTTGGAAACGTATTAGTCGAGGGAAGGGGGGGGGGGGGGGGGGGGGGGGGGGGGGGTGGGTGGTGGGGGGGGGGGGGAGGGGGGGGGGGGGGGGGGCGCGGGGGGGGTGTGGGGGGGGGGCGGGGGGAGGGGTTGGGGGGGGGGGGGGGGGGGGGGGGGGCGAGGCTCCATAAAGGCTGTAGACTTACTCGTAAAAACATGCAGGATTCGGCGCTGGCAGCCTTGCAGTTTTGGCAAGGAAGTCCGTTGCCCGTGTCTCCGCTGCAGCGAATCTTGCGCTTCCGACAACGGCCACACTGTCCATCTTGTCAGATGCTTCTTTTCTTTTCTTCCCCTTTTTCTCTTTCACCCAACAAACCGTTATGCAGGTTGCCTTGACTACGTACTACTACGTACGTACGTCTCCAATGCGCTCATTCAAGGGCTGTTGCTGTCGTTGAACAGATACCTACTTGAAACAGAAGACTAGGAAACTATACATTAAAAGAAGGCCGAGCAAGGAATTGCAAAGCGTGCCCGGGTTGAAGATATCGATGGTAAAAGGAGTTTTGCTAATGGAAGGGGAAGAAAGAGGGAAAAAAACAAAACAAAAAAACACACAAAGACTTACAGCGACGGCAATGCGCTTGCGGGGCGGTGTATCGGCGTCGTTTTCTCGTTCCGTCATGGTCGATGTCCGCGCTTCTGAAGAATGCGAGTGGTGTCGTGGCTGGCGATCCGGGTAGACGTACGTCGGGTCGGCGCGGCTATATCGTCTTCCGTCTGGGTAGTATGTTGTGCTGACCATGGCTCACAACGACCCAAAAACCCTGCCCTCGGATGATCTTGCTCTATGCCGGGGGCCAAACGCCAACGGGCAAAGTCAAAGAGGAGTTGGTGGCAGACAATGACGATGAACGGTGACGGGTGGCGTAGTGTAGTGCGGGCAGAATTTGGCGCTGTTACAGGAAGCGAGGGGGGGGGCTGGACTGGGCTTTTTTTGGGTTTCGGTGTGGTCAGTTTCTTCTTCTTCGGAGGGGGATGTAAGCGCCTCCTTGGAATGGTTTGTCGGTTGTGAGAGGTTGCCCTCTTTGAGCTGCTGTGCGTTGCTGTGCTTCGCGTTCGCGATGGTAACAAGCTTTTCGACGCTACTGCTGATGCTGTCGTGACCAGGCATCAAGGCCGGCCCTGTCTCGTTTCAACCAGAAAGGATGGAGACCTCCTGCTATGCTTTTTTCTTCTTCAGCAAGTCTGAACTGCGTCGTCGGGGCTGACAGCAATGGGAACTTGGATAAAATGCGTAGGAGAAGGACGCGGAGGACGAGGAGTAGCAGTGGGAGACAACAAGCGGTGCTTGCTGGAGGGATAGACCTTGTTATTTTCCCCACGCCTCCTTGTCAGACGTTGATGTTTTAAAGAAAGAAGAAAGTCGAAAAAGCCTTCCGCTGATGAATATCTCTCCCCAAGGTGGAATGGAGCAGGGCGGCAAGTCTAGACTTATTCAATGTTCCACATGGAAATCAAGAAACAAAACCTGATCAAGCAAGGCCGCGAAGGCATGAACTCAGCCAGCAGCAGATGATGGGAGAGAGAGAGAAAAGGATTGATAATGTAGAAGAAAAAGAAAGGAAAGGAAAACACCAAGGAGAAAACAGGCTTGAAGCAGCTATAACCGGCGAATGTTATACATATCCCAGTCTTGGATTCGCATCTTTGATTCGACCGCGCAAGAGCGATAGCTGGCTTCTGTGTTTGCACCGCTTTTTTCCCTTTCTCTTGACACCTCCGGGAAACACCCACACCCTCTCTGTTCTGTCCACATATCTGTACTCATCAAAGAGTTATTCTCCATCTCGTAGATTTCTACACTCTCTTTCCCCCCATCTTGGGTAGGAGATAAAATCAGGTACTTGAAATTACATCTTCATACCCACACGCCCCCCCCTCTCTTTCGATGTTGGCGCCCACACCCTCATCTCCCCCCCACGAAGCTTGTGGGCCACAAGACACGACATCTGTCATCGGACGGCGATGGAAGACGAGGCTACTACGTACGGTTCTTTTTTTTAAAAAATAAAATAAAAAAAAAATTCCTTCGGGGGAGGGGGTCCTCTGAAAACAGACCGAAAAGATGCATATATACATACAAGGGGGGAGCCGCCGAAGTAACAGAAGCCAGACGCAGTGTAGAATCTTACACCAGCGAGACCCATGTGTGCGGTAGTAGCACCGGTACGGGAAGTCGCAGAAGACAGGCATTAGGAGGGTAGGCCTCCACTTCGACTCTGGCAGTCAGTGACAAACAAGCATAGCTACGGGGGTGGGGAAGGGGGAGGACGAGGTGGCCGGAGTCCTTCTCCAGCCCTCCATTAATGCACTCTGGGGGCTGGAGGGACGGAACGTGGAGAGCAAACGGAAGGGGGCGGCGGCGGAGGAAGAGGAGGGAGAGGAGGAGGAGGAGGGGGGGAGACGAGGGGCGGACGGGGCAAGCAGGGGTCCCGGTCCTGCGTAGGTAGATCTTGTAGGCCCAGCCGGGAGGGAGGTCGATCTAAATCTTGGGTGTATCTTGAAATCTTGATGGGAAAAAGGTCTAGGGTTGGTTCTGGGCCCAATATGGACCCGAGAACTTTGGGGGAAAGATGAGAGAGAGCGAGAGAGACAGAGAGAACGGTCTAAGACCTGTTTCGAGACTGCATTATTTTCTCAGCCGTAGACATGACTTGGAAACCTCGCACACCCAATCAGACCGTACGTTTGATATTCTTCCTGGCTTGGAGAAGCGAGACTGATCTCTCTCTCCATCATCGCCACTACGTAGTAAGAAGAATCTACCCCCCCCCCCCCACCCCCCCCCCCCCCCCGTCCCACACCACGCACTCTGTGAACATAATAAGAAAGTGGTACGGTAACGAAGGAGCACACCTCCAAACACAGGGCTACACACATAGTCCTGTAATCACCCCCACCCTCTTCTTCTGTCGGCACCGAACGCCAGCCTGCCGCTCGGGATCGAGACAGTAAATTAGAATAGTGATGGGAACAAGGAGGGCCACCCCAACAATGTGAGTACATCATTTTCTCGGTTTACACCCCCACGTACTTTCCATTGCTGAAGAAAACTGCCGAGTTTGTTGTATGGTAACCGAGACCTCTATAGAACGCTTGGTGCAAGTCGTGCCAACGGAGAAGTGAAAATGTATTGGACGATGAATCTCCCCGATGAAGAGGTACAAGTATCATGGTAGCCAGGCTGGCTGTTCCATCCCCTACCTAACACGCTCTCCCAAAGTTACTTGCTCGCCAGTCGTCTACAGGAAGAGTGGAATACGGGAAGGGGGCACAAAAGAAACAGAGTACTAAGCAGTGTTATCTGCTTTGAGGAAATGCCACTTCTGAAATGGGAAAGGTGTCTTGCAAAATGACAACGAAGACAACCACAGCAAACACTCGCTCGACGTCGTCCGGGCAAATCGGCCGTCTCGGTCCCACTTGGAGGGTGCAAACCATGACGCTTGATCGTCTGACCCTATCACGACGACTGGTTGATTAAATAGCAGGGCCCATCTTCAGGGAGATTGTGATGTATATGGGCGAAGTCGCACTTTTCCCCCGTCGATGTACACCTAGGCAGAATCCGGGGTATATAGAGTACTTCAACATCGAGAAGAAAAACCTTTGAGTGAGTGAGAGAGAGAGAGATAGAGGGAGAGAGGGAGAGACGAAGATAGAGAGAGGAGCTGCACAAAGCTGAGGGTTACGTGATGCAAGCGGTCCCTGTGTCACCCTGCAAAGCGGCCGTCCCTGCAACACACAGGTCAGGGTGATTAAACCGAGCAAATGCAGAAAAAAACAAAACTGGCCGAACATTTTCCAGACAGACGACACCCCAGAGGCGAGCCATCAAGCGGTACTGGCGCCCCGGTCAAAGTGTGACAATACCGCCAGGTCGTTGAAGAAGAAGAAGTAGAGAAAAATAACAGAGAAAGGGCCAAGGGCGAAGCAGACAACAAGAAAAAAGCAAGAAAATCAACGTTGCTACTGCTGCATGCTGCACGGTGCGTGCAGCAGCGGTCGGTTTCGTTCGCCAAACATCTCCCTGACCGGCCGAGAAAATCCTGTAAGAAATGAGCATCTCAGGATGGGCCATGCCATGCCATGCCATGCTCCATGCTGCAAAGCCCGTCATCTGCATCCAAACAAAATTGAACCATCATCTGCCAGCCGGCAACCGGGAGGTTCCGCGAAGAATTCTCTCTGGCAAACCGATACCCCCAGCTGGCGAACAAGACACAAGAGATACGGCCGGAGGCTTCACAAATAAGATGGCCCCTCCGATACAGCCAGCTGGCGGTGTTGTTTGCTTCCCATTGCTGAGTACTCTTTACATGGGCAAACGCGATGCACGAATATGACCGTCAGAGACAGCCGCCGAGGCCGCCTCAAGAGGCCCAGGGAAGGGGGGCACGCGAAAGGGGCACACGCACACTTGGGCTCCAGATTGGGAACTGCCAAACAAGCCCGTTCACCTCCTACTGCGCTGTTGTGTACTTTGATCCTCAGGCTCGCTCGGTGTGCAGCCCCCCTCCAAAGGCCTGCGCGCTCTTCCTCGTGGCAGATGAGGTATCTCTCTGCATGTTTCTCGCCGACCGCTCCCTCGCTTGTGTTGCAGCCTGGATACTCCGCGACTTGGCGGACCGGGATTTGGTTGGGTCTTCGTCTAGCACATTGCAGTTCCGGCTGCGGCCACGTCTCTGCTTTTGGATAAAGATAGCGGGAAGAGCTCTCGATACCCATCACCCGGGGGCGGGGGGGTTGAGAAACGAAGGGCAGACAGAAATAGCAAACGGGCCGCTGAGGCACGGAGCGATGGTGGGATGTGCGTGTGTATGCGTAGTAATGTGTCGGTGTCGGTGTGGTGTGTGCGGCTCCCTCTTCCCGCTCCTTGCGTTGCCGGTGTAGCTTTTCGCTCATGGGCGGGCAACTGACAATGCATGCCCGTTGACGTGAGTCGTGTTGGTAGGCCATGCCTCTCTGCCTTCTACTGATGCGATGCACCCTCTTCCTCCGCCCGCTGCCGCGAAAGGACCCCGCATCGGGTCGGTTGGTACTTCACGTCGTATACGTTGGCGACGATGGCGATGATGGGTTTGAGAGAAGAGGCTGCAATGCTACGTCGTCCGATATTCCCGTGCATTTGAATCAGGGGTAGCTATCTTGCTGCAGGAGTTTTTAAGTGACCTACTCGCCCGGCGTGGCGTCGTCCTTGTGAATGGCCCTCGGTAACCAGGGGAAGGGGACTCTGTCATGGATGCAATACCCATGCTCGAAGCCGACGGATCCTATTCCCCATCGTGATCCTAACGTCCGTAACGGTGCGTTTTCTCAGGGGTCACCTCGATCCGTGTAAGAAGCTTCTTTGCTCCCTACCGTTGATTTTGACATCCAGGTAGGACTGGAATCGTGAAGCACAAACTTACCGCCCCAGCAAAGTCTTGCTTGACGTCGTCTCACGGCGTGCAAGGTCAATGAGATGTAAAGTCTCAAGCTAGGCAGGACTCGTGTTTCCGCATGAGCTTATTGCCATAGAAGAAAAGGAAGAAAAAAACCCTCTCCCAGTAGATGAGACATGCCCTCGCCTCGTCAGCGACTGTTTGAACCACGCAGGTCTCGCGGGCATATTGCTCATCTCGCTCGTATAAAAAGCCTGCGCCGCGATTCCAAGACAAGAGAAACGAATCCCCCCTTCGCTGAAATTCTAGGAGGGCAGTTCGTATCGAGAGTCGACTGAGATGTTAGTTGGCAGCGTAGCACAGCGTCAGACTGATATCATGCAGGAAAAACCTCGCCCCAACAAGGTGAGGCCGTCATGCTGGCGATCAGGCTGTTGTGATGCAGATCCCTCCTCACCTTTGCCTACTACGGGGCATTTCTTGTGCGTGCCTGCTTTTGGACGGGAGGCAGCTAGCATAACGCACATGGCTCGACGGCTTCGCTGACAACGGAAAATTTTGCTGCCATCTTTCGGGGCGCTGCATCGTACCATCGTACCCGTGAGGCTGCCAGTCATGACCGGAACCAGTTTTTCTATGCAAGCAGCCGTTGGGACGGGACACAGAACCGTGTAAGCGACTGAACCGGATATCAGGGACACAATATCATCTGACAGCCCATGCTAGGGGCGGCCACACCCGGAGCAGATTGATTGAAGTTGTCAGCGATGGGAGAAGCCACCAGGGCCAGGCACTGAAGGAGGCGAAGGGGGCGAAGGAGGCGCAGGAGGCGCAGGAGACGAGACGAGCCGAACCGAGCCGATCAGGCTGCCCCCACAATACCACACTGGCAATAGAGAGTATCAGATTCGCTGGTTTGGGCTTTCGAGTTTGTTCAAGTGCCAGTTTTCGACGTACTGTGCCCAACAAAGGTTACCGTGCCATGGTTTGGTTGGAACAAATCTCTGCATTGGGAGACAATCGGCGTCCTCCGCCTTCAACCTCAGCATCATGGGCCGACCATTGAGCCCCGTGGAGTAGCACAACTGACGAGCCTTGATCTACACGTCTCGCAATGAGGAAAGAAGACCAGTCGCACAGGATTTGGGGAGTTGATGCCTAGCGGCCAAAAAAGCCAGAAATAAAAATGCAGCAGCTCTGCAGACTCGACGTGCTCAACATGCTGTCACTCTCGTGATCCTGTGCCACGTTAGCAGCCGATACTACAGGACGCCTTGAAGGAGACTTGCGAGACCCTACATCGTAGACCGCATCTAGTAGACGCCGACGAAGATGTTGCAGGCGGCAGCGAGGACGAATTCGAACGATAAAGGAGTCGGTCGGTCAGTGTCGGAAGCAAGTTACGAATGCCGCGAGTTTAAGTCATCAGTTTCGTTCCGAAGGCAACCTCGTTTTAGGATTCTAGATGGCAGAGCTGAACTCTGAGGGATGCGAGGATGTGAGCGGAGATTGTCCTGACAGGTCCAAGACGTTGTCGCACAACGCCGGGCCTGCACGCGGCGGCTGCGGACTCTTCATTGAGATGGCGGTACATGGCCCATGGTCCGTCGTCTCTCAATGCCGCTCAAGTGCAGCGCTCCCAGAGCACAGGAACTACCTTGAACGATATGACAACTGACAGATGACAACTTCATCAAACGCAGCGGGCTGATGCAAGTTCCCTTGGCAACACCAGGGAGTGCATCATCCCCACTTCCGCGGGGTGTGTTCCATCTTCCCGGCCGCTTACTTGCATGGGCTCTGCAAATGGAAAAGGCTTTTGATAGCATGTTTGCAACGGCGAAACGAGACCTATCCTGTTTCGAGCAACCCATTCGCCATGTGCGACGTAGATCCAAGCCCCACGGTTTTCTCTCCCATGGCAACTTCCCCCTTCCCTCATCCCCACATCCGGACGTCCCTAGTCGACAACCAGATGCGACGGGGTGGCTTGCAAGCAGGTGGCCGTAGTGGATCTCGGCAGGTCGACGAGATTTTGTTGTTCATGAACATGAGCCTTACGCGGGCGGCAGTGGCGATATTGGTGTCAATTTTATGTATTTCTTAGGGTCTACATCTGTAGCTCACCGCGCTGCTGCAAACTGCGGCCTGGTCAACGGCGGCTGGGTATAGTTTGAATGGTATTGTCGGAGACGAAAAGAAATGAGATGCGCGTCTTGTAGTGCTGCTGCTGCTGCTGCTACTACCTTCGTCTGTCCGAGTCTCGATCCCTGCCTCGATTCCGATTATCCCAGTCTCTGCGTTCTCTGCGACGCGAGTCCCGATCGTCACGCCGCCGCTCGTATTGATCGTACCGTCGGCCGGAACCTCGATCGTCGGATCGGTATCGATCTCCATCTCCTCTGCTGTCCCTATCCATGGCCCTTGAGCGTCCGGGGCTTCGACTGCGTCTCCGCACCTGTTCCGATCTGGGTCGATCTCTGTCCCGTTGATCTCTGTCTTGCTCTGGTTGCTTATCTGATTCGGGACGACGGTCTTTGGCGCGTTGGTGGCGACCCTTCATTTCCTCGTCTCCGTACACAAGATCATAATCGTCTCCATTCCGCTCGTATTCGTCACGGTACTGCCGCCTCTTTTCGAGTTCGTCAACACCTCCGAATCCACCCCTCGAAGCGTGTTTTCTGCGCTTCTGGTTTGTATCGTCTCTCCAGACCTGTTGCAGCTTGCTCACACTCTGCGAGAAGTCTACGTGAATACGGCGGTCGTCGATGAGGACATCCTGCATCTTGGCATAGGCAGCCTCGCAAGATGCCTTATCGGCATACTCGATAAAAGCGTACTGAAGACTGTCGCCTGTCTTGGCATCACGAATGACCTCGCAACTCAAAATCTTGCCGAAGCGGCCAAAGATGAGCTCCAAGTCGGCGTCCGTAGTGACGGGGTTGAGCTTGCAGACGAAGAGGACGTTTTCAGGGGGAGCGACCTCGGCAAATGGAAGGTCACCCATCATTTCCAGAGTGAGAGCCTGGGCCCGTGCCTCTCGGTCCCTCCGCCGCTTCTCGATCGCCTCCTCATCCAGATCATCATCTTCATGCAGCGCAGCCTCGTCCGCAATTCGAACGGTCTCGAGTTGTGACTTGGTCGGAGGAGGCGAAGCACTGGGCTCTCGCAGCTCGGGAGGGTCGGGGTACGGGTCATCGAGAATGATGGTGTGCTTGATTCGGATGTCGATGAGCGGGTGCCCCTTGTCGTCGACGATGGCCTCATTGATCTTTTCCAATACATCGAAGCCCTCAACGACTTTGCCAAACACCGCGGCCTTGCCGTCTAAATAATCCGTCTCATCGCCCAACGTAATGATGAACTGGGAGGCGGCCACGCGGGTATCCGGGTCCGAATCCAGGGGCGCTGTAGCCATGCTCACAGTGCCTCGCTCGAGGTGCTTCAGCTTCGGGTGGAAGAAGGCCGGGAACATCTTCTTGGAGCTGTCGCCCGACAACAGGCCCCAGATGGACGTGCCTCCATCAGATTGTTTCGACAAGGGTCCGAGAGGGTCGCCAGTCTGGAAGGAAAAGTTCTTTTGGACAGAGTGGACTGGCGAAAAGTTGTAGTATTTCACTTTGCAGAGCTTCAGGAAACTAGACGTCTTTGGTTAGCTGAGCAAGAGCGTTGTAGCGTTGACGAAGAGCCGCAACTTACTTTTCGCACAACTTGGGCGCGTAGTCGACCAGCAGGTCAATCACGATATCGCCAGAGCTGGTTTCCAAGAGCACCGACATGGCGACGATGGGAGTCGCCTCTCGCTGGCGTCGTCTTCGTCGATGTCGTCTTCCTCGTCTTCCTAGCCGTCGATAGCTTTGGCCTGAACAGGGCTTTCCAGAGCGGAGTGTTTTTCTTGGCCCTGCGAATTGACCAACACGGACAATTCAGCCGATTCGAGTGTCTCGCTTGACCAAAAGACACGAGATCTTCAACGCGAAGCTTCCCGCATGGGCGGAAGGTAGCTGCGCAAGCTAGGCTCGGGCGGCGGCGGTAGTGGTGGGGTTGGAGCGTGTGCGTGGTGGTTGACAATGTTTGCGGCCAAAGTGATGTAGGAGCTGGCCAGTCCGCGAGGCAACGGCAGGGAAAGAAAGGCCGTCTCGTCACATAGTGCGGGAGTCTGTAATGACTGTTATTCGCACGATACCAGAGGTGCACGATACAAGAGATTAGCGAATTGGATGAGGGCAGGGGCAGCTTTGAGTGGACTGCGCTCCACTTATCTGCGTTTGGAGCTTGAGGTGGAGTTTGGCCGATTCGCTGGCGCTGCGGGAAATTTTTATGTTTTTGGATTCGTTCATTTTCTTATTTTGGCAGCGCAGCATAATAGGTACTTACCTACCTTAGCACGACGTTGACAAAAATAAGGACATACCTTAAGGCTCTCACTACCATAATCCTGTCTGCATCCGTACTTTTTAGCACAACTCGCAACAAGTTGACTTATAGACAGGATATATAAACAGTAGTTTTATAATTTCAAAGACATTGTGAATCTTTTGGTAATTTTTCAATATATTTATTTCTATACTTCAGACTGTAGAAAGTCTGTTCTAGTCAGAGAGGTATGTTAGGTGTGTCCTTATTTTGACAGCGCAGCATACCTGGCCACCTACCTAGGGATTGCCAGGTCTGCCTGCTACTGCATATTTTGAGCAATCAGCCCAGGGAGCTTCCAGAGGGAATGTCACGCATACATCTCCAACTCCGCATGCATCCATGGTGATCTATCTCCCATCGTGCTGGAACCATTGTGCCATGCTTTCAACACCATAGACGAGTCTGACCAGTGTAATCATCCAAATCGAAACAAATGTCTATGCGAAAAGTATAGTTAAGGTTGGTAATTGGTGTCATTTCAGTCATTACAAACTCTATGGATGTTTGTGCGTGGTATCCTGCAGCCACCCAAAGGAAAAGGAAATGAACAAAAAAAAAAAAAAGGGCAGCCAGGCTTTCATGTCCGACCAGCCTCGCCAGAAAATAACACCAAATATCCGACAGGCGAGATGAAGGTCGTCTTCGTCCTCGCCTGTATGCACTAGCTTTTCCCTTCTCTGATGAGCAAAACGACCCATGTCGTGGCCATATCCATGCCATGCCTTTCTCGGCAAATGTTGAAATTCCCACACACTTCCCTCAAACGCCACTCGACGGGGTTGGTTGATTCTCCTGTCAATCCAACGCCTGAAAAGAAAAAAGAAAAAAAAAAGGGGGGTCCGGAGCTATTAGGTAGGTTGAAAATAGACCAATAATTAACCCCTCCCAATGCTGCGCTTTTTGTGTCACTCCGCAAAGACCAGTGTGAGATGATAAAATCTCACGGGGCACTCTTGCGTCGTCTCTCCGAACGGAGTTCCTTTTCCGTGTCCATGAGCCGACACTGCACCCACATGCGGAACGAGCTGTCGCTCCGCACCTGCTCGCAGCTGAGAAGCTCCATCAGGGCCCGCTTCATGCCCTCGTTGACGTCGAAGAGGCGCTGCTCCTCCTCGGCGACCGCCCAGATGGTCGTCTCGTCGGCGATGGGCGCGAGCGAGCTGCTGCGGCGGGCCTTGGGGCTCGATAGCGACGTGCGGCGGCTTCGGCTGTGGTGCCTCCTACCGCCGTTGGGGTACTGGCCAAAGGGCGAGCAGGTGCTGCGCGTCGGCGATACGGAAGGTGACGAAGAGAGGGAGGTGTTGGAGGTCGTCATGGGGCGGATCGTGTCCAGGTGCTGGCGGAGCTCCTCGTGTTGGGACTGGAGGAGGAGGTACTGCTGGAGGGCAAAGTTGGAGGTCTGCTCCTGGGAGGACAGGGTGGTCGCGGCGGCCATTTTTGACGTTGGTGGATGTGGTAATGATAGTGTGCAAGTAATGTGTCTTTGGGCTATTGACGAGCCCATCGGAAATATGTGTTTCGTTTGTGGGCGTGGATGAGGTGAGTATATGGGCTTTTCCAAGGAACCCAGGCGGAAAACAATGTTCGGAAGCGATATCGAATGGTGTGTGGGTGTAGACGTGTGTGTGTGCCTTGGTGAGATGGTCTCGTAGTGACGGGAGTGGGTAAGTCGATGTCGTCAACGTGATGTGGTCTTGGACACCGCAATGGTTCTCAACGAGACTTATATAGAGTGTTGACGCTGTTACTATGTGTGTATGCTTCTTTTCGTCTTCGATAAGGGAAAAGAAGAGGCGTTTATTCGGGTTGGCGTAATGGCTGGGAGACGGAAGAGTAGTTGACTCGTGGTTTTGGGCCGAAGGTTCGGGTGCGAGTGAGCAGGTGGTGTCGAGTACTAATACCAAATGAGGTACTTTGAGTCTCTTGCGACTCCTGGAGCTACCGCCCTGTCAATGGCGTCGATCAATGGTGGATCCAGCGTCCTTTGTCTCCTTTCAATCGAACCCCCGTTGGCGTGCGAGACGAGGAGACGACGGGCGGGTGTGCGTTGGAGCTTGCGGGGGTCGCTGGTTAAACGGTCTCGAAAGCCCCTCTCAGCTGTCGGTAATAAATGTGAAAAAGAGGAGTAGAACAAGAGGGCGTGGCCGTTGTCGGACAGATGTTTGGTCAGATTGGTCAGAGATTGAGGGCCTCTCTGGGGAAAATAGACGGCAAGGGGGTTGGTGGATGGGGGAATCAAGTAATATGTATGTAAGGTGTGATAACGTGTGCTTGTTTTGTTTCTCTGCGATAGGCGTGTGGACGGTGTGGTTTATGTGCCTCTCTCCTTTTGCAGTTTGCGGTGTGCACGTCCGATGCAGAGTCGATGCAGACAGATGCAGGATAACGCAGCGAGGTACCTAGGTAGCTTCCCCGGTAGTCGATGGTCTTTTGTTTTTTTTTTGGTTGTTTTTTATTAATAGGCACTTGTGGATGGCCCGGAAGTGATGAGCGGAGTCGTGGGCGATGCGCAAAGAGGGGAACTCTGGAGACTCTACGTAAGAATCGCGTTGTCGCCGTCCTCCGGTCTCTGCATAAGTAATAAAGTATTCCGGGATTTGGCAAGACTCAGGTACAGCAATCAAAGCTTGGACTGCCTCGTGGAAATGGTACGTTCAATGGCGCCAAATATAACTGCAAGCCACAGGGCGTTTAACCACCGGCCGGGATGCGGTTGACAATGTTCAGGTCCCGGGTTGTGTGCAAGTCCCACTGCTAATATACGACGTATCGAGTACACGCGTTGCAGAGAAAAACAGGGTAACGGGTGTGGGCAAATTCGGTAGCCAAGACTCGGGAGTAAAAGAATAAGTGAAAAAAACGTGAGAGATGTGCGCGAGCGAGCTTGGTGTGGAAAGGGGCTGCGATGGCGCCGGCCGACAACCATGAGTTGGGTTGGAAGCTTTTTTTTTTTTTTTTTTTTTTAAAGCCCACGATGCCCTGGATGGACTGGTTCAGGTTTGTCGTCGCAGAGTCAAAGCCCAATCGGCTAAAACCTTTGCTAGCTTGAAAGTGGTTGGCGGTGTTTCCGTCGTCCGTGGCAGAGGGGATCCAGAAACTTTTTTGTTTCTCCTCCCGTTGGAATATGCTTTTTGGGGGGGGAAGAGGAGAAATACGGATAGGTACCCTTGAAAAGCCAACTTTGGGGTGTGTGAGAACGTGCGTGTGTGTCTCTTTGTGATGTGTGCGTCTGTCTCTGCCTCTGATTTGTGCGTGATGATAATGATACTGATTATGAGAGGAGCCCAACTACCTAATCATGGCGGCCGATAGCGTAAGACGGGATGGGACGGGCGTACACCTATGTATGGATGTCTGGGAAATGGGTGTGGAGGGACACACTCTCCACAGCCCCTGGTCCAATTAATAGACCCGGTCCAGCCCGGTTGTGATGCTGAGCCCGGTGGGAACAGCGTAATACGAAGAGGGACCCGGGAGAGTTGCGTGCTCGCAATGTCAAAATTCGTAGGCGTTTCTCGGAAGGAGAGACTGTGGAGGCCGGTTCGCTGTCGGTGGTGCAATAAACCTGTTCAATGCTGCGCTATTCCGACAAGAATAAGAATGGCCACGGCGTGCGCCTGGTTCATGCGGTTCAGGGGCGAGAAACGCCGCGACTAGTTGGTCCACGTTGTTGGCTAGGCCTTGTTCTGATTTGCGTAGCGCAGCCTGCCGCAGACGATAGCGCTATCTTTGGTTGTTCTTCTTGGGTGGTCGCTGGCGCCCCGGTACGAGTTTCCTACCCAAAAGGGCCAAAGGGGCGACGTGATGATGATACGCAGGGTCGTGTCGGCGTGGCGCTGCTAGGGCCGACTTGGTAAGATTGTGATACCGACGATGCGGTTGGGAGACGCGATAACAGAGTTCGTTGACTGGGTGTGAGAACCCCTGGGCGCGGGCTCGACCTCAGCTGGCTGCACGTGTGTTCGCTAATGTGGTTGCCGTCCCGATGATGTGATGCCTGAAGGTGTCTGACAAACAAAAGCTTCACGAAGCTGAGTTGATCGTGTTGACTTTGCTGCTGCTGATGCTGCGCAGGCCGGTGGCTGTGCGTCCTCGTGTCTGCGGAGACGGCCTCTTGTTCTCGTGATTGTCGACGTAGTTGCAGGTATTGTGATCCGTGTTCAAGTTTTTGCTGGTCTTCCAAGGGCTCGGGGGTGTACCAAGTTATATCACAGTGATACATAGCAATGCAGGGAAGACTGGAATTAATCAACAGTGTCTCGCCGAGATCTGATATAGATGAACTTGTAAGTGAGCTTTTGTCTTGAGGGGGCTTGACGCTGATGAGGCTGGTGGCATTATGTAGGTCACATCATCCCTCATGAAATGAATCTGAGCACAAGTGACGTACATGCCTCAGAAAAAGCCCATGTGGCTCACCACCGCTTGGGTCTCGCCTACGAATATCAATCACACGTTTTCCAGCCTGGTTTTACCCCGATGAGGTAGGTATTCATCGGGTAATTTTCTGTTTGTTTGTTTTTTGTGGCCCTGGGCTATGGATACTTACCCAAGGAACCGCTAGCGCTCGCTTTGAATGGACGCTCCCCGCGCCGGCAAAGGTTTCCGAGCAGACAGAGTGTGGCCAATGCTGGAAGGCAAATTTCCCGCAAGGGTGTGATCCTGTTTTGCTTTGCTTTCAGACGAAAGCTAATAATTCGTGTTGCGGGAGATCCCTTGAGCAAAACGTCTTTGACCAGCCGTCTGGTTGGTCCATGGTTTCAAGTACAGCCCGGGGTCGAGATGAGCGGGAAATATGACAGCGCCCAAGAAAGACAACGGACGATTGAACGGTGAGCGGCGAAGGGTGTACACACCGCGCGGCTCGGGGGCGATAAGATACTTCGGTTCTGACAGGTCGGAGACAACCAACCTTGCGTGTGGGTGCATGGGGTTTGGGGGTTCAACACCAAGGCCCAAAGTGGGTACGCAACCGGACGTATCGTCCGGAGAGAACTTCACCTTCTCAGTTCGGTTTACTGGCGCCTGTCTACGCAGCTCGACCGAAGCTTGGGGCCTTGGGGGTTGCCTCATCGTCAAATGATCGGTCGGCGCCAGATATCTCTGACAGTCCAGGCTCTGCGATCGACGGGCCAGCGTACGCAACCTAACCGCAACCACGAGACCAGCAGGCTGTGAGGCACGGGGTTCGTACCTTGCAGAGAAGGCCCTTCGGGTCCCAATAGAAAGAATAGCGGCTGGCGGTCGATCCAAGCATGTTTTGACAAGTCGCGGACCACACCATCCCAACACACAATCAACTGACCGATCTTTTCGTAGGACCAGCGCCGGCCTTTTAGAACCGAGACAATTTGATGCTCGTCCTCGGGCGGATGCGATGACTTCATAACCTCGTTTCAAAGGCTTCCCGGTGCCCTGTTTGTCTCCGCCTTTTCTTCGCTTCCGCTCTCCTGATCCCTCTCCAAGTTCCTTTCCCATCGCTTTGAAAACTTCATGCCTGGTAAGTCAGGAAACCCCCCAATGGTCAGACCAGAGTCCCAGTGTATTGGCAGCACGCTTGTGCTCCGGAAAATACCAGCCTGCCCAATCATCAAGCTCCCAAAGACTTCTGGCACTTTGGCTGATGTGCAGGGGGCAGCTCCTTCGTGCGAGCCACACGACCACCCCCAACGTCACTCTGACTGACCTGGCTGGCATGGTGTTTGCCGCCCTCCATTCTCCTGGTCGTGATTTCAGCCACATCTCTGGTAATCGACAGGATGACGTCCAGCTGTTCATTGACCCATCAAAAGGTCGTCGTCCACGAACAAGCCGGAGCGTAATGTCCGTTCCCGGTTGCCAGCGGAGCGCCTGGGCCTTACGTAAAGTTCATTCCTACCCAACAAAGCTTTGCACCTCGAATTGAGTTTCTGGCGAGCAGACCGAGGGCGAGAAGGAAACATGGTGGCCTTTCATCTCAGAACGCATCCGGTTGCACTTGAACTCTCTGCGCGTCCTGAGACTGCCGGAGCATCAGACCATACCGTCTTGGCCCCAGAATGCGGGGAAGCTGGGCCCCGGGATGTGCATGAAGTTGACAGCCGATAACACGAGAATCGACTGGTCGGAATCTTGTTCAAGATGGCATGATGGTTGGAAACCTTGGGGTGCATCTTCATGATCGTGACTTTGGTCGGTGCCGTGGCCTGACTTCAGTTCCGAATCTTCATCGTTGGTCCGGAGGGAATGTGCTATTCGCTATTCGAGGCGCCCATCCATGCCCAACTCACCAGTTTCCCCTCCGCATTACCTGCGGATCGTCGGTCTTCGGGAGGCCTTCTGCTACTCGAGACGACGCATCCCCCTCTCCGGAGCTCAGCTTGGACCCTGATTTTTGGGTCGTACGCAGGTCATCGGGACCCTTGTTGGGCCTCCATACAGCCTGCGTGGTGGGATGCAACCCCGAGGTATCAGCGAGCTAACTTAGATTGCATCATTTTCGCTCAGGAACTCTCCTGGTTGTTTATGATGGCTTGCTGCGTCTCCCGGCCTGCCTGTCATCATGCCACTCACTAAGCGATGGCGCGCGTGCCAAAGTATCGAAGCCAAGCTTGCTCCTAATAGCGAAATGAAGCTCCGAACTTCGTATTATTTTGAGTTGCCCCAAGTTGCATCTCGTGCCGTCTTTGTGTTGCAAAAGTCCCGTATGTTTGTCCACAAGCTTCCATTTTGTGTGTTACTTTGGAGGGTAGCAATGATCAGATATTGGAAGCTGACAAAAGGAAGGCGCCGGGATCGTGACTAACACCACGCCTCGCCTGAGGCAGCACCTCACCATATCGCACTTGTAGTCGGCGGTGCTGAGACTCGACAAATTCGAATGGGCACGCTATCATTGTAGAACGGTCCCTTTTGCCGCTGTCTCGGAGGGATGGAAAAGTCGACATAGCTCAAGCCCATCTCGCGCTGACGGCAACGGCTGCAAAAGGCCTCGAACGTGACCTCATTCCGCTGGGTCGCGGATATCAAAACCTGTACGGCAGGGAACAAGGCAAAGAGCTCTTCGAGGGTTGCTATGAGGGCCGGAATGATGCTCTGGTCATAGGTGATGTCTGCTCCGATCACAATATCAACATCATCGCCGTTATTCCACTTTTGATCCTCTGTTCCAACGAGAGCATGCCCCCATCTGAGCTCCATGGGTCTGATGAGGGTGCTATCTTGCAGGTCGTTAAGGAAGAAGCTCTCTGGAAGGTTATTGATCACATCATCGGATCCATCGGAAGCTACAACGTGAGTGGCGCCGAGATGGTTGACGCAAAGGATTGCCAGGTATCCAGTACCTGCTCCAAGCTCAAGGACTCGCTTCCCTTGGACGAGGTCTTGATTCTCGCAAAGGAACTGCCCGAGATGTAGCGCGGCTTCCCATGTTCGGAGACCCGTGGTGCCGGAGGCAGAGATCAGCGAGCGGGCCTCAAGCAGGGTGATGTCAGGCGGAGGCGAGTGCCTAGGCCGGGGGCTCTGTTCGAGACCACTCAGGTGATATGTGACATATGATTTCTGCTGAGCAGAGGATACCTCAGAAGGAATTGGAGCTGAAAGAGATTCGGACAAGGCCGTCATGAGATCTTCCGAAACTTCCTAAGCACAGTTAGAAGGAGATGCCCATAGCCGACAGCAAAGCGTCATGCCACGGCGCTATCTAGAAAGAATTGGGACGTACATATTGGTCCCAATCATCGATGCTAGACTCTATTCTGGCAACAAGCTCTTTCAGAATCCGGAGGCGATATCTTGCAGGAGGAGGATAACGAGGGCCTTGTTCTGAGAAGAGTTTCTTATAGATGGTGTCTTGGGCTGGTGGTTCACGGATGATCTCTGCAGTAGGATACTCGAGTGTTGACTCAAGCTGAAGATACTGGTAGCAGAAACGGTCGACGGAGTCTGATGCAGATAGGATTCCGGCCATGGTGGTCGAGAATTGTTGCAAAACCCTGAAAAATATCGTATGTTGCCCTATACGGTGAGGTGTAGAGCTTCAATATCGGGTGGTTGCAAAGGGTACAGCCTCAGTTTACGGCCACTGAATGCTTGTGCAGACGCAGACGATAAATGATGAGCTCTGCAGCAGAAGTGAGCATTGAACAGCCCTATGATTGAGAGAGAGAGTCGTCCCCCAGCAAAATCCTGAAGGTACGAGATCTTAAGAGGCTGCAAAATTCGGCCAGACCAAAAGTCGAAAACATCTCTGGATCGTAGGCTCGGGATGTACAAAATGCACAACGATTGATGCTGACTCAGAAGGAAGCCGATCACCGTGCAAACACCGTGCCAAGTGCACACGATCCATCTGTCAATCACATGACCATTCTGGAGAGTTGAAGAGGTCCGTGCCTCATTCTTACCCACGTGACTTTCCATTTTTCGATCAGGCAGGTGCGGCGGATCCTGAGGCACTTTCTAGGGCTTGCCCACCCATTAAGCGACACCAATCCCCGCCCAGGAAAATTCACGTCTGTAGCCCCGTCACAAACCTCTCGAATTTGACGATATCACACCTTTCGACTCTTCTGTCTCAGCGCCAACCCATCTCGACAGACAGATCAGCCCCCCCGACCGATAAGATGGCGGACGTCGACACCCCCGTCACCCTGCGAACTCGCAAGTTCATCCGTAACCCCCTGCTTGGCCGTAAGCAGATGGTCGTGTGAGTTTGCCCCTCCAGATTTTATCATCGTTGCCCCCTCGAAGAGAACGCGCGCGCACGAAGGAAAGACCGAAATGGGAGGAGGAAAGAACACCAACAATCGATACGCGGTACATCGACAACACTGGATCGGGATACGGATTGGAACAGACGACGGAAGCGCGCGCGCGAGAGATGGAATCGATGGGAATTTTACATGGGCACACCGAAAGAGAGGACTGTGAGCTGACGGTTTTCTCAAAGTGATATCCTCCACCCCGGCCGCGCCAACATCTCCAAGGATGAGCTCCGCGAGAAGCTTGGCTCCCTGTACAAGGCCACCAAGGACCAGATCAACGTCTTCGGTCTCCGCACCCAGTTCGGTGGCGGCAAGACCACTGGTTTCGCCCTCGTCTACGACTCCCCCGAGGCCCTGAAGAAGTTCGAGCCCCACTACAGACTGGTCCGCGTCGGCTTCGCCAGCAAGATCGAGAAGGCCAGCAGACAGCAGCGTACGTCGAACCTCCAATCAGCTTATCGCCACCGTGGCAGTATCACATTGCCGAGTCTCTGGACAAACCTTTACCCGTCTGTCCCGGACATGTATTGTGATACATGCGTTGGTGGCGAATCTGATAACAACCCCTCATCCCAAGCATTGATGGCTGACTCTACTCGCGCTCCACAGGCAAGCAGCGCAAGAACCGCCAGAAGACCCTGCGCGGAACGGCGAAGGTCAAGGGTGCCAAGAAGAAGAAGGAATAAGCGGTTCGCCCTTGTTGCCTGGGGTCAGGCCAACATCACGAGGGGATTCCCCGGATCATCCGCAAGAGACCGTGGGCGGCGTTGGTGGAACAATCAAAAAAGAACAATTCAAAATGTCGTCTTGGGTCAATGTGGTTGTTTGTTCCGCTGGGGGAAATGTCCTTTCATTTTTTTCCGAAATGGGGGAGTTTTATTCCAACAACTCGGCTGTGCATCATTCGATGAAACAAATGCGGCTCTTGCATCATCCCCATGCGTTGGTCCGGCGGGTTTATGTCGGCCACGCGAAAAACAACTAGAGTCTACGCGGCGTGATACGGGGGAATGGGTTCATGATTCTCTCAAATATGAAATGCATCAAAAACACGTAATCCCGATGGTCCCCCTTCTCTTAGTCCATGACGTTACCACTTGCGGGGTGGCAGCCCTCGCCCCGTCGTACCACTCTGTCACCACGACTCGATGGCCCTCTACTTGTAGCCTTCTGGAGGAACTGGTACTGGAGACATGATGATCTGCCAGGCCCACACTTTGCTGTACAGATGTAGAGGCCGTGTTTTAAGGTCACCCCTCATTAGGAGAGGGCGTGTACGTGGCTGAGGAGTTTGTCGTAATAGGGATATGTCATGCTGAAGACTTGCTTCGTAACCTGTGTTCACGTCGCCTGTATCGGTGTTCTACTGAATGGTCAGAGAGAACGGAGCATACTCTCACGGTCGAGGCAATGCGTGCCATTTTACGATTGTTAGATTCCCATCCTCATCACTAGCCAAGGTCAATAACAAATATGACATCTACAGGATTCACCGGGGTTTCCCACATAAGCACTTTCTTCATTCCAACTTGTAGCCGTCACCGGATTCATCCTGAATGGTCGCACGAATGACAATGTACATGGAATATGTGTCGACGGTAGCGTTGTAGCCGGGGACATCGGGCGGGCAAGCATACTCGATACAATAGGACGAACAACAATTGCACCGCATATATAATCATTGTCCGTCATCATCATCCAAGGTCAAACCAGCGGGCGGGACGGTCAACCGTTCATGTTCTACACTCCTGCAAACTCGTAGATAAAAACAGCTCCTCACAAGACATCTGATAAGCATGCTACTAGCCTCACGATGATCCTACTAACTCATAATACACATCACCACCATCAACAGACCTCCAACGCCCTCCTCCCATCGTAACGAGGATATCCGAGGCCAGGCGACCCAACATGTTCCCCATCCAGCCCAACCTCAGCACTTTTTCTCTGCAACTGGCATCGAGCACACACAAAAACACACCATCTTTGCCATGAGAACATCGCAAAGCAGCACAGTCTCGCTCATTTTCCACGTTGAATCGCTTTTGATTATGCTCTTATAAGACGAGAAATGGTGGTATGCATACAATCCCATCCCCCAAAGCACCCCCCAAAACGCCATGTATCGCCGCTCTGAACAGTCTACATCTTTTATCGACACCGATAAAACGCCATACCATGCCCATGCCATGCTGCTGCCGTCTACCGCACGAAGAAGCACCCTCTGGTCGAATGGTCCCCCCCCCCCCCCACGGGCCAGCAGCCAACCACTCCGGCCCCCCCTCCCCCCCACACCTCCCCCCTCCTCTCCCCCCTCCCCGCCACCCACCCAGCCCGCCCCCCCCCCCCACTCGTCTCCGCCCCACCCACCGACCCAACATCATCTGCCGCCCACCCGCCCCCCCCCCCCGCCAAGTGCAAGCAGCAAATCACTCCGTCTCCCCCTCCCCCTCAAATCTCCCTCATCTTCTTCGCAGGCCGAGCCAGCGAATCATCCGGCAACCCACTCCTCTTCGTTCCAGGCAAACTACTCGTCCGAATATCATTATCGTCCTGACTGACCCTCCGATGCGGATACTCATTCTTCAACCCCTCAAAACAGTGCGCATTCAGCCGGTCCCCCGTCGAGAAAAACGGATGCTGCAGCGCCTTGGCAGCCGTCAACCTCTCCACGGGATCGTACTCCAACAGGCTCGCCAGCAGCTTATACCCCTCGGCGCCCAAGCTCGCCAGCGGCGCACCCCCATTGCCACCCTGAGGCGCCGACGTCGCGCTGCTCGAGGCCCCCTGCGAGATGGTGCTGTAGTACCACTTCTCCAGATTCGAGCCACTCGGCGCGGGCGGGTGGTGGCCGTACCCGTGCCCGCGGTGGTGGCCGTGGTGGCCGTGGTGATGCGGCGTCATGGGCGGCTGGAGGGTGGCCAGCTGGGGGTACTCGGGCATCGCCGTCAGCAGCGGCCAGCGTTCCTTGGATGGCAGGCCCATGATGTCGACAATCTTCTGCATTTGGTTCCGCTGGAAAGGCACCGTCTTCTTGCTGTCCATCTTCGCCTCTTCGCCCTTGAAAATGGGGCGGAGGGAGAGGAGCTCCGCAAAGATGCAGCCAACGGCCCACAAGTCGATGGCGGGGGTGTAGTGACGACTACCGAGTATGAGTTCCGGCGCGCGATACCATATGGTGACGACGACCTTATCACCGCTGAAGAGGGAGTGCATGGGTTTATCGAAACGACGAGCTAGTCCCAAGTCGCCGATCTTGACCTCGCCGGCCGAGGTGACCATGATGTTGGCGGGCTTGAGATCGCGATGCAGGACCCAGTTGGCGTGGAGATACTGGCAACCGTTGAGAAGCTGGAACATGATGCTCTTGACCGTCTGTGGCGGAATGGGATGGCGTGGGTTTTGGGTGTGGTGATGAATAATCTGCAATAGGTCGTGCTCGGCATACTCAAATACCATGAAGATGCACTTGTCTTCCAGGATGATGTCGATGAGCTTGATGACGTTGGCGTTCTTCAGTTCGCTGCACAAGGACATCTCGCGGATGGCGGACTGAGAGATGCCCGTATACGAAATCTGTTCACCTTCCTTGTCGGGCTTGAACTTCTTGATGGCAAACTCGCCAATCTGGCCCTGGCGGCCAAGTGCCTTGTAGACGCGGCCATAGGTTCCGGAGCTAATGAATCCGACGACCTTGTATCGCTCGATCACCCGGACCTTGGGTTGATAGTTGATGTGGCCGAGGCCGCGGTCTGCTGGGTCTGTGAGAATTTGTGTCAGCGCTGCTGAAAGTGAGTGAGAAGCGGAAGCCGATATGAAATCGGGAGAGGATGTCAAATACAGGAGCTATGATTGTGCAGGCCGCCGTAGCCTATTCCCCTCCACATATTTAGAAAGTGTGAGAGAGGTCCTTTTGTAGAAGGAAAAGAGACGGATGATGTGGGCGACGAGAGAAAATTTAAGGAGCAAACACGATATGCACTCGCTCTACAGACGATACATGTCTCTTGGTCCCGAGTACATATGATGGGGAATATCAGGTGAGGCCTTTGGAAGCAACACACGGGTGGCAGTAACCACAGAAGGACACCGTCAAGCAGGCAAAGCTCACCGCCGATCCCAGGGCAGATTCAGGCTTCGGGTCTGGGGCTGACTGAGGCAGGCACTGGCCTGGAGTTCGCGGGGTGGCTCTAAGCTTTGAAGAGCAAATAGGCAGAGAGCGGCGGCAGCGGAAGAATGCAGCCTGCCACCCGTCGAAACACACAGCACGGCACAGTTCGCGAAGTTGCGCCGGAACCCTTTTCCTCTCGGCTGAGTGATCGCGTGAGATGCAAGGTAGCGGTGGGGAAGGGAGAATGAGGAGACGGCAGATGCAGAATCCCCGAAAGGTATGTATAGGTAGGTGTATCTCACACTGCGGGATTCCCGGTAGGATGGGACTGGAGGGGTGGAGGTCGAGGTGGATTAGGATTGGATTGGGGACGCAGTGCGGATATGTGCTGGGATCTGTCTCTGAATGGGTGTGTATGAAAATTCTCGGAAAATGGGGCAATGCGAAAATGCACAAGAGCAACAAAAGGCGAGGCGCCGCCGAGTGATAAACCCGATACCCGAGAGCTTCCCAAGGGTCTTGGGAAGGGTGAGCGTGAAACCGCAGGGCAGTAGTAGCCAAGCTGCGTGGAGAAAGATTGCGAGTGCGGAAGCGAATGTGTGTTGTGTGGTGAGTGAGGGAGTTAGTAAGTGAGAGAGACAGAGTGTGTGTGTGTGTGTGTGCAGTGCAGGAGACATGTGCAGGATTGGGAGCGGGAGGGGTGCATTTCGACGAGATACGATTCGATACACAGGACGGATGGAACACCCGGGGTGGTCGTCGTCGATCGACAAGAGGAGAAAATGTGGATAAGATTATACATTAAAAGAAAAGGGGTACGAGGCGACGGCGACGTCCGCGGTGACGACCGGACCGTTGGAAGCGGGATGAACAAGAAACGTATATCTCACTCCAAGTCTGAGGTGTGTGTGTCTCTTCCTCGCTCCTCTCACGCTCATCCAATTTGTCTTTTGCCGCTGCTAATCTCGCTCACTTGTTGCACCCGATGTCTGTCGCTTGACTCTCGGTTTGCCTTTCCAGACGACACATTGACATCAACTCGAGTCAGGCGAAAGGGCAAAAACTGGGTAGTCAAGGGGGTAAAGTGACAGTAGGTACGAACGCGGCGTTTGCAATAAAGGTATAATGAACCGAACCGACAAGCAAACATCAAAACTCACCTTCAAACGCTGCCTGGACGCTTCTCTTGAGCGTGCCCGACCGCACTGAGCCAGGGCCAGAAGCGACTGATGGCGGGTTGGTCAGACTCATCATCCGCCGTGGGGGTGGTTCGCTGCTGACTCTAATGTCCGTATTGGAGTTGCGAATTCGATGATCCCAGGTATCCGATTAGGTATCCTCCCCAAAATCACCCCCGTTAATTCGTGGAGTCTTTCCCCAAAGTATCTCGCGGTTTCGTGCCTTGCCTGGCTCAAGTCGGGACTTTGAATGCGACAACCGTAAATTGGGGCCTCTCTCTATCAGTCTCAGCCCCTGTTGGTGAGACTAAACCGCAACTGCCCTGTCCCAGGAACCAGGACTTTGCCTTCGTTTATAATTTGTCCCAAGAAAACTCCGCCGGAACGTGGCGAAAATGGGGCACGCACACTTGCCCAGTGGATATTGTTCGGCGAAAGTCTGAATCTGGTTTACCTTAGGAGAAGGTAACCGTAGCTCCGGCTTGGGTCTCCCGAAAAGTCAAGGTTGTGTCGGCGAGCAGCACGGGTAGGGTCAATGATCCAACCGAAAAATGTCGAGTCCGCAGTCCGTCAGAAGTCAGCTGCTCCAAAGGGACAGGCGTCGGCGCCAGACCAGCCAGAGCCTCGTGCGCGGCGCAAGATGGATGGATGGCGCAAGATCCCGCAAAGGTGTCAAGGTGTGCTCGCCTATGCGCGTGGGCAGGCGTGTGTATGCGCGTAGTATGGCTATCGCTATCTCTGAGTAGCGACAGTGCTGTGCCGCAGGAGACGGGTGTAGTGCCCCGAAACTAACGGCCCCGCGCTGGACACGGCAAAAAGGAATATGTCAAACCCCAAATCGAGTCGCGGGTGAGCTTATCCTGAACGACTGTCTAGTAGGGGTTGCCGATGAAGGCGCGCGAATCTGCGTGCGCGCGCGGGGGTCATCGACTCTTTGGTGTAAAGTCCCTTCGTCCCCCTCTCAGATTCGGAGATCGGACTTGCGCAGGCGCGCCCACGCGGCGACTCCCTTCGTCGCTGAGCAGGTGGGCTGGCTGGGATTCTCCTAGATGCTTCGCGAGTTGCCGAAGCAAGAGACCAATAGAACAGGCGCGACTCGGAAGTGTTGGTATGCTCCGGAAGGCGATGCGCCCTGGTAACCTGTTGAGCGACTGTATGGGACGATGGGCGTCGCGCGTCGGGCACGAAGTCGCAAAGTATTTCTGGTGACTACTGGTGTGTGCGATCACAAGCGATGGCTATTTGAAGTGCGGAGAAACCCCTGGGCAGAAAGTACCGCAAGTTTGAGTAGGAAGGGACGGGCAATAGATCACAGGGGGGACCCAAGGATATGCGAAATGGCGGACGGATGGTGATTGATGGCAAGCGAGTGAGAAGTTCAAGTTCCTGATGAGAGCAAGGAGTGAGTTGAAGTGACGTTTCACCACGGCAGCAAGTAATAGACGAGGCGGCGTGGCTTCCGTTCGTAGGGCGCATCAGTTTCTCTGGTAGCGGGAAGCCGCTGCCTGGTTGTACAGTGTTGAGATGTCGCCGTCTTGCACAGTGCTGGTGTCAGTGTAAGGTACGGATATTGGAGGTGAGGTATTCTACGTCAGGCACATTAAGACTCCTATTTGCCAGCCCCTCCATGTCAGACAATCTAGATAGACCCTCTGGGTACCCGAATCATGATAGAGTTCATCAACTTTTTTCGTTAGAAAACAAAAGAGGCTCTAAAAACCTGCCACATGCATGCTACGGCTGCTACCACCCGAGACCAAGTCAGACTGAATATTACCTTGAAAGATAATTCACCTATCGCGGGCCAAGCTTCTCGAGCACACGCGGTCCCTGTTCATCCCACTCCTCCTTGGTCACCCACATGCCTTCCTTGTCCGCCATAATGTTGGCCAGCACTGCACCACCGAGGAACACCATGTGTCTCCGGCGGGGTGGGTCTTCTATCCGGACCTTGAACTTGTTTAATCTCTCCGGGTTGCCGCCAAGCACCCGCGTCAGCCACAGCTGCTTCAACTCTTTCTCCAGACGTGATGGGAGACCCGGGTACATGCTGCTGCCACCCGACAGCACAATGGCCTTGAACAGCGATGATCTCACGTCAACATCCGCCGCCTGGATCGTGTTGAACAGGAACTCGGCAATACCGGGCTGCTCGCAGTCCACCAAGTGAGGCTGGAACAGGCACTCGGGCGCCTCGAACCGCTCGCTGCCCACTCTGATCACGCGACCGTCGGGCAGCGTGTAGCTCTCCACCAACACCGTTGTGTCCTCGCTCAGGCGCTTGTCCAGTTCCAAGTCGTACGAGACGTAGCAGAGCTTCTCCTTGATCTGGCGGACAGTCTCGAAATCGGCCGTTCGGTTGAGCGCGTAGCCGCGGCGCAGGAGGAGCGCAATGAGGTTGCGCGTGACATCTCGGCCCGCGACATCCAATCTGCGAGTAAGGTGGTTCAGGACGACCGACTCGTAAACGGGCACGATGTGGGTCACGCCGTCTCCCGAGTCGACGACGACACCGGAACTGAGACCTGTCAAGGAGCAGCCAAGGTCAGCCTCGTGTATATTCTCTTTCTCCAGTCCGAGTTGGGCGCAGCTGGTACAAGCAACATACCTTGGGCGTAAAGGGCCAGCACGGCCTGGATCGCAACATAGACGCCGCCGAATCCATAGCGGTCAAACATGACCTCGCACATCTGCTCACGGTTCCGCAGCGGGTTCATCGGGGGTTCGGTCAACAAGATCTTGCGGCCGCGCGGGTCGACCTTCATCTTCTCAAAGAAGGTGTAGTCCCAGAGATGCTGCATGTCATCCCATTTCTTGACGATACCGTTCTCCATGGGGTAGCTGATCTGGAGCATCGTCCGGGCGGCAGCGGCTTCGTCACCGCACATGATATCCTTGATAACCAGGTCATTGTCCTCGCCCTTTTCTTCGGTTCTCAGGATCGGTCGGCCAACGATGGATGGGTATTGGAATTCTGGGAAGTTCTGTGCTGCGTAGCCGACCTTGAGGAAACCTGTTCCTCCGTCGAGGACTGTGGACCTTGCGTCAGCCACCTCCCGATCGCAGGATCAACCACGGGAAAGCGGTCACAGGCATAACTATGCAGCCAAAGCTGCAGCATCAGGGGCATTGCGACTTACCGATGGGGGCCTCGGCTGCCATTGTGAGAGCAGAAGCTGCAGGCTGTCGAAATTGGAGCTTCTGTCGATTGGGGGAGAGGTGAGGTGAGGTGTGGTTGGGAGGGCGTCCGGGAAGCTGTTACGTCTGTGTCGTCGATAGTGGGGTTGGGTAAGGTTCACTGCCTCCAGCTGTCCTGCCACTGGATCGTCAGCCAGGTCGTGGCTGAGCGGCGTCTGTCACGTGATACCCCGCAGCCAGCAGTCGTCACGGTCGAGTGCACTGTCACTGAGGTGGTGGTGAGGTTGGAGCTGTACCTACACAGCTCCTGCGGTGCACTGCACGAAGGTAGAACCCAGCGTCACCGGACCGGCAACCCCACCTTGACGGGAGGTTCTCCACTCGTTGAAGGCCGCTGGTCGGCGGGACCAGTGTGATTCCCACGTTTGAGGGATGAGCAATATAGGTAGCTCGATGCCTTATTTTCTCAAACGAATTTATCAAAATCGTCATTTTATCGGAGAGAATTATCCCAAATCTATTTAAATTCAAGTCACAAAGCAGCCATGGCGACCCGTCTCCTTCGTCGGAATATCAAGATCCTCGTGATCAACGCCAACTCGTCCGAGGATATGACGAGGGGCATGGAGAGGGCCATACAAGCAATGCACTTGCACGATGTAAGCCAGAACAAATCAGTTGGCCGTACATAGCGACCAAGACCCAACCACAACAGATCAGTGGCTCACCTCTCTCTCTTTTGCTGCCAGTCCCTCGAGATTCACACCTACACAGCACCATCTGAAAGTCCGGCAAGCATCAACGATGATGCGGATATCAAGCTGAGCACCGAGGTCGTTATCAATGATCTCGTCAAAAGCGGGAAGCTCCAAGACTACGACGGCGTGCTCGTCGCATGCTATAGCGTTCATACCTTGGTCGAGCAGCTTTCGCAGCAGTTCCACGCCTCGCTGGCCGTCACCGGCATCTTCGAGGCCAGCATACTAACTGCAACCTCGCTGTTGCCTCACAGTTCTGACGCTTCACGCTCATCGAAATGGGGTGTTGTCACGACGGGCGAGTTCTGGGAGAAGCACCTAAGTCAAGGCGTGAAGGGTTATCTAGGTCAACCTGACCAGTCAGAGAATGTCAAGTTCGCGGGAATTGCGTCGACCGGCTTGACAGCTGGGGACTTCCACCACATCAGCCCGGCTGAAGTGAGGGTCAAACTAGAGCAAGCTACCAAGAAGCTGCTGAGTAGCGGGGACGTGCGATGTGTGGTCATGGGTTGTGCTGGCATGGCCGGGCTCGAGGAGATTATCCGAAGCTCGGCCAATGATATCTACGGTCCGAAGAAGGGCAGCCAGGTCTTCATCGTTGATGGCGTCAAGGCCGGCATCTTGCAACTCGAGCAAACGGTCAGAAGCAGACGACTATTCCAAACCTGATTTGTCAATTAATAATACCCATGTTACCGGCACCCGTTTCCAACGCCAGACCTTTTCCCTCCCAAATAAAATCAGTGCGAACCCGTAGCAATCAAGAAGACGTCTTAGTCGAGTCGTCTAGTGCGTCCCCAAACTTCATCTGCGTCTTTCTTCCCCTTGGTCTCGGGAACCTTGACGGAAACAAACAGGGCAAAGAGTGCAGCGAAGCCGGCAAAGAGGAAGTACACCCAGCCAGCTCCCCCAAGCCATTGGTTCAGAGCATTGTTGACAATCGGGAAGAATTGAGCAACTAGGAAGGTCGCGACATAGTTAGATCCTAGGGACCAAGACTGGACGGCGCCAACGGCCTCCTGTCCGACCATTTCGGACGCGAGAATGAAGGGCACTGGCCCAAGGCCAACGGCGAAGAAGGCTACAAACGACACGACCGACAAAGCCGACAAGATCTTTACCCCGAACTGGATGGAAAGAGCGAGAACCAGCGAGCTGACTCCCTGCCCGATGATGGAGATCAGGATGCAGCTCTTTCTCCCGAGCTTGTCCGGCAGCGGAGAGCATGCCGCAGTGGTAATGAGGTTGACAACAGAGATCATAATCGTCAGCAGGGCGGAGCTTACGGGGAGCAAGTCGTTCAAGAGAGATACCGAGTACATGATGACGGAATTGATGCCACACAGCTGCTGGGCAAACATGATCCCGATGACGGCGGCGATGGCGGGTCGGTGAAGGGGGTCCTTGATAACCTCAAAGAATCCAAGATGAACACGCGAGTTGTGCTTGGCAAGGCCAGGAGATACTGGTGGCATGTCATCGTTCTGGGTCAAAAGACCCTCTTGCTCAGCATGGACCTCCCCATCCCAGTTCTCGACTTCCTCTCTGATGTCGAAGTCCTTGCCGCGGATCCGCTGCAGTGTACGGCGAGCTTTCGGGGCGTCACCGTTGGCAGCTAGCCATGCGGGGCTCTCGGGAATCAACATGAGGCCAGACGCCTGGGCCAACGCAATGAAGACGCCGACGGCCAGGATCCAGCGCCAGGCCTTGCCGTAGCTCAGGAAGAACCCCAGAGTTTGAACGGCCAGAATGCCCACATTGATGGAGACTTGGGTCATGGCACCAAACAGGCCACGCTCCTTTGGCGGTGCAATTTCACTGATGTAAAGTGGGACAATGACAGTTGACGCGCCGGCCGCCAAACCAGTGAAGAACCGGCCAATTGCCAGAGCGGCAGCGCCCCCAGCGAGGGTCTCGATGACGGCGCCAATAATGTATAGAATGGCCGTGACTCGCATGGCAGGACGTCGACCGCGTTTTGAAGAGAAAGGGCCGGCGCAGAGAGCACCTACGAGGCCACCGACAGTGAAGATGGAGGAGACGGTTGCGAAAACTGCGTCGGTCATGGGGATACAGTCGGGAAGCCAGCTCTCGGTGTCGGGCGCCTTGGAGTGCACCCATGTGAGCGTGACTCCCTTGGCCGCAATTGACTTCTTTCGGCAGGTAAGGACATCTTGAGGCGCGTTGAGCTCGGCCTACAAGAGAGGCATAGCTGGTCAGCAAGTCTTGTTCGCGGGGATGGGTGAAGCAAACGGACGTTGGAGCAGGATGATGCAACACGTACAAGGTGAAAGCCGAACTGCAGGGGGCCCAGAGTCGAGACAGATATTAATACAAGCAAGTATAGGCTGATATCGTGCACGCACTGTCGAATACCCGAAGGAGCCATGTTGACAAACGACGCTGGATACGAAAGTGTGTCGTCTAAAGTGAGCCCAGTGTTTGTATGAAGACGGAGGTATGTGTTTGAGCAAGGAAATCAGCCGAGAACAAGGAGCCTGCCTCAGTCAAGAGGGGGGAAAGTCTGGACGACAAAGCGAAGCTGGGAAAGCTGGGGAAGTCGCCGGCGGTCATGGGGGAGCTGCCCACATGCCACACTGACCACACATTGGGGTTACGCATTTCAGTGGCGCTAGCAGCCACCTCACGCTCCAGGTCCCGTCCCTGGCTGTTCCAAGTTCCCCGAGCGGGCCGGGACCCATGACTAAGGTAGGTGGGTGGGTAGGTACCTTTCCAAGCGCTGCACTCTGCCATTCATTGCATACAATCGTATCTTGAGTTTGATTAGTCCACGTCAAGCATTTCATGTTGATATTGAGAACGTGAATTGATGGTTAGCGTCAATGGGATAGTTTTGAATTGTAATCTTCAGTTGGTATTTCCACACTGCCTGTGTCTGGCATGAAAGGTGGCTGGAATTTCATCAGCCTACCAACACGCATTCTTATTAACACACATTCTTATTCAGTCTTTACAACTTGAATTTTGATTCTATTATATTTGAGATCTTAATTAACCATCATCTTCGTACATACTCAGCGTTTACTGAATCTTACCCAATGATCGCTTGACGGCCACCTCTAAGCTCTCGACGTCATTGGGTCCGAGCCCAATCCTCTCGTTATCCGTCTTCTCGTACAGTGTGCCGCCCTCAGCCCAGATGCGTCGCAGCGTGAAGATGGTGGCGTAAGGGATAGCGTTCGCCCAGGCCTTCTCCTCGGCTTCCTCCAACGTCTGCAGCGACGAGTAGACAATCTCCCACTTGTCCCCGGTCTGCTTCTCATACTCGGCTACAATTTCCTTGCCGGTCGCCACGAAGGACTGCACCTTGAGAGCCCGGTTGAAGGAAGCCTCTGGGTGACGGAGCGATGCCACCAACGTTGTGCCAACACTTTGGAACAGTCAAATTAGCATCAGGTGACAGAATCATGGGGGTTAAGCGGCAACTCACTCTTTCATGGTGATCAGACCAGTTTTTCCTTCGCCGTCCTCAATCAAGACTGCCTTGCGGGCTGCTGTATCGAATCCGCCAGCCTCTTGCGCAATAGCGGGAAGGGTCAAGAACATGTCGACGTAAGGACCAGTCACCAAGTACGTGTACTTGAGTCTCTGGATATTCTCACGAATGTACTTGCGCACTTTGAGCTTGGCCTGGTGAGGCTTCTCGTTGGGACTCTTGGGGCCGTATTCGATGTCCGTTCCATACTCGGAGGGGAAGAACCACTTGACAGAGTCGGTCTCCTCGGCCAGTTTGATGAGATCGATCTGCTTCTCGATGACATTTCTACCGAGCGCGGATATTACGGTATCGGTGTCCTTGTAGGCCGCCTTGATTTGCTCCGTGTCGTCGACGTCGCCCGCGATAACCTTGAGTCCCTTCTTCTTCCAGCCGTCGAGCAAACCTGATTTCCTTTCCACCGTGGTTGGTGATGTGAAGATGGTGATTTGGTCAAAGGAGGGGCTGGCGTTCAACAATGCCGCTGTGATGAAAACACCAATCTGGCCAGTCGCGCCAAAAACAAGAATCTTGGAGGGTTTAAAAGTAGCCATGGTGTTGAGTTCAAGGGATTATGGGATATTACGACAGAAGATGTGCGATTGATGCTGTAAGGGAATTGCGTGGCTTTATCTTGATTACGAAGGGTCGGACGCCCGCTTCTTATATCCTCAACTGCATTACAAAACACGGAGCGATAACGGCTCACTGGTTCACTCCGCTGAAACTGCATCCGTAAGCTGTGCTTCGACCCCTCGAGTCTGACGCCATCTCAAGGTGCGCTTATGAGATGGAGGGGCGTTGGGGCGGATCAATGAGGGGAACGGATGCGAGAACCGTCGAGCCCCACGCCGTTCATCTCGCCCCTCCGCACTCCCAAAGACTCAAAGAGGCAAGCAAGCTTTAAGAAACCGAATGTAAGCGGTCTGCTTGCCCGGGCTTCTCCATAACAACCAACAACCTGACTCCGACACAATACCCATATGATACCTTACGGTGGACTGAAACTCTTCAATGTTCCCGGGTTCAACTGGGAGCGAAATGTTCGGATGAGGAACGCCATCAAGCCAGAGCGATCCCCGACTCCGACCGGGCCGGATACGTACTCCCCAGTCCCACCGACCCATCCCTGTCGGCACCGTGTTGCCTGAGAGGACGACGGGCCCACACGCGGGAGACGGGCGACCCCACCACCGATCGGTGAAGTTTCCCTCGAAATTTTTTTGAGGTCAACTTTTTTTTTTTTTTTTTTTTTTTTTCGACAATCGGGAACGCACGCAGCTACCTCGCGACCCGCCGGGCGAGATTGACGACGACGACCAACGACGAAGCACTGGCAATCTGGAATCCGCAGATATGGCGTCCACCGACTCACCGGCGACCAATGGGCACAAGTCCGAGAAGAAGAGCAAAAAGGACAAGAAGGAGAAGAAGCGCCTGCGCGAGGAGGGTGACGATGCCGCCGAGGAGCGCAAGCACAAGCGCACAAAGAGCCTTGGTGTAGCCAAAGACGACGCCAATGACGATGACGACGACGAATCTCCCCAGGCCTCTCAGGACCTCTCAATGGCTTCCTACGCGACGAACAACACCAATGGCGAGCCATCGTCCGAAAAGAAGAACAAGTCCAAGAAGGACAAGCACAGAAAGTCGGTAGGCGAAGCCGTAGACGACGGCTCGGACGCCGAGCGCAAGGAGAAGAAGGATAAGAAGAAGAAGCGCAAGTCACAACAAAAGGAAGCAGAGGAAGATCTCGAGGACCCCTCCACCGACGCCGCAGAGCCGCCAGCGAGCGAAAAGAAGAGCAACAAGTCCAAGGCAGCGTCCCCCGAACCCGTCAACGCCGCCGCCGCCACCAACGACGTCGACGCCATGGATGTCGACTCCCCCACGAAGACAAAATCAACAGGCCGAGTCCACCAACCCCCCGACGCGCCCTCCAAGCCCCAATTCCCCTTTTACACCCAGACCGTCTCGCTATACCTCCCCATCTACCCGATAGGCTGGGACACGCCCTGCACGGCCGCGGCGACGCAGCACCTCGAACCCCTCTTGAACCGCTACGTCCCGGACCTCAAGGGCGTCCTCCTCGCCTTCCGCAACGTCGCCGTCTCGGAGCAGCCCGGCCGCCGCTACGCCGCCACCAGCGACGCCGAACACTGCGACCTCGCCTCCGTCGACGAGTACGCCGTCGGCTTCGGCTACGTGACCGTCGACGTCGACCTCTTTGTGCCCCGCCGCGGCGCCTGGATGGAAGGCAGCATCAACCTCGAGAACGAGGGCCACGTCGGCGTCGTCTGCTGGGGCAAGTTCAACGCCAGCATCGAGTCCGCCCGCCTGCCGCCCGAATGGCGCTGGGTACACGCCGGCTCCGCCGAGGCCGCCTCCTACGTCGCCGACCCCTTTGACGAGAGCAACAAGAACGACGACGATGATAAGACCGCCGAGGACGAGCACGGCGCCGTGCGCCAGATCCACACCACGGGCTTCTGGGTCGACGGCGCCGGGGACAAGGTCAAGGGCCGCGTGCGGTTCCGCATCAAGGCCTTTGACGTCGGCGTCAGCGGCGACCACGGGTACCTCAGCCTCGAGGGCACAATGCTCGACGCCGCGGGCGAGAAGGCGGCCGTCCAGCGCGACGCCGAGCAAGAGCGCAGACGCAGGGCCGGTAAGAGCGGCGGCGTCCTCTCCAAGGAGCGGCGTCGCATGCCCGAGTTCAGCGTCACCAAGTTTGGCGAGGTCGAGGACGAGGAGGAAAAAGCGTTGAAGCAGGAGGTGTGGAACACGACGGAGCCCGTGACGGACAATGAGGCGGCCGGGGCCGGTGGTGCAAAGGAGGCGTTTACGGGCATTTCGGCGGAGGAGGCATAAGGGCGCTTTGTAATAGATAAGCTTTGCTCTGCGTCTTATGATTCCCCGCGCGATGGCTTTTCGGGCGTTTTGAGGGGCAGGGAAAATTGAACAATGATACAATACTTTGCATAAACTTACAAGACCGCGCAGAGGTGCTCGCTGCCAAGATTGGTTGGCTGTGCTCTATGTGACCATTGCTTTGAAAATCATACTCGCCCGTTCAATGCTATCACTCTTGCGAGATGATTGCTTGCCTGTATTCTGACGGGCGTTCACAGTTGGCGGGTTTCCATAATCTTTGCCTAGCTGGGAGAAAAAAGGGGGGGATGCAAGCTCAAGTGGAACTGACGAAGACCATGTTGGCAAGTCGCGATGTAAAGCAGAGACCAATAGCTTGAATCATATGACTATACCTTTATGATTGTGATGTATGTCAAAATTGGGGAAGCGACATGCTCGTGGGACTGCAGATCACGATATTATGATCATCCGAAAGATCGTTTGACCAAGTCGGACGCTCACGACGGTGTAAAGAGATATCAATTCAGTACAGCAAGCAGGACGATGGAAACAAGTTGAAAGACGTCAAGCTCCAAATGGAATTCAAGCTTAAGGGCTACCAGAGTCAAAGAAGAGTTGCATATGAGCTAATTGCTCTTGCCCAACGTCATCTCGCGATATCTTGTTCCTTCCATAGCCCTCAAATATGCTCAGAAGGGACCTTCAAAGCTTAGCTCGCAACCGAATCGCCTTCACAAGTGACGCAAGGATTCACTTCCAAGTCATTCCCAGCCGCTCGAGGAAGGAAAAGAGAGATCCCTTGGGAACGTATCCGGCGTACCGCGCCTGCCACCACGAGGCAAAGGTATCTAAACGGAGACTTGTAAGAATTGATTGAGGGAAGTATTAAGAGCATTGACTGGAAACGTACCAGCAACGGGTCCAAGTTCGCCAAAGCCAAGGGCCTCAAGCACCCACGGAGCGACAATGACCAATACGCCAATGGCAATAACGGTGACGAAGACCGGGTGCGCCTTGGCGAGCTCAAAGACGCTCTCGGCGGCTTCGGTCGACTTGTCCATGGTCTCCTTCAAGACTTGGCCGACGGTATCTCGGTGACGCACCAGGCCTTCGACGCCGTCGAGGATGTACTTGGCGAGCTCCTCGCTCCAGGAGTTGGCCGTCACGATGTTTCTGAGGCGGCGCTCGAGGTCTTTGCCCCCCTTTTCGGCGGTGCGAAGGGTGTCGACGAATTCGGAAGCGGCGTCCAGGGCAGATGAGCGAAGGGGCTGGCTGTCGATAATGCCCTCCTTCTTTTCGGACATGACTGGCTTCGAGTCCTGTCGAAGCTGTGGGAGACAGTAGTCGAGAAGACGGCAGCTGTTGTTCGTATCACGTTCCATCTTGGTGTTTTTTTTTGTGAATGTAAGGTAGTCGTTTGTCAAAGGTTGAGCTTTGCGGAATCAAAACCAACTCGTTGAGAAAGAGATATCAAGAACCAGCCCTATTTATTCTATGGGTTTGAAAGATGGCGAAGGGAGGATCAATACTTGGTAATTGCCTTTCCACCCCCGCATAAAGGGAACATGTGTTCGGCTCACCGACAAATTACTGACATGCAGCTGGCGGTCGGCCTCCTGCATGAAGTCTATCCTGCCCACACGTCCAGTCAGTTGCCGCCCGTCTCACCCACACATTTATTAGTCCCAAGACGTATGAACTAACAGCTTGTGTTCCAAACGATTCTGAACCAACAAACCGCCTGCCCTGCTCAGTACAGCTCTTTTTCCTCTTGCGGAATCCAGCTTCATCCTCCCAATTACTCGTGAGATAGGTAGGTTGCTTAATTTCTGATGCGTATTGCTTTGCTCCGACTGTATAGCCTACCTTACCGGACTAGCATTGCAACACCATTCGTATGAAATGCTTGTCGGCTCAAGCGGATCCTATAGTTGGCCGCTGCCGTACACCACCAACAGAACACTCATTTCCATGCCAAAACTTAGGAACCGAACACTCACGGACTTATCTGAATAAGTCGATAGCATTTGTCAAACAAAACAAAAGAATTGGGCCCTAACCAGGATTCGAACCTGGGACCTCTCCCAAGTGTGTCTTAGAGACCCTAAGGGAGAATCATACCGCTAGACCATCAGGGCTAATTGATGATTGGGTGATGAAATACGAGAGCCAAAGCAGGCAGATATTGCCATCGCAATTTGCGACAGAGCAGGTCGTCTGTGGATCCCCCCACCGAAAGATATGTCAAAATCCCACCACACACACCACACGTCGAAAAGCCGCAATCATTTGGCGCATTCATCACGACAAGCACAAGTGTACGCTCCACACGTCTACATGACGAGTCATTGCCACGATTGATGGCATTCTGTACAATACTTTTCCTGTACCTTATGGCTAGTTGAGCTGGTCTTTCTCCCATCTGGCTGCGAACCTTTTCAGGTTTCAAGCCCCCCAACCCCCGAAACTTGCTTTCTTCAAAACCTTCCAGAAACTTTTCTCTCATAAATAAAAGTCGTTCATCTCCTCTTCTTAAACGGCCGTTACATGGCCAGACCTGGCCAGCAAAATTCGCCGCAACGGCAATCGCCTCTTGGCTCAAGGGTCCCCCCCCTGGCAAGTTTACATCGCCTACCGCAGCGAACGTCAGGATTCGAATCCTGCGGGCTACGCGAAGCTGAAGGTTTCGCTGCGCAGCCACCTTGTCGTATACAGCGCTCGTGTTTTCACCTTCCTACATCTTTCGAAATCGATGTCGTCAGATGTATTTGATGAAGTCTTTTCGACTATACAGGCTCTACGTCGTGTTGGTCCAGGCGGTGTGAGGCACCGAGCGGTACGCGAGGTTGCCTTTCTGCAAAGGAACTGTTTCTCAATGCATCGCCTTGCGACAGCAACATCTGCGAGCTCTTCATCTTCCTAGACCTTGTCTTGATTAATCCTGGGTATCGCGAGGTAAGCCTCCCGAGTGTGGGGTTCATATTCTCACTAGCGTGAGAAATGCTATCAACGGACTTGATCTCCGTGGCATGTTGCAATATGGTTACTGCGGATAGCCAGCTCCCGCTGACCCGCCATCACCTGCGGTGGGTACATGTAGCAACACTACGCATCCTTTCACCCATCATGTTACATAAACGAACATTGGAATAGCGACTGCAAGTGCAGACTTGTCGAAGCCTAAGAACCGCCGTTGACGGCATAAAGCTTGACGAGGCATGGAGGTCCCCGATGACACTCCCTGGAGTCCTAGCTAGGTTCATTGCTGCTTGGCTCGGTTAGATTCTTGTTGCCTAGTCTCTGGTTCATCTTCTACCCTCCAACTGGACCTTATTCTCTGCTACTAGTCTACACTTCTCCCAGGCCATAGCTCTGTTCAGTCCTTCCTTACCGGATCACGCAGCTCTTTCGGTCAATTCGATACGGGTGTCTTTAACTACGTGTGGATCAAGGACGATTCACCGCCAGCGGCCCGCCTCTAGCCCATGGTCTCCGGCGTTGGAGCCTATCAACATCGTTCCCGTCTGGTTCTAGAGTCTTGGGGTCTAGGGTCTGGAGCTCTCCATTATGAACTACCCATGATTTCTAGGCAGCTTCCATAGCCATCCTTGTAAGCTTCATCCTTATGAGGCGATGGATGCGGCGGATCCCTGAGAAGCTTGATCGTTTCTACCGCATATGAGTTGCTGTCAGCTCCAATCATGTAAGAGCTCTTCCGTCTTTCCCGAATATAAGCACAACAAAGCACGCGTGATGTTGCAATGCCCACAAATTAGTCTAGGATCTTTGAACAAACCCCCCGTCATCCGCTAGCTTCGCCTTCATCAATACTGTGGCTTCGCGCAATCCTTCGTGAGTGCTTCGGAGTTGAAGGTCGTCACCTTGTAAGTCCCATGCATCTTCCTCTTGCGATACTCACCCTGAGGCCCAGTATCGCATCCTTCAGTCTTCGTCATGAGTGACAACTACGGATCAGCCGAGAAACACATACCACTCCGGGCAGCTAGACGCCGTTCTTTTGCGTTGCCAATGGTATCTCATGCGCAATCCCCATGAAAGTCATCTATAATCCCAGGTATATAAAGCCACGACCTGCCTACCAAACCACAGACTCTTCACCACTCTTCCTCACGCAACATAAGCCATCTCATCTCTCTAACCCTCCTCAAACAAACCATCACAACCGCCAACATGCGCGTCTCCTCTCTCCTCGCTCTCGTCTCCGCCGCCCTCGTGGCCGCCGCCCCCAGCCCCATCCCCGAGGACGCCGAGTCCTACGTTCTCGCCGGCCCTCTCCCGTACGAGGAGCTGAAGAGCGAGGTCGCCAAGCTCAAGTCTGACGGTTCCAACGCGGCCCGCAGCCTCAACAAGCGCATCTGCGAGGGCGTCTACATGTGCGACGGACAGAACTTTAGCGGCTCCTGCTACTACGGCTGCTACCCCATCAGCGTCGGTATTTACCCCGATTCGTATTGGGTCTCCCGTATCAGTTCGGTAGGCCCGGATAGTGGTGGCTGGTGCGACTTCTACCAGTAAGTATCCGTAAACCTGTTCTCTGTTGGGTTTCTTTGTATGCTTGTGTTTTTACGATGTGATAAGCTAACAAAGTTACAGAGCAGGCACCGGCTGTGACGGTACGAAGGGCACTCACCAAATCTACAGATACCCTGGCGGCAACTTGGCTTCCGGCATTGACAACAACATGGGCTGCTTCTACTGCAACCCTAACTAGGGAATTATGGTTGATTGAAGGGACGGTATAGGCAATCTCGAATTCTTGTACATAATTACGTATGATACTCAGGTACTAAGAACAACGTCCTGAAGTGGAGCAAGTTGACCAATATTTAAAAAGCTTCAGATCAAGTTGGATCGTTTGGTGAACAGGCCCAAGTACAGATTGGTTTCAATCTAAGAGAGCACAGCACTCTGCCAAGTATTCTTCTTGCAACTAGCCATTTGCTCTGAATCCTCACTACAGTCAACTATAGGTCTAGTCAACTACAACTCCTCCTAAGCTATTGACTTGACACCACATTCCCTCAACTCTTGAAGTAGCCTACTCGGCCTCACATTTCCAAGAAACAAGCCTTGAATTATTGGCTATAATTGATGCAACATCTTTTTCAACAAGTATACAGTTTACTTGGAGCATGGCACAAGATCGAAGAAAGATGGAAACCAATACGTCTTGAAGGGCTGACCTAGAGAGCCAAGTCTTCAAGGGAAATCAAATTTTACCATCACTCAAACGCAGTACCTTACCCTTCCAAGAGGAAACAGCAACCTCTAGTATAACATTTGCAAACAAAATGGTATTCATAGAATGGGATGGCCACTCTCTCTCTCTCTCTCGCGCCAAAACAACTGTAAAGACAGGCCAAGGGGTAGTGCCTCAACGATCGCCCCACGTAGTGTGTGTATGTCAAGTTCCTTGATCCATCATCGCCCCTCCCCCCCAAATACGGAATCACAACGACCTAGACAAGTCCTCCAAGACCGTTCGTCCTCTCCGCACATCCTCCTCATGGTACGGCTCCCTCGCCGTCTCCGCGATCCCTTCCACAACCCACTGCTCGACAGCAGGGTGCTCCAACAACGTCCGCACATACGCCATCGCAGGCGCCGACACCCGCAACCCAAACGTCTGGATCCGCGTCGCGACGGGCGCAAAGAAGGCATCAGCGGCGCTAAACGCCCCGCCCGCGAGGTACGGCCCGCCAAAGCGCGTCAGCCCGTCGACCCACAGCTCATCGAGCCGGTCGAGGTCGCGCTGCAGCGCCGCGTCGGGCGGCCCGCCGAGATCGATGCGCAGCGCCACATTCATGGAGCACTGGTTGCGGATGGCCTCGAAGCCGGCGTGCATCTCCGCGGCGGCGCTCCGGGCAAAGGCGCGGGCGGCTTTATCGCGGGGCCAGGCGGAGGGGTGGTCTTCGGCAATGTACTCGACGATGGCGAGGGAGTCCCAGACGGTGGTGTCGCCGTCTTGGAGGGCGGGCACTTTGCCCGAGGGGGAGAAGCTGAGGAAGGCGGGTTGACGGAGGCCGGCGACAAATGTCTGGAGGCGCTCTTCGAAGGGGACGTTGAGGGCCTTGAGGAGGACCCAGGGTCTCATGGACCAGCTGGAGTAGCGCTTGTTGGCGACGTAGAGGATGTAACCCATTGTGAGTGTGTGGCGAGAACCGCTCGGGAAAATGTTGCCGAGAGTCCAAGTTGAAAAAGAGACTTTTAAACCAAGAATGAGTTTGAATTGACAGGAACGGACGTAGGGAGTTGAAGCTCAGATGTGGCTTATATATAAGTCGAGATTCATTACCCGACTTGACTCATCCGACAATGCTTGTCCCTAGATATCCCGTCACGCCTTGCGCTGGAGAATGATGGAGGTGGGGGTTGTCGAGCTGGGGCTGAAAATGGCACCAGTCTCCTTGACTCCCTGACCTACCTTACCTAGTTGACCTCAGTTGATTCAACGTTTCGTGAATCGAGCCGCGAGCTCCACAGAGGCCTGACGAATTGAGATGGCATCGCGAGGAGACGAGCCGAAGAGCACACGTTCAGACCGGCAAAATGTGGGACCTGAGCTGACGCGCGGGACAGATGTCAGTTGAAGGGCGTTGTGGAACGGGGTATTTGGGTGCCAAGAAGCTCACACATCTTCAACGAACCGCGGAAAGCTGCTCCCTAAGCGTGTAAGCTCCGCCAATTGGCGTTGAACTAAAGCGACAGGGGCAGTGACTGGCAGATACACGAGCACCTTCAGCTCTGGTTCTCAACCGGAGATATTACGCAATCGACACGAGTCTATTCACATGTGCTGGAGAGCGCAACTCCAGTCGAGTTTCAGAAGGAATACAATCTAAGGCAGAGGCAGAGAAGTAGAGGCACGAGCGACTCTTTCGTGAAGTCGTGGCGTGGCGATTCAATTGAAGAGCAGTTCCAAAATTGAATAGTCTTTTTTATCTACCAGCAGTGAGAGAAGTACAAGAGAACGTCCTAACCTGAGTCGTGAAGTTTTACCTTGGACTTGGTCAGCTGATGAAAGAGTGAAGGCGGCATCAACACAAAATGGTAAGCCCGAATTACACCATCAAAACCGCCAATCCAAACAACTGGATGCGTCTCCCAACTCAAGAGACCGTAACTATAAATGAGAGTTGGGCAACACCTAACCATTCGAAATCTGGTACAGTTCACCTCTTTCCAAGGTATCATCTTGTACACTACTTCACTTTCGCAAGACCATCCAGCACACAACAAACCTCCTCCACACCAGGAGGCACCCTCAGCCCCCTCCAATTGCCCTCAACAACCCCCTTCACCACCCTCATCGTGCCCGCCGTATCCTCAAGCGCCACAGGCTCCGCTTCCGTCCCGGTCCCGGTCCCGGTCCTGATCCCCCGCAGCGCGAGACGGACGTTCCTGCTCAGCACCTGATACTCCTGCACATCATCATCCCCATCCAACACCACGCACGCCCTCACATCACATCCCGTCCCGAGATACCCCACCGCCGCTGTTGCTGTTGCTGTTGCTGTTGCTGTTGTAGTTCCCCGCAAAGACATCAATCTCCCATGCCGCCAAAGAAGAACAGCAGCATGACGAACAGCAACAACGTAGACCTCGCACAGCGTCCCGGGCGAGCAATGCCGCGCGGCGCGAAGGACCCGCCCTGCTCTCCACAACGCACTCCGGTGCTCCGGGCCCTCAACCCCGTTTCTCAAGTCCCCATCGTGGTTCGGTTGCGGCTGCGGCTGCGGCTGCAGCTGCGGTGGCATCGACGATACAGAAACATCGCGTAGCTCAGATCCATCCAGCGACGTCGAGATGTACATATGTAGAACTTCAGACATGACCTCCGCCCCAGGAGACCTCTCCCACCCCGCAGCCATCAAAGACGTCTCAAAGAGCTTCAGCATCGAACCGAGCTCCAGCCGTCGCGAGGACAGAATCATGGCGCTCCATTGCCCGCTCGCCCGCCCTCCGGCGCTGATGGCCCTCAGCTGACGGCACTCTTCCACGAGCACCCAGAGACCGGCATAGAAGCCCAGAGTAACAAAATTCTCGTCAACCAGACCGCGGTAATGAGGTCTTGCAATCAGCGTCGGATCACCCGTCAGCTCCCTCAGAGACAATGCCGGCGGCGGCAGCGACGACGCGGAGGGGGAGCAAGACCCTGGTAGTAGACGGATCATCTCCTCCCTCCACCGCACCGCTGACTCCGCTCTCCACAACCTCCGCGGCGCAGGAAACGGAATCCTCATGTCCTCGTACCTCGACGTGAATCGGGTCCCGTGTGCCATGCCGACGTGGCTGTCCATAATGTACGCCGCATAGACAAGCCTCCGCTGCGCCTCGCGGATAGACCACCGGTGCCATACATCCTCGAGGGACCGATCATCCAGGCCGACAACATTCCTGAGCTCATAGCGGTCGTGATCGGGCTCCATCGCCCCGTGGAGATGACCGCCGTTCTTAATCAGGATCTGCATGCATCCTGAACAGGCCTCCGCAAAGGCGACCTTACGCCGCACGCCGCTGAAGAAGGCAGTGTGCTGCTGTAGGAAGAAGCCCTGCGAGAGGCTGATGTCGCAAAAGTCGGCGTTGTTCTCCTCCCACTGGCAATCTCATCGGGTAATCAGCAAGGATTCTTGTTTTCCTCCCTTCCTTATGAATCAACGGGAGACAAGGGGGAGCGGGCTGGGCTGGGACTCACGCTGCGAAAAGAAGACACTCTCACAACCTCCTGCATAGCAAATCCGAATTTCCTCGCCACTGCCGACCCGGCCCTGATGGCCCCCATAGCAACCAAGGCACCCAATAACTCTGGCCTCTGGCGTTCGAGACGCAGCGTCGGCAGGTGCACCATGTCGTTGATCTCGGGCTTCGCCGCCGACGCCCCCCAACACTCGCGAGCATACACCCCCAAAAGCGCGTCAAGGGCACCCGCCGACGGGAAAGCAGCCAAAACGGGCCCGGCGTTGGCGCGGGAGGTGTTGTGGAGAATCATGCAGACGATGGCGTTCCGCGCCGCCGCCGACAGGGATAGAACAACACCACTACAACTACCGTCACCACCACAGCCAAAGATTGGTGTCCCCGGCGTCTGCGGCGTCCCGCCTGTCCTCAAGCTCTCCTCATCCGCGGCCAGATGAGCCCTTTCCATCTCGCTGTTCTCACTACTCTGCGGCTCCCACGACCCCGTCACCGACACCGTCTCGCGGCCTTCCGGCGTCATCGGGGGCGACGGAGACAAACCGCCATTGTTGTTGCCGTCTTGCCTCTCCGCACCAGACACGACGAACTCCAAACCATCCGTCTCAGCCGCATCGAAGTGAGTCTGGAGGTACGACAAGTCCGTCATCGCGAGGTCCCACTCCGCACCAAAAGAAAAGTCCTCGACCACCGCCGGCGTCGTCTCGTCGAGGGTACATGTATCTTCAGCACCAAGACCCGGTTGCGTATAGACCTCTGGCGACTCCGGCCTTACATCCTCACAATCCACCACCTCAAATACACACAAAAGGCCCCTCCCAACACACCTCGAGCACGGCTTTCTCTCAGAACACTTCACCTTGGCCGTCTTACACGACCCGCACGCCTGGCTAACCCTCTCACTGCCCTCTACCTCCCCCGGCAACAATGTATCATCACCCTGCCCCACCGCCACCGGAGGCCCATCATCACTATGCGTGTTGGCTTCGTGTCTCTTCAAAACATCCAACCTCCCAAATGCCTTCCCACAAGTTCTGCAGGTATATGGCCGCTGCTTGGTATGCACAGATCGTACGTGGCGCGCCAGGTGCTCCGTACGGTGATAGCGGCGTCGACATCGGGAACACTGGTAGAGCCCTGCCTGCTCCTCCTCCACCGCTCCCCAGTCGGTTGTCATCACAGGTATTCTGTAGTACAGTGTACAGTAGTAGGAAGTCAAAAGGGCAGCAGGGGCAAACCCTGTTATCGATTGATGTGCGTTCGCAGACGGAGAGAAAAAGAAGAAAATAAGCTTACTTGCTTGACATGCAAAACAAAACTCAAGACGAACCTAGTCAAATAACTTCAAGGAGCAGCCCCCTTTGAGAAAACGGGTTTGAAACGGATGGACGTTGGCCGAAGCCCAAGTCGGCGAGAACGCCGGGGAAGAAAATGCTATTTCTTAATGGACCACCGCCCCCCGGACTCGGCCATCGGCCATCGGTCATCGACAAACTCCGTGGTCCGTCCTTCGGGTCTGGTTAGCGGCCATAAAGCGGGACCGTGGACGCCAACATTGAGTGGTTTACTCATCGATATAGCGCTAATGCGGTGTTACCGTGGGAGGCATATCCGCAGATCTGCTGCACAATACACATCCGGAACCTACACTATGTTTGATGAAAAGGGCCCCTTGCACAGCACTCGATGCAGAACTGAGAGTAGGAATGCCTGATACTGGACCGCGGGCCGCGGATTCTGTAAAATATGTTTCATTGATGCAGAGTACCCTGCCGTGCACGGCTGGCTACGGGTATCCTCATTTCCCAGAGCAAGAAAAAGCTAGCAAATATGTCGAGAACTTTTCGACCCCTCATACACACACATGCAAACGCCCCGCCACACTGGCTGCTCAGCGCTTGCTACCATACAACATCTTTTCCTAGAAATTTGTTGATGACTTGCGTGGCCCCTTTCCCTTCGTACCGGATCTTGCGGGTATCGAGCTTGGAGGAATGGATCTCCCTGTAGTCGCTGACCTGGCTGTGGTTCCTGTTGCCGGTACACTCTTGGCTCGCGGATTGACCTTGGATGGCTTGTTCTTCTGCACCCAGCCGGATCCATGTGGGAGGCTACTGCTGTTGTCGTCATCGTAGTTCATATCAACGTTGTCTTCCGGAGAGTTCTCTTCAAGTGGCGAGCTAGGCGGACTTGAGGATAAAGTGACGACCTGCGATCCGGGAGGAACCACAAATGGAGAACCCGCCCGAACCCGCTCACGCAGCAGACGGGGTTTGGTTTCCTCCGTCTCGATAAAAGATGAGGGCGCTGACTTGGTATTGAGCCTCAGATCCGGCAAATCTGATGAGTCAAAGAGAGATTGCCCCTCTGGCTGGCTCGAGTTAGAGAACAATCGCTTTCGAGTCTTTCTAAGTTCCGGAGGCGACTCCTCGTCCTCTTCCTCATTCTCTTCGTCTTCATCTGCCTCGTCGATTCGACGAATTGCGGCTTCGTATTGTTCATCAAGGGGTACGATGGACTTGGGTGATTCGATTGCCGACAATACCTGGGACTTGGATGAGCTCTGGGTGTTCTTCTGCGAATTCCTTTGCGAGGCTGTCTTGAATAGGCTTTCTAGCGACGGAAGAGAAGACTTCTCGGCCGAGTTTGGCTCAGACGTGTCCTCCTCTCTAGTTGGCGTGTGGACCTGAGCCCTCGGCGTTGAGGCTTCAACGGAAGGAGAACCGTGGCCAGTATTGCTGATTTGCGGCAGGTCGTCGCCCACCATATTGAAGCTGAAGCCATCCGGGTCAAGTTGCCGACCACTGTGAATGCTACTCACGGAGGAAGGTGGCGGGAGACCCCCGTCATCAGTGGCCCCGATAGCCGCATCCCCACAGTTATCCGGCACTGGCGTAGCGTTCTTCACAATACTCTCTTGGGAGAGCGGGGACTTCGATTTGGCGCGGGGGGTATTGGCAGCTTTCAGCATCTCTAGTAATTGGCGTGAAGGGCTGCTCGTTTTGCGTTGGATGACTGATGGCGACACATCCTTGCGAAAGCCTGCTTCTTCAATCATGATACTGATCTCGTGACGGCGATCCGATGAGATAGAGAGGGCATTGCCATTTGAGTTCTGGGAGTCTGCGTCTTCTGTTGTCGGCACCGTGTTATCGTCTTGTAACCGGCGTTTGGCTCGAGGGGTATGCACATCGCTTTCATCCATGTCGTCCTCATCGCCGTCGGAGTGTGCACTGGGTTTGTGACTAGGCTGATTGCCGCCCAACGAAGCACCAAGACGGGGTTTACTGCCCGTAGCGACTTGAGGCTGTTGTTCATCCGTATTAGCCTTGGCTCGACTTTTCGTTGCATCGACTTGTGACTGACTTCCATCTTCACCCACCTCAGACTGACCGGCATTTTCTCCGTTGGCCTCAGATGGCTGGCTTTGGCCATCGTAAATAGTTTCATGAATGACGCTGTCTGTGGGGCCACTTTCGCCCTGCGAGACATTTGATTTCTCATTTTCACCCTCTTTTGTGTCATCATCCAAGGGAAGTTGCACGACCTTTGGCTCAATCAGCTCCATGTAATTTACTCGTCGATGTCCATCTTCGAGTCCGTTGTCTGCATCTTCGTCTTCTTCGTCGTCATCGGGGGCTTCGAAGCGATCGTATACTCTCTCTCCTGTCTCTTCGTCGTACGTCTTCTCTGTTCGATCAACGCCTCGATCTCGGTGAGCCAATATGAATTCAAGATCGGTCGCATCCTCATCATGAATTCTGACGAGAACACCAGTCAGACTCACTACTTGGGGTTGCCAATTGGTTTGAGACGACAATGCCAATTGCTTCCAAGTGATGACCATGCCGAGTTTTGCTTCTCCTGGGCGAAGGTCCGGAAGAGTGGACAGATCGGTTGGAAGTGAAGGAAGGTCATCAACGTCCGTTGCCTGGCTTTCTCCAGCTTTAATCTTGGCCGCCGATGGATCGTCAGATGGATCATCGTAGTTAAGTGTCGTGTCTCCTTCTTGAGCAGACTCAACCGCATCAGAGAAGGTTACACCGAAGCTGTCGTCGGTTACGCGACGCTTCTTCGACGATTGAGAGTCACCGCCCTCGTAATATTGAGCTTGATCGCGCTGTACGCGCTTACGCTTGCCCCCGCGCTTATTCTTCGAACCGAACCATTCTTCCACCTGCTGTTGGGGGTCCCACCGCTGGACAAAAGGGAATGGCGGTTCCGACAGCTCGACTCCTTCGTGGCAGCATTCTACGGCTCTGTAAGCGATTTTCTCGCGCCAGGCTTCGGGATCTTCCTCTACCGATTCTTGAGTCTGTTCGGATTCGTCAGGCTGCGAAGCGCCTTCCAACAGACGAGCGTTGGTGTGAGGTCTAACACCTTTCATCAGGTCTTGACGAATCTTGTCTTCGTCGGCCTTTGTTTTAGGGTTCTTCAGACCCAAAGATCCCATGAGCATTCGGCGCGCAGCTCCAACATTAGGCTTCGTGCGCCGCTGAGAGGCAGCTTCTCGCGCAGCAGAACTCTGTAAAGTCTCCATCATGGCGAGACCGGTGTTGGTTGCTTCGACCTCTTGAGGCGCTGAGTCGGGTATCTCAGGTGAATCCTCTTTACTAGCAGCGCCATCAGACGTAATAGCGTTGAGGAGGGCTTGCTTCCTTGCTAGGAATGCTGCCTGCTCCTCAGAAATTCCCGATGCTTCGGCTGAGGATGGTCCTTCGCTGTTCTGAGCTGATGGAGATCTCTTTTGGACGGCCAATTTCTTGGCAAGTTTGCGCCTGGCATTCCTCTTTTGCGTCTTGCTCAGCCCCTGACCGGGAGGCACATCGGGCTGCTGTTGTTTAGGTTGAGCTGCAGCGACCGGTGCGGCCTGGGGCAGCTTCGTAGACTCGTTGTGTTTGACCACGTCGAAAAGAATTCGTTGGCTAGAAAGAGTCTTGCTGGGAAGTTCTTCGGGTTCTGAATCCGAGCTAGAATCTTCGCTGCTGCTGTCGTCTGAAGACGAGTCGGAAGACGAGTCCGATGAGACCTCGACGATGGCAGCTTGTCTTGCTGACAAGCGTTCTTTTGTAGATGCTACACTTGACCCGTCGCTGGTAGAGCTGCCCGAGCTTGAGTCGTCATCTGAGCTCGAGGCTTCCTCGTCGACTGAGTCGGAGTTGGCTTCGGATATTACAGGCCCACTACCTTCCGCCTCGCTTGATTCATTGTCGGATTCATCATCGGAAGATGATGCCTCTGAATCTTTGTCAGAAGCACTGCCCATCTCCTGATCAGAATCAGATATTGCGCCCTCAGAACTTAAAACAGAGTCCGAGGCTGAACTTTCGTCAATGCCAGTTGAACCTTGATCAGTGTGAGCATTATGATTCAAGGTCTCTGAGGCTTCGTCGCTCCCATCTTCGTCGTTCTCGTCCTCTTCATCGTAATCCTGGGATATGGCATCCGAAGCTCGTTCAAGTGGAGACGATTCCCTGAGAACGAGCTCACGTCCCGTGCTGGAGTTCGCGTTTCGGATAGGACTACTAGATAGGCTCCTCGCCTGATGGTCCAACGTCTGCTGGAGGCTGAGGCGGGGTTCGAAAGTCTTGTGCAGTTTGCGCCACGCTCTTGCGGGATTTGTGCCGCATCTCAACAGTGTATTTTCGATTGTGGAGACCTGAGCGCTGGGAAACGCAGATCTCAGAGCTGCAATCTTGTCCAGCGTGTCCAAGTTGAGCTGGAACCTGCTCGACTTCCCTCCAGATCTAACCAACGCATTGCTTGCTGACGGCACTGGTGAGTCATCGGACGTCTCCAATGGGCGGCTGCTGCTGGCGGTTTTAGTTGATGCTCTCCTGTCTCTGATGTTACGCAGCTCTTCGAGAATGTCGCCTTCTCTAACGGCGGCATTGTCTTCGCGGAGCATACGTAGCTCATCTTGGATGTCGTCATTCTCCGAATCCATGCACTCGTCATCGTCATCGGCGGCGGCGGGCTCAAAGTCTTCCTCGTCCTCCTCGGAATTACTGTCTAGATCTGCGTCGTAAAAACGTGTGCGTAATTGGACACTCGAGGGATCTTCTTGTGCTCTCGTGGATTCGTACTCCAGCATCGGCCGCTCTACCTCAGCTTCGGACGGAGAATCTTCTTCGTCTTCGCCAGTGTACGTGATGCGGGCTTTCTTTCTGGGTGGAAGAGTGACAGCAGGGCGGTCTCGGGGAGCCCTGAGCCAGGGGCGCCCAAAGGCGAGGCCATCAACGAGGTGCTTTCCGTCGGCGGAAATCTGATGTCGGCCGCTCAGTCGTCGTCTCTTCAGGTCGCCAGTCAGGAGAGGCCGGATGCTAGAAGGTGTTAGCTATCGCAAAGCATGCCGACTTGGAGGTCCGGGCAACCTACAGGATTTGATCGTCATCCTTGAGAACCTTCGATACAAGGTGGTAGTGGACGCATTCAAAGCCGTCGCCGGAGGCATCCTTAAGCTCGACGGCGTAATCCTCCAGGCCCCATTCGCCGCCCTCGAGGGGAATGACCTCGTTAACCTGGGTGACGAGCTTCGAAATCGTCAAATCGTCGTTGGCGGTGACGTTCCAGAGAAGCTTAACGTCGGGCACGCCGTGGCGTCGAACCACGAGGCGCAAACGCAAGTCCTTCTCCATCTTCGCCGAGTCGATTAATGTTCCGGATCGTGCGCGCTCTATTACATGGAGGGTGTATTTCGCTTGATTCGCTGTAAAATGGTCGAAGATGAGAGAGGGAGGGACGAAGAAAGATTACAAAAGGATGGTGGTTGAGAAAAGGTCAGGTAAAAGGAACGATCTTCAACCGGACAGCTCGAAAAAGAACCTGGAAGGTAGCCGCCGAGGATTGGAAGGGACTTGAGCAGACGCGCATGGGGAAGGAGAGCTCCAACCGCGACTGACGCAAATTTCTGGAAGGTGGGGCCGGGCCGTTGCGGTGGTTCCAGGGACGTGCGGAGGACACGCAGGTGGCAGGTGGCAGATGGCAGCCACGCCCTCTAGGCTTCCAACCTCAGACCTAGCTAGTTTTTGCCGTCTTTCAATGCGTCTCAGTGGAATGCATGGATTCACTTTGAGACGACATTTGAGAGTTCCAATCACCGCTCATTAAAACCTGGCTGTGAGCAAGTGTGCAGCAAGCCGTCCTTTCGGCGATTTTGTTCATGTACTACCATACACCAAAGTATGTAACTTCGGTAGACATATCTGAAGCGCAATGCTTTGAGGATTGTCTCGTAGATGCCTACCTTACATGCCAGACAAAACCAGCCGCCATCTCAGTGATCTTTTCCCATAAATTGCCAGGGGTCCAGTTATCCAACGATGCTATGAACATTTCCAGTCCTTGGGGGTCCCAACTGACAAGTATGCCAAGTACGCCAATATCCCAGGTATTCGTATCAAAAAATCCGCGAACGCCGTTTTTCTACCATATGCTTGATAACTCTCAACCATGTTTCGTCTCCCATCTCGATCAACATCAGCCCAAATACCAGCGTAGTATGTGCCTCGTGCACGCTCATTGGGGCATGCCGCCCATGTCAAGCATATGTCCCATCTTTTCAATCTGTATTTCGGTCAGCTGCAGTAACTCAACGACGACCAAAACGGGAAAAAAACATACCTTTGTTTTCAAATACCCTTCAACCTCATTGCTACGGAACCCGCCCCGTCCCTTCCACGAAAGCGGCACCATCGCAACGCGCTCCGTAACCCTGACCTCACGATTAGGCCCCTCGACCGCCCTGATCTTATCAGGGTTATTCGTCAGCAGGCGCACCTCGCTCTGCCCCAGGTCCAAGAGCATCGCCGTCGCCAGCCCATAACTCCGGGCATCCGCGGGGTGGCGCAGGAGCAAATTGGCCTCCACGGTATCCGAGCCGAGGTCCTGGAGGTTATACGCCTTCAACTTCTCGCCCAGACCGATACCGCGACCCTCCTGACGCAGGTAGATGATGATGCCGCCGTTAGTATTGCCCGGTAGACTCATCAGCCTCGCCGCCTCGTCCAGCTGCTCGCCGCAGTCGCACCGCGCCGACCACGCCGTCTCGCCCGTGTAACACTCGGAGTGGATGCGCACCAGCGCAGGGCCGCGCTGCGCAGGCGGCTCCTCGCCCGTGGGGGTGGCGACGCCACCGGCCATGCCGCTGGTCGACCGCCCGGGGAAAAGGCGACCGGTATACGCGCCGCGGATCATGCGGTCCATCTCCGTCTCGCCCGGCCGTGGCGCATCGAGCGACTGGCTGCGGATCTGCGGGCCAAAGACAATGGCCAGATGCTCCTTGTTGTCGACGTTGTTCTGGTAGAGGTGCAGGAACATCTCGGTGCCATTGACAGTGGGGATGCGCGCTCGCACGATGCACTGCACCTCGGGGAGGGTCTCGAGGAGACGGGGTCGCTTGGTACCACAGCCGCCAGAGGGTACGGAGCTATCGACGGGCACACCGAGCGGGGCCGCCTCGCTCGTGAGGGGCGTCGATGTGCCGGGTGTCGCGGGCGGCGTGAACGCTGGCGACAGCAGAGAGGGCGGCGGGATCTGGGTGGCCGAGGTTGTTGATGCGGCGTCATCTACGGCTGTTGCGGGGGTTGCGGCGGGGTCAGATAAGCTCAATTGCTCGGGGTCAGGGTGTGCGGCTGCCGAGGGATGGTCGGATGGACCGTCGACCGTCTTCGTTTTCGGCGAGTAGAAGGAGGGAAGTTGATGGGTGTCTTCGCGCCAGTCCTTGGGCGCTCCCGCGCCGTCTGGCTTGCCTTCGAAGTCGGGCATGGCGGGGGTTTGTGATGGAAGGTCGAGGAAGTGGGGGAGGGGATTGGGGTGCAGAATACGATACGTTGGAATGTGAGAAAGAGCCAATTCCGAGCGGTTGATTTCGTCCAGAGAGTATAGCAGGGAATGAAGAATCCAAAGCGTCGTTGTGAAGAAGCCAGATGTCAAGAGCTGAGGGGAGAATCAACGGCGGGACGGCGGCGTAAGCGGCAAGAACATTAAATCGGTGACCGGTTCCGCTCCGAACGGCGAGAGTTGTGAGGTGGGCGGGCAAGTAGTGGTAGTGGTGGTGGTGGTGGTGGTGGTGGTGGTGGTGGCTGTTGGTCAATTAGTCATGCAGCCAGATGATGACAGCACGGGTGCATCTGCGCGCCGGTTCAGCCTCCACAGGCGGCGGAAGTTCCTAATCACTAAGCCAGTGGCAGGTTGCGAGGGACGCAGGGTCGGCCCTGGACCGCCCTTCGCCGAGGTTCCAGCGACGGATGTGGGCGCGCGCGCGCGGAGAGTTCGGGGTGTTTGTGCCATCTTCCCCTTCAGCGTCTCCAACTTGGATTTCAGGGATTCTTTAGCGGGGTCGGCTCTTTTCCGCGTTGAGGGTTTTGCTCGGAGTCTGCGGGGCCGTCCTGATTACATCATCAAATCCTGGTATCGGCTAATCCAAAAGACTAGGACCTCGCTGCTTTCTCAAGTGTACTTGGAGGTATAACAATATCCAATTGCTGTTTTTAAGACCGTATTTTTGAGCCAAGCAGTCCTGCAATATCGAATGGTCTTCTTATACAGTATGCCATCCATCCTCTGGCGCATTCCATGCTCCTTTGCCCTTTGTTGAATTGTGACTGAGTAAGAAAAGCACCCCGGGAATGTGAACCAATAGAATGCTCCGTTCCTGCCAACGTCCAGGATGTCTGTGTCAGCATTAAAAATCAACCGCGCGGTGCCGCAGCGCAAGCTTTTCATAGCCAACAAACCACCCGCAGCCGGCTCCGACCTGACCTCGTCTATGGCAATATGTCACGTCCAGACTCTCTCTCTCAGTCGACAGGCCGTCAAGTGCGTGCAAAAAATGCCCGTCCGATATCCCTACTCCGGCGCGCTTCGGGTTCCTGCATCTGTGCGTCTCTCGCCAATCCCCGGTCTCTGGAAACTCTCTTTCCACTTCGCCTGGCATCCCGTGCTTTTCACTTGGGCCTTACACCCCGGTGGCATCCCTGATAGCCTTCACCAACTTTAAAGCAGCTACATGACAGCCAAATGATCTTCAAATATGCTGTGTAGTAAAGCACACAGTGATCGGCACTTGATATTTAGTATGTATAGTTCACCGAGCAGATCTATTCTCTGTGCAAAGCAATTCCGTGCCGCCGAGTTCTCGAAACCTCGATAGCATGAGCCATGAGGTCGTTGGCGGCAGAAAGGAATGGCAATATCTGCCGCGCTAAATTTATGTGAAAGGCCCAACTCTCTTTACTAGCTTGAGTGTGCCTTCTTATTAATGGGGAATATTTCGAGGAGGTGGTTGTGGATGAGTCTGGTCTGCCTCAGAGTCTCACCACAAGAAGACTTAAACTCTGAGATGCGTGTTGTTTGATTGGCCGTCACTGCTTGCACCCGTGGGAATCCTTAGCTAAGGTAGGTTCGGTGGGAGTTATTCCCCAACAGCTTTCTTGATCACCCACCAATCTATGACTAGAAGAGAGCGTGCTAATTGTAAAAAGTTTCCCAGACGAATATTTGGTTGCATGGGCATTGTACAAACGTCTTTCTCGAAAGTATGATGGAAATTTCGCTGTAGTTGGAAATCGTCGTATGCTTTATGCTGACACGGGAACACGGATTGGCTTGTGTGCCGAACCAATAAGCTCATCGGATAGGCACTCTGCGCTCCTCGCCGAGACAACCAACGCGAACGCGCATCGAACCAAAAAAACTCGACAGGCCAGTTGCATTGGTGGTTCGCCATCATCGCGTTTTGGGGTATGTGCTGTCAACGTGAGTCACATCCGCAGCAACCCCCATCAACCCATGCAACCCGTTTCGTTTTGCTCTTCGCGTCCCAATCCAGCACAATCAACGGCTCCTCCCATCACCAATTCGAGATGCCATGCCAACAGCCCGTGCGGCTGACGCGGAAACCATTGGCTTACACCCTCCCGTCCCTGCTGCAACCACTTGTCGCCTCCTCCCGTCCCATTCCGTTTCAGTCACGCCCCATGCCCAAGTGCCAGGCATCTCGTGAGAAGGCGACCATCTCTGAGGCTCCTGCTCTTTATTGTTTACTTTGAATTCTATGGCTCGAGTGATCCACCAGACTAATGCGACGGCCTAGCGGTTCGTCGTCGTCTCGTCGTTTCTTGTTTCTGCTCGTGGCCAAACACGCTGCCCTCGTCCAGTGGAGTGGCCCATGCAGCCGGGATACGAAAACATCGCCAACTCGCAGGTCCCTCGCACACACTCTCTGTCTGTCTCTCCGGTGGTATAAGAGGATCAAGTGACTTCTTCGTCTTAGAACTTCCTTTTCCGTGAATCTTCAAAACAAGAACCTGCAGTCATCTGACAAATAAATATACCACTCATTTTGAGGACCTCGATAATACCGGCTACTTTCAAGGTCAACACTACCTTAACGGAGTCTCACTCATCGCCCAACCTTCATTCAATAATACTTCACCTCATCTCACATCTCACCCACTTTCGTTGTCACACTCAAAAAACTACCAGCCTCATTTCATCAACATACCTTCATCAGCACTTACAATCTTTACCATCGGCACTTAAAACCTCACATCTCAAAAATGGAATCCCCCAACGTCATCGTCTGGCTGCTCCCCTCCTCAACCAACCAACCAGCCCTCGAAACCATTCGCATGCCCCAAAACGCAACCAGAAAGGTCGACGCGATCCCCTCATCCTACGAGCCCATAATCCAGACGCCGAACCCAGACACAGCACCCACAACACCAACCATCGACCCCTCCGTCCTGACCAAATCCTCCTCCTTCTTCTCCTTCTCCTCCGCCTCTTCCTCCCCCAAACCCCGCCCAGCCCTCTCGCTCTCCTTCACCGACCCCCCAAAAAACCACACCAGCTTCGTCCTCGGCACCGACCCATCCCTCTGCGACATCCTCCTCCCCAACCTCCCAGGCATCGCCCCGGCACACTGCCACATAACCTTCGACGCCGACAAGCGCCTCGTCCTCGTCGACACCTCGGACGCCGGCACGGCCGTCTGGTACGATGGCAACAGCACCGGCGACCGCCGCCGCGAGTCCTGGACCCTCAGCAGCGGGTGCACGTACGGTTTCCCCTCCATGGTCGACCGCATCGTTGTTGATATCCAGACGGTGCGGTTCCAGGTCGTTGTTAATGAGGCGCATTCACTACGGCCCGAGGTTTACCAGGAGAATGTGGATAGCTTCATTTCGAGCCTCGCGAGCGCCAGCGTCGTAGCGGCGGCAGCGGCGGCGGCGGTGGCGGTGGAAGAAAAGACCATACCTGGTGTCGATCTCGCCGAGCAGCAGGAGCAGCAGCAAGAGCAAGAGCAGCAGGAAGTGCGCCGTGACGACAAGGACGTCTGCGACTTTTACTACAACTTCAACTTTGATCTCGGCTTCGACCTCAGCTACGACTGCGACTACGATTTCGACTACGACATGTCGGACGACGAGATGGTCGACGAGGAAGAAGGAGACCTTTTCCCGCCTATCCCCTCCGTCGTGCCGCCCATGTACGTCAAATACCTTCTCACCTCGGACGACGGCACGCCGCCGGAGACGTACCTCTGGAACACGGCGCGGCCTTGGGAGCCAATGGTCAAGGTCGTCTGCTGAGGGGTCGTCACCTCGTGCATATTCATCCGACGACGAGAAATTTCATACGTTGTCCAACTATAGGGGACAAAAGGAAAGGAGCGTGAGAGACAAAGGACAAAACTTTGTGTAAAAAATCAGCTTTATGGAGTTAATTCTGTCCAACGGTGCTGGCACTGGAAAGCGTTGGGTCTCATCAGGCTTTGGAGTTGGGAATTAGAGCTATCAGCACGCACTTACACTCATTCTGGCCCCCTCAGATTGGCATTTCTTTTTTCTACCCCTGCATTTTTCATTTTCCGTTTCGTTGTACATTTAGACCAGATACCCCCTATTCGCATGGCCCTCCTGTTCCTTTGTTCACTGTATATAGGACAACACAGCCCACACAATCTTAAAACGAAAAATAAAACATCAGAAATTATAGCTGGCAATCTGCCAAACTACTCTCAAAAGTCAACGACGGAAATCGCGAAAGATTTGGGAATGCTACGCGACAAATTTCCATGCCCGCGGAGACGACAGAAGAAATTCGCCGTTGCCACATTTGGAGATCTCCGGCAAAGCTGGGTCGAAGGCCGCGTTGGAGTTTGGGGAAACAGGAAGCGCCAGACACAGCAGGCGGGCTAATGAGGCCAGACCAAGCATGGCCTTATCTGCCGCCCAATCTTATCTCCTTCAGACTTTCAACCACTTGCATTCACGGCGACCGGTTTCTCCGCGGGCATGAGGATGGCCCGGCCTTCACAGCAGGAGAATGAAGATATGGCAAGGAATAGCATTTCCTAGAATACCTATATAGACTGCGCTTATCCTTCAAACAATACTCAAGAATCCAGACGCCAAATTGCCGACAGTGCCTCGCCCTCCCGACGGTCCTCTCCCCGTCGATAGACGACTGACGTAGACAAAAGATACCGCCAAAGCCGAAGAAATGGCCTCTGATAACACGCAACCCAGCGAGACAAGCCCCCTCCTCCCTCCAATATCCCAAATCAGACAGCCCACCCCGAACTCATCTCAACAACTCTCGCTCTCCAAAGCAGACCAAGCCCTGGGCCAATTGCCCCCTCTGGGCGACCGCCTCCCTTACAACGACTATACCACCATCGACTGGCTCCGCGATCTGACAAAAGACTCTGCCCGCGCTCGTCGTTTGCACGCGCAACCTGGCATCCGCGGCACCGCGGCGCGCTGGTTCGACCAGTGCCAGGGGTGGATCGCCGCCGCGGTCATCGGCACGCTCACGGCCCTCGTCGCCTTCGTCGTCGACGTCTCTGTGGCGACGGTGAGCGATTGGAAGGAAGGATACTGTAAGACTAACGTTCTACTGGACCGTGGGCGATGTTGTTGGGGGGTACCCGAGACCGGGCGATGCGATGCTTGGAGCCCCTGGATTGAGGGCAAAGGAGGAGAAGGAGGAGGAGGTGCTGGTGGTGGAGGGGGGTACGCCGCCAGCTACGCAGTCTATGTCCTCTTCGCCCTCCTCTTCGGCATCATCGCAGGGAACATCACCATGACCACCAAAGCCTCCCTGCCAGCCGTCGACGCCGACAGCGTCTTCACCACGGGTGCCATGACGGAGGGCAAGACGATGTACATGGCCGCCGGCAGCGGCATCCCCGAGATCAAGACAATTCTGTCGGGCTTCGTGATTCCCCATTTCCTAGACTTCAAGGTCCTCGTCGTAAAAGCCGTGGGCGCGACCTTTGCCGTCTCGACGGGCATGTGCCTGGGCAAAGAGGGCCCCTTTGTCCACATCTCGACGTGCGTCGGGCGGCTGGTGGCCAACCGGTTCCCCAAGTACCGGGACAACCCGCGCAAGATGCGAGAGATGCTGAGCGTGGCGTGCTCGTCCGGCCTGTCCGTCGCGTTTGGCGCGCCGATTGGCGGTGTGTTGTTCAGCTACGAGGTAAATGCCCTTTTGCGTTTCGTTTTCGTGGTTCCAATCGAACCGGGGGGGTTGCAATGGGATGTGTTGACTAAAAAAAATAATACCCATCGGCTAGGAAATCAGCACGTACTTCCCACGACGCGTCTTGTGGCGCGCGTTCCTCTGTTCCCTGGTCGCGGCCATCGCGCTCAAAGCCCTGAATCCCACGGGGACCGGAAAGTTGGTGCTCTTTGAGACGAATTATGGCGTCGACTACGACCCGGTGGACTACCTCGTGTTTGTGATGCTGGGTGTCTGTGGCGGCGTCTTCGGCGGCATCTTCTGCCAAGCCAACTTTCTCTGGTCCAAATGGTTCCGCAAATACGACATTGTGAAGAAGCATCCTGTGCTTGAGCTCAGTTGCGTTGTATTGGCCACCGCTTTGCTGCAATACCCAAACGTGCTCATTCGCGACACGGGCGACGTGGCACTCTCGAGACTGCTGGTCGACTGTAAGGAGCCCAATGGCAACTGGATATGTGAGCAGGAGGACAGTAACAACAAGACGGCATACATGCTTCAGCTGGCAGGCGGCACAGTGGTCAAACTACTCCTCACCATAGTTACCTTTGGCTGCAAAGTCCCCTCCGGCATCATCATCCCCGCGCTCGACGGCGGCGCTCTCTTCGGACGGCTGATTGGGCAGTTCGTCGGCGGGATCTCGCCCGGAATCTTCGCAATGGTCGGCGCTGCGGCTTTCCTCGCCGGCGTGAGCAGGATGACCGTGAGCCTGGCTGTCATCATGTTCGAGCTGACGGGTGAGGTGACGTACGTGCCGGCCTTCATGTGCGCCATCCTCACGGCGAAATGGGTAGCGGACGCGATCTCGGGAGGATCCGTGTACGATCTCTCGCAACACCTGCTGGGCCATCCGTTCCTCGACGCGGAGCAAGCCCAGGAGGTGGTTCGCAAACGTGAAGCCACGGCCCGTGAGCTGATCCCTCCGGCCGGGACGATGGAGGAGATCACCCTGCACGTGGGCAGCGAGTACCGCGTGCGAAGGGACGTGGTGTCAGAAAAGTTGCGGAAATTGAAAGCCAGAGGACTGATGGATGCAGGCATAGTTCTCGTCAATGATGCGGGACTATTATTTGGATATTTACCCGAAGCAGAAGTAGAATATGCGCTGCTGACTGGCAGCGACGCAGAGGAAATTAATCTGCGGACCGGCGTTGTGACTGAGTTGGTCGATCGCACACCGCTCACGGTCTGTGCCGAGGCCCCGATGGAGCACGTTTTGGAGATGTTCGGGAAACTAGGCCCGAGATACATCATCATCGTGGAGCCGGAGACGGCCAAGGTGCTAGGCGTTGTGCTCAAGAAGCGATTGTTGGACTTTTTGGATCGGGTCAAAGCGTCTTGATCCAACAGTCTTGGTAGCTGCAGAATATTGCAGTTTAGCCCAGTCGAATTAAAAAGCGTGATTTAACAATATGGCCGTTGTCGTCGACCTGGAAATATGAGTTATAGTGACTGGTGACTGGCTTTGTCTTCGGAGTTGCCTAAGCATACCCCACGAGCTCTTGCAGCACATCCATCAACAACTTGTTCTCGTCAGCCTCCCGATGTCAAGGCTAACCACCCCGGTCGCCCTACTCAGTTCCGTATTGCAAGACCTTGGCATCTCATGATGTGCTCTCTTCGCAGATGTTGCGGCCCAAGCCATGTCTGTCCCTCGTACCGCAAGTTTGCTCATCATCGGACCATGTTGGAATCGCAAAAGACGTGAATTCGGCTCGATCTAAGACCCTCGCGGCAAGATCAACCCCATGCTGCCCTTGATTTTGTCCCCCTGGTCCTCAAATAACAGGTTATGTACACAGACGCTCGCCGTCCCAGGCTCGTTTCGTTCGTCTCGTCCGGTTCCCATTGCTCTAGTTGCTTCTCGTACCCTTCTCCGCGCGCAGCTCATTCATCTTGGCGACACGCTTCTTGAACTCGTCGTATTGGCACTTCTCGTAGCTGTGACGCTCGTCCTATTTCGAGGTGGAAAGAAATTCCTAGGTTAGCGAATTTAAGGTTCTCGGATTGATCGGGACGGGGCGATCGAGGACGCTCTCTCGCGAGAGCGCAAGATAGGCCGCGCGGTGACGGAGTGTAGAGCCAGGGTAACCAACATTGCACTTCCACGGGAGGTACCAAGTGTCGACACGGCAGCGGTTGAGGGGAATGAGGAGGCCGGCGCAGCTGTCGCGGTAGGGGAGGGGGAGCTTAGCCTCCCGCATCTCCTCGCGGGTCGCTTCTGGAGAGGATGTCAGTCATTGCGGGGAGTGGAGAGCCCGGAGAAGGGAGGGGAGTACAGACCCCTTGGTGCTGAGTCTCCGGCCATTGTGACGGCAATTGGGGTCTGTAATGGGCGAATGAGGCTGTCGTCGATGGTCAATTCGGATCTGGATCTTGAAATGTCGTCGGAGCTTTGGATTGGACTGTGGAGCTTCCGACGGTAATTCCCTGGCGGCCTGGATTGTGAGGCTTGGAACCGGGTGATTACCTTTTGAGAAATTTGATTGGCTTGGTGGGGCCCCTTCCAGCACGGTCGCCAGAGAGGGCTTCTTCTCAGTTTTTACAGCTCTTTTGACTTTGCCTAGAATGAACTTTATTACACTAATTATACTGCGAAGTTCTCTATGCAGAGTATTACATGAGATCTAGGATTGGCCAGATGTTTACTATATACTCTTTCTTCAACCACTTACACGCGCCTTCTACAGACTCAGTCCGACAGCCATTTGTGTGTCTCGCGGCAACCAACCACACAACACATGAAGGACGCCCACTTCCCGGATGCGATATTTACTATATCTGCTTATCTCCAATCCTCTGATTCATTGGTGAAAAGTCCCATTGAGATGGCGAATCCAAGTGGCGTCCGTAGGGTAGTGGTGAAAGCAACCCTTCAAACCCACCTGCAGCAACGTAACATCCCCTGAGTCGATCGTCGGCAACCAGCCTTCAGTCTATCTAACCATTTCGCCTCTTTATCAATCAAATCCGTGCGGTATTTCCTGTCCAGTGTCCACAGCTGTTTGTAGACAGCAGAGTCAAGATACCCTTTCGCGGTAAAGCTGTTCTCCTCTCAAGCCGAGCGGAGGGGGCGACAATCATGGACTATTCGGCGCAACAGCCGATCACTTGCTACCAACTCTCATGAATCCATCCCGAGCCCAAGAACACCTTCCCATTGTCGCATGTCGGCCGTTGGACCGGAGGCAATAGTTCCTGCCGGACTGCCGATGCGTGCCACCCGACCTGGGGCCATCGCCATCTCCCCATGCTCACCTTCCACTTCCAGCTACCCTGTGGGCCCACGCGACCAATTGTCTTCATCTGCAAATGCCTATCGGACACCGTAAAGCCGTCGTCAACCCGCCTGTAAACCCCGGTCTCCTTATGGAGTCCCCGTCGCATTTGGGCCCCGGTGCGATGCCGGGGCTGCACCGGGGTTAGCACCTCTCCCGCCAACACTTGGAAAGCTTGTTCCTGTCAACTGTTGCAGATGCGGGACGCGTGTGATGAATACTGGTAATGTCGAGGCATGGGCCGTTGCATATCATGCTGCTTAAGCGGCCCCGATCATCGCTTCGTGTAACCGTCGAGAGATACTTCAGATACGGGGTCTGCGCCCTGGACCCATGTCCAGTGCTTCTCTTAAAAGATGCAGCTCCCCCCCGCCGTGATCGTGGAGAGGGAGTTCCTGCTCGGTTGACGAACGTGTCAAGTAGTCGTCCTGTGTTGTGAAAACCCTCGGCTCTCCGTCACCATGAAGGTCTCACTCGCCTTGCTCAGCTGCCTTGCGGTGGCCCAGGCCCACTTCGCCTTCCAGCCCATACAGCCTCCTCTGAGGGCCGAAGATGAGGAAGAAGGGCTTCTCTCCAAGAGAGAATCCGGTTTCTTTGAGCAGCTCATCGACCACGATAACCCGGAACTTGGTACCTTCCAGCAAAGATACTGGTGGAATGCCACGTTTTGGGAGGGACCTGGCTCTCCAGTAATACTTCTCTACTCATATTTGGTAGCCATGACACTGACCAATCGACTGTAGGTGGTGTTCTTCACACCTGGAGAATCGGAGGCTTCGGTGTACACCGGTTACCTCACGGACCGTGCCATTACAGGAGCCATTGCCAAGGCAATCGGCGGTGCTGTCGTCATGGTTGAGCGTATGAAACTTGCTACTGTCACTTGCTCGAAGTCTGTAAGACTAACTAAGCTCAGACCGTAACTGGGGAACCTCCTTGCCGTACGCGCTCCAAGATACAAAGAACCTCCAGCAGCACACCATGACCAACGCGGTTCTCGACTTTGCCAACCTCGCTCGCAACGTCAAGCTGCCTTTCGACACGAACAGCAGCAGCAACGCCCCCCAAGCCGTGAGTACAAGGATACGGTTTCTATTCAGTGAGGAGACGTGACTGACCGCCAGTAGCCCTGGGTGTACACCGGTGGATCCTACTCCGGCACCCTGGCCGCCGCCATCGCGAAGCTGGCACCGGGAACCTTCTGGGCATACCACGCCAGCAGCGGTCCCGTCGAGGCGACGTACGACTACTGGGGCTACTTCCTCCCCATCCAGAACGGCATGCCCAAGAACTGCAGTCGTGATTTTGAGCGGATGATTGACCACATCGACAACGTCTTGCTCACCGGCAGCGACGACGAGGTCTACTCCTTGAAGAAGAAGTTTGGCCTCCAGGACCTCGCTCACAAGTCAGACTTTGCCTCGTAAGTGGAAAAACCCCCTGTGGCTGCAAAAAAAAAGCGAACCTGATTCTCACATGACGCAAGTGCCCTGGTCGGACCCCTTGGATACTGGCAGTCGATCCAGCTGTACTCGGGCTATTCCGTGTTTTACCAAATGTGCGATTCCGTCGAGGGCGCCACGGGCAACTCCTCGGCGCCCAACGCGACCTACAGCGCGGATGGCGTCGGTCTTACGAAAGCGCTGGACAACTACGCCAACTGGTGGACCACGGTGTACCTTCCGGGGAGTGAGTACTCGCTCCCATGAGTTGCATGGCATCCTGAAGCTGACCCCCCTATGTAGCTTGCGCATCCTACGGCATTGAAGAGTGGCAGGATCCCTTGAACGTGGCCTGTTTCGATTCCTACAACGCCACGAGCCCCATCTACACCGACTGGAGCGCCGACAACCCATTCGGTCGGACTTGGTACTGGATGACGTGCAACGAGCCCTTCTTCTACTGGCAGACGTAAGTTGCGGGCACAGTCAACCCGTCCGAAAGCGAATGGGCTTCGAGACTAACAATGCATAGTGGTGCCCCCAAGGATCGTCCCACCATCGTCTCGCGCTTCGTCACGCCCGAGTACTACCAAGGCCAATGCGACCTCTTCTTCCCCAAGCAGGGCAACTTCACCTATGCGTCCAACGCTGGCAAGACCGCCGCGGACCTGAACAAGTCGACTGGCGGCTGGTTCTTCACCAACACCACCCGCCTCATGTGGTCCAATGGGTAAGTCATTTATTTAAAAAAAAAAAAAATTGCCTCCTACAGCCGAGTCACCTGGGACCTTGGATTGGACCCGCGACTGACATCTCATAGCGAATTCGACCCCTGGCGATCCGCCTCCGTGTCAAGCGAGCTTCGTCCCGGCGGCCCGCTCAAGTCCCGCCCCGGTGCTCCGGTCCGCCTCCTCCCGGGATCCCGTCACTGCAATGATTTGCTCGTCAAAAACGGCGCGGTCAATGAAGGTGTGCAGGCGGTCATCACCGCCGAGGTCGACCAGATGAAGACTTGGGTTGATGAGTTTTATGCTGGCAAGGCAAAGTACAGACGCCGCGCCGCACGGCCTCTGTGAGGAGGGCTTCGTAAGGGGACACTCTACGTTTCCGAAGAAGTTGTGTCATTGATTACATGTACTTAGATGCTAGCACGTGATCTGATAAAGACAAGTTTACATCAAGCCTGCTCTCATTTCCCATTTCGTGGTGTGACGTGCAAGGAGGCGGCTCACAGCCCGATTTGCCTATTGCATCTGTCCCTATTACTCCGGTCCATCCCTCTTCATCTTTCTTGTGTTTATTCACCTAGTTAATAAACGGAAAATGACAGCGTGGTGGAAGACGTGGCTAGAATAAAAACGATATACATTTACGCGAAGGGACACAGCAAAGGCATACGTTTATGGAGCATGTCTCATCATTCTATTGAACCATCAAGCTACCTAGTTGTAATTCAGAGAAAATTCATATCTAACGCACGTTGCACTCATATATCCTCGACAAGACTGAGACTTTCGTAAAACAGCTGCGTTTACCAAGGCAGGTCAGTGCCATCGTGGTTCTTGAACGAGCCGCTAATCTCTCTGGTGGCCTTGTCGATGGTAGCCACCATATCATCCACGCTCTTCTTAACAGAAATAGCACCGAAAGCACTGAGGTCGGCGCCGGTCTTGGCGGCCAGGCCAGCCGCCATATCCGTCTCGACCAGGCCGGGGTGGAACACAAAGGCGGTCAACCACGGCTCCTCAAAGTGCAGTCTGCGGACGAACCAGTTGAGCGCGGCCTTGGAAGCGCCGTAGGGGCTCACGGGGCTCGGGATCTGGAAGATTGTCTCGGCGAGGCCGTTGCTGCCAATGGCGGAGGAGATTGCGACAAAGATGGGGTTCTTGGACTTGCTCTCCTGGAGCAGGGGCTTCGCGGCGCCAAAGAGAACGAGAGGCGCGACGGAGTTGACGGCGAAGTGGTCCAGGGCGGCTTGGGTGGAGGTGGCGGCGATGTCGACCGAGGTGTGGGAGATTCCCGCGTTGGCGATGACGACGTCCAGGGCGGTGATGCCGTGCTCCTTTTGGATGGTCGCCACGGCGGCGGCCGGGTCGGACTCGACAGAGGAGTCGATCTTCACGACGATGATCTTGGAGCCCTCGGCCTTGGGGAGGTCGTAGAGGGCCTTGGAGGCTGAGGCGGCTGGGTCGCGGACGCCGACGACGATTGTTGTTGAGGGGCGCTGGAGGAGAAGGTTGGTGAAGCCCTTGCCGATGCCACGGTTGGCGCCGGTGATGAGGTAAGTGAGTCCCGAAGACATTTTGGAGGTTGTATGGTTGTAGGTGAGTTAAGATAGTTGATATTGCGATGAAAGTTGTTGGTGAAGTAGAGATGGGATGAGGATTCCTCCAAACAGCAGAACTAAGCCGAAGGATACATCTTAAATAAGTTGAGTAGATATGAGCTAATCAGGATTCCTAGTGAACTGACAAATACAGCCTTCCGTTTCGTGCTCGCACGCCTTCCAGAAGGGCCTGTCTTCGAAGAGAATCGAAATGTTGCAAAAGACCTCTCCTAGGATGCTTTGTTCAGTTTCGGGGCCGAACTTAGCGTCTGAACAGATTGATAATCATAGTTCGGCTCAATGGCAGTTCTGAGAACGGTCTACCCTCAAGAGCTCCTGTCGCAGTGTTGAACGCGTGGGCGTGTGAGTTGTATCACTAATCCAAAAATAAGAACGAGAGCTAAGTATAGAGTTGGGATTAGTAGTTTGCACCGTCAAATGTACCGCCTCGCTGACCAATTACAAAGCGCGAAGCTGTTTAGATTGCAAGTTCAATATATTATTATTGAGACGCCTTTGGAACAACCTGTATCCGTTCCGAGCTTCGCCAGTTCTGTCCTTTGACCATTTGACCCGTTGTCAGGCAAGCACTTCAGATTACTTGACTACCTTAGGTGGCATTCTCCAGATTCGATAAGGTTCAGGCTCTAGTTCACAAAAGGAAAGAGTTCAAAATTATAAGAGTGGTTCTCACTACTGGAGTATACGAGTCATTGTAGAGCAATTGAGGAGAGAGAGTTCGCGCCATGACAATGCTGATAGACACTCAAGATACTCCAGCTAGCTCACTGCTCAAGATCCACGAAACACATTTATTCTGTCATATTGTATATTGAGGAACAAAATTTCACTCGCTTGTCAATGTCTGGGCAAAATGACATGGTCGGTCTCCCCGAGCGACCCCTTTCATCTCAACATATGTATTGCTCTGCGATCAGATGATTCCACATTTCTAGATCCTTAAAGTTTCAGTGGGACGAGCAGCACCTAGGGTATCCTTGGCAATCTCAGGAGGCGATGACAGAGACACTCCATTGCCATCGTCGTAGGACTGATCGTCTTCCAAAACACCGTAGAAACTCTCACGGTAGACGAAGCCCAAATGGCTCTGAAAATTGGCATAAGTAAGAGGCACTTCCGTCTTCTCGTCCTTGACATCAGACAACACCTGCTGGGCAATATCGGGCAGGGACAGCCTCCCGACAAGTGTCCTCTCAAAGACGTTTTCGAGATCACCGCCTATAAAAGGCGAGATGGCATCGTGGTGGATCTGCACCCGGCGTTGGCTACGCCAGCGCCGGATATATACTTGGCCAAAACGATCATCACCACAATCGCTCCGACCGCTGTCTGTTGGCAAGCTCCAGTCCATCGTCTCTCTAAGTTTTCCTGCCGCTAATGAACCACCTCATGAAACCGCCAGCGATCTCCACTTGGTGGATCGGTCAAATTGGTGTTTTCATGCCCTTTGCGTGCCCCAGCGGATACCAAGCGGATCAGTAAAAATAGCACAGGCAGAATTGATTGAAAAGAGCCGCGGCCCCGAATCGCACATGACGCCAAGCAACGATACGAGAGTTGAATATCAATGCCTGGTAGTTTTCAATTAGATGTATAGACAGGCTCACGCTAGCGATTCATACACTGCAGCTTCTTGATCGGCCAGAAAATTGCTCTACCGTTGCTCCCAACTTTGACTCTCACTTATGACGTTCAGAAAATGGCCATAAAAGGGACCAGACATACTTATTTTTAAAAATCTCCTGAGCACGCTCGAATTTCTAAGTCTGGAATTCCCAAGGCTTTGATGATATAGCAAGATGCATTTCTCGATCCGCGTGGCTGCGCTTTCCATTCTCTCTACTTTAAGCTTTTGGCATGTATTCGCAATCCCTGATGTTGCCCCCCTCGGGCAGCATGCATCTACTCCCAAACGATCATTCGATAGTTGGGTCTCTGTAGGCCACAATGGTCATTGGCCATGCACGTTTGAACAACTCGATGCCATCGACATCGCTGTTGAATATACCAAGCTCCTAGCAAGCGCGGCGATAGTGGCTTTGGATCATGCAGGGACAAGGTCAACGGCATACCTGCGTTGGTTTGGTAGTAAGTCGCCAATCACAACTCAGTCCCCCAAATGATCCATCACTCTAGGGTCGTAATAGGGCCATAAGTTGAACAATGTTGCCCACATTTAGAAAATAACACCTCCGAATCTGATCGGCTCTCCATCAAAACCAATCACTACGACGCCGTGATCTCACAGCTAAGAGGACCGGATTCAGGAACTGTGAAAAGCATAGAAGAAGGCGGCCCCAATCCGAAAAGATTGGTGTATGCCTGTCCCGCCGCGAGTAGCCCCTTGTGCAGCAACAAGGTGGCCGCATCGGTCATCAATTTCGGCGACGAGGGTTTCAAGGTGAATCTGTTGTACGTCTGCCCCCCATTCTTCCAGTCAGTCAGCTACCACAAATCGCTGTACGACTGGCAGTGGGGTCGTTACACGCCCTCGGCAGGGATGATTTTGCTTCACGAAATGCAGCACCTTGATGCCGTGGTGGGCGCGGACAGACGCAGCTTCGATCACGCATATTCGGTTAGCGAGTAAGTGTTTGTCGCAGACAACGGGCCCCGTATGAGATACAGGCCGGTGACATACGGGCGAGCTGACTCTAGTCTACCAGTTGCGAGCATCTCGACGACAGTGACAAACTTACAAATGCACAGAATTACGCATTCTTCGCGTTGGATGTAAATGCGAGACCACCCAAATAGCGCGCACCAAAATAGCGCTGGAGACGAGTTGCAGCATCTTTGATAATTATCATAAAAACAGCGAATAGCATATTTACAGGGTCTCCGTGTTGAAGATCGGGCATGCTTTAAGAACAACTAATTAGTTTACACCAGACGCCTTTATATAGATCAACACATCGAGCAAGCCAGTCCTCCATGAGAAAAGCTGTGCCATGTTTTAATAGTGACCTGGAATAGATATATTATTGTCCTGGCAAACGTATAATCCAATGACCTAGTTTTTCGTTGCTACTTTGCATATAAATTTGGAGTTGAGCGCTGCTGAGAATAGGTTTACACGTGCAGTTAATGCTGTCTCTGGAGAATGTGTTACATCCGCAGCGATCAGCACTACAATTTGAAGAGCTGAATTGGTTCATGTCACAAGGTTAGTAAAGAAAATTATTTGTAAAATGTGGCAACGTTTGCATCGTACAACCTTGGTGTTTAAGAGACGTCTTTTTTACATTATCTGTTGTCCTATTGGCCATCTCTTCTTCCGGCATTCGTGAGATCATCTGACAATAACGCGCCTGTTCGCCTCATCCCGTCGAGCTCATAGCCCGCTAAGCAATGATCACACACTATTGTATCTCGGAGCCGATGATCAAGAGCTCATCAGAGATTCAGACCACAGGCTGCACAGCCGAAGACTGTAAGCTGTGATGAGGATTCGTAAGCCGCATTATGGCATCTCCGCATGCGGCTCTTACAGTTTAAACTTTAGTGATCAGTCTTAACCGAGGCTTTGAGCCCCCTCCGCAGCTTTATGTTTACTAATCACCATGACTTGCCCCTTGAAGCAGAATCCGCCCCAAGGAAGATCTCGAGCCAAATTCCCTCCAACGGAAAAAGGGAGACATCCCTTCCGCCTGTTCTTGCGCAGGTGCTCTGGTTATACAGTGCACAGAATCAGCGCCTTGGACGGGCCGGCTCCTGCGGGCAGGTCATACCAATCTGTCGCAAAAACGACGCCGTTAATTGCGGGCAGCAATTAACGTCATAGACACATGTGCACCAATGTGACACAATCAGTGTCCCTTTCGTTCTCTCTTCTCTCCACAAAGGCTCTTGGTATGCCGCATCAGGTCCATTTCTGGTCAACTAATCGTACACACACCACCGCAGCTCCCGCGGCACAGCAGCCGAACAACATCATCTGAAAGCCCTCCCACAGGCACCGTATCCGTGATGTCCTGCCATCACCCAGCAACCAGCTCTTCCCGGCACCAAAGGCGAACAAGGCAACGAGGCAGACGACGATGCTCCACAGCAGCCCCTGGCCCACGCTCGAGGCGAACAAGTACGGCAGCAGAGGCATCAGCCCGCCGCAAAGATATCCGAGCGCGATGGACAGGCCCGAAAAGATTGGCGATATCGGCGGTTGGCTCGTTTCGCAAGCGTCCATTTCGGCCAGGAATTCGGGTCGGCTGGCTTGCGCGCCCTTGATTCGTTCCGAAGCCCAGCCCAACCCTCCCGACTGCGATCTCACGGCGCCGACCACCATCGCGACGGTGGTCTCGGGTAATCCCAGGGGTTGAAGATACCGCAGCACTGCTTCTTCTTCTTCATCGCCTACGGACCGTCCTGTGCTGCGTTTCTCTTCGTCGAGTTCGTCCTCGCTGTGCCTTTCCGCCGACAATAACCTTCCCTGTTCCTCTCCATCTGCTGACGGCGGCGACGGCGGAGGCAGTACCATTCGAGAGTTATTGTGCGACGAGTCCCGCGCGGCTAGGTAGCCGCCGATGCCCATGCTGATGCAACCCGCGCATAGTTCCGCGAGACCGGCGTAGATGACCGTCTCGCTGCGGCCGAGGGAGCTGAGCCCGGCGGTCAGGGCGAATGGCACCGTGAGGCCATCTGCGAAGCCGAGTGTGAAGTCTGAGAGGAAGCGAGAAAGCGCTGAAGAGACCATTTTTTGAGGCTGTTTTCTTGCTTTTCCCCCGACTTGGAGAGTCTCTCGACAGTTGAACTCACGGTCCGGTAGTCGGAGAGCGAAATCGTTCTTGACTGGACTGGGGCTGTAAGGAAAAAGTAGGGAAGCGTCGATTTGAGCGCAACGAACAAGGAACTTTTGTTCAAACTTGCCACGGAGTTCCAACAATCAAAGAGTTTGGCGAAAGCTCGTCTTGCAGAAAGAGGAAGAGACTATCGGATGTCGGCAATGACACGGTGGAACAATGCGGACAGCATTTCGCCCCCCATCAATGAACTTTGACCAAAACTCTATCCACGCGCCGTTTCTGCGCTTCTGAGTGGACGATGCAGCACAGCCACCAGACGGTCACAACTCGGGTGAGACATGCCGCGATACCGCTCTTTCTCGCTGATTTTTTTTTTTTTTTTTTTTTAAATTCCCTTGATTTTTTTTCCCCCTTCCGATCCTGTGGAGAAATACTAATCGGCATCGAAGTGAAGGGTGGGGGTTGGCAGGAAACATCTGTCAAGACATCAAGCTTTCGCCCAGAGACAATGCCAAGATGGACCACGTGTGTGGAGTCCGGAGAATTCGACCCCTCACCTCTTTGGCCAATAATTCAGCGCTGATTTCTCACCTTCCCGACCAGGAAGGCCGCTTGTGGAATGCAGGGATCAGAGCGCCGAAGATCCCTTCTCCACCCCTCCCCCCCCCGGATGCTTCCCCTGCCCGCCGCCCGCTATCAATAAACATCTTTGTGGAACGACTCGTTCACATTACGAGGATGATATCTGCATGTTTTTCTGTTGGATGCGCCATTTCGGTGACGAGTTCTAGAAGCTGACGTGGCTGAGTAATTAATCATCATCGCCCGGCCAACTCCGATGCTGTTGCCGTTGCTCCATCGCTTGGCCTTTCTGTCCCTGTTGTCTCTATTGCCGCTTTCGTTTCCATCACTTCCGTCGTATCTACCGCCCTCTTTCGTGTATTATTTCATGTTACTCACATGAAGTTAGGTGAGAAAAGAGAGAGGTATAGATATAGTGGAGGAGGCGGAGAGAGAGATGGAGGTTGTAGAAAAGAAATTAGAGTCAAGAGTGATAGTTTATTATAGAATTAAGTCGTTAAGACTCTAATTGCTATAGCTTGGTTATATACATTACTAATTTACGAGGGTAATCTATAAAACATTCTATAGCTCAAGAATCTTACGCCTCGTACCCAGGAGGCGGGTTCAGCCCATCCGGAACCTGAACGGTATCCTTGTAGTACGTAGGCGCCTTGCTGTGCTTCCAAATCTCCTTGACCGACTTGAGAATCTTCCTGCCGGCCTTGTTCTTGTGCAACGCCAAGTTGGGCTTGGGGTACTGCTTGGGCGCCTGGGTGTTGAAGAAGCCCGCGTACGACTGGTTGAAGAAGCGGTCGGGCACCGTCGCCGTCTTGCTCCACGGGCGCACAACGGTCTTGGTCTTGTCGGCGACGAACTTGTAGACGTTGGCGCCGAGATCCCATCGTGCGAGGGAGGAGAGGCCCCAGTTGTTCTGCACTGTCGCCAGCTCAGAGTAGTGGTTGTAAAAGTTGGAATCCGTCGTGCCAACGAGTTCTTGAGGGACGGCGTCGCCCAGAAGGATGCCGAGGATGCGGTTCTGTTGCGTGTACGTCTCATTCTCATCCCACGTGATCAAAACCAAGGTGTTGTTCATGAAGTTCTTGTCCTCGAGGAGCGGCTCGAGGAAGTTCCTGTTCCAAACACCAGCAACGGTCACAGAGGTATCGTGACCGTCCGAAGTCATGTTGGGAGTAATAAAGAGCCATTGCGGCAGCGTGTTGGCCTTGAGATCTTTGTGGAACTGGGAGCGCTCCGGGTGGATCATGGAGAGGTTTTTGATCTGGGACAGGCGCTGCTCTGAGCTGGTGACGCTGTCAAAGAAGATTGGCGGGTTATGCTTGCGAACGTAGTCGTTTGCTCCATTCTGTTGGTTGACCCAGGCCATGCCTTCAAAGCCAGAATAAGGCAAGTCTTCCTGGAACGTGCTCCAGGAGACTTTCTTCTGATCGAGCAGGTCAAACACGGTAGAGACGTTGCGGTCGGCACGATTAAAATTATCGTTTTGCATTCCGAGGTAGTCGCCCGACACGGAAGCAAAATAATTGGGCTCAGAAGGATGCGTGACGGCAAAGTTGTTGCTCAGCGTGATGCCCTTCTTGGCGAGCCACGCAAAGTTGGCTGTGGCCACATTAGTTTCGTAGTCAACAGAACGCTTCAAGGGAGAACGTACGGTCACCAATAGCCTTGTCATAATCGGTGTTTTCATTCCAGATAATGACGAAGCGGTCAAAGACCTTGCCCTTGACGTGGCTCGTCGGGCTGCTGGTCTTGGCAATGGCAGCAGCAGCCGCGACGTCAGCGGCACCGGTGGCAGTGTACCTGGTCTCCCAACCCCCGGCGGTACTGGAAGCATTTGCTTCAGTAACAGGAGTGATGGCGGCGGCATGGGCGCCGGCCGCCAAGAGGACTGCAGCAGCTGCACAACGCATGTTGGAGGTTGAGTGAAGTTGACTAGACCTTCAAACGAGCGGTTGGAAGAACGGCGTACCGAAGAGGGGGGGAAAGTTAAAACCGTCCGGATCGGAGGCTGCTTAATTATATTATGTCTTTTTTTTCATTTGATAGCGGCCACCTCCGAGTCGGCGGTGCTTCTGTAGCATCGGGGCGAACTTAGGAAGGAATGGGGAAGGTTACATCCCTGACAGCAGCGCCACTCTGCGCACGGAAGGGCTCGTCGATCCTGATCCGACAGATGGGATGGAAAAAACACCTGTCATTGGATTCCAATCCAGGATGGTCCTCGACTGTCCGAACCCCAATTGCAGACGCAGGTTGTCGAGTTGTGCGGTGTGATTGGACCGTTGCCAGCGCACGTGTAGGCGGACAGGCCTGCCGGCTTTACCGAGACAGCGGGCAACGCGCGGGCAGGCCGCAGAAACCAAACAGAATGCACCGCCGCCCCGTTTTTCCCGAAAAGCTTACCTGCCTCCAACGGCAATTCGGCTCGTGGGCGGCCCTTTGTTCGCCTTTTTCCAACCTCGATCGTGTCGCATTTACTTTTCTCCCCCACGCCGTTCTTGCAGCGTTCAGCCTACACGTATCCCGACGACACTATGCGATTTGCGCCATGGACGTTGAGCGAGGAAGAAGTGGTCACGAAAGGCTTTTGAGTCCGGCTCTGTCCATCTCCACCGACGCGTTATCGTCTTACAGCTCAGCGGCGGAGGATACCGGCGAGAAATCGCCATTTCTCTCTTCGCCAAATGATGACGAGAGGCCGCAGCGGTTGAGGAGTCAGCCAACTGGCTCGTGGCTGAGTAGAGTTTCGGCAAGCCTCTTTGGCGTCTTTGTCTTCTTTTTCATTTTCTACGCATCGGATCTGCTCTACTCAGCATTTACGTCTGCGTCTGCTCCGCACCATCTCGCAGCGCCAGTTTACGTGGTAAAAGAGCCAATTCCATCATCACCGCGGTTGAGGAACTCGTCCGAATATGTCTTGGACTCTGCTTGGGACTTCAACGCCGCCACAGGCACCAGAGAATACTACTGGACCATCAATGATGCAACCTTGAATCCAGATGGAATCTTTCGGCCGATGATGCTCATCAACAACCAGTTCCCTGGGCCGCTCATCCAGTGTAACGAAGGGGATACCATCGTCGTCCATGTACGCAACATGGCCGTCAATGCTACAGCCATTCATTTCCACGGCATGTATCAAAACGGCACAAACTCCATGGACGGCACCGTCGGCGTGACGCAGTGCCCCATCGCACACAATGCGACGTTTACATATCGGTTCACGGTCGACAATCAGTCGGGGACATATTGGTATCATGCACACCATAGCGTACAAGCTTCAGATGGGCTCGTCGGGCCTCTGGTCATTCATCCGAGGGATGACCATGGGACCAAGAATCAGTACGCGACCGATCGCGTTGTGCTGATACAGGATCACTACCACAACACGTCTGCCGAGTTGTTGATGGACTACCTCCAACCAGACCAGGAAAACGACGAGCCTGTGCCTTCCAGTGGCCTCATCAACGGGCGCAACTATCGCAACTGTGCCGACTTTGACGGATGGAATTGCCACAATGAGAACCCTCGTCTGCAATCGCTGAACACCTTGGACTTGGCTCCCAACGAGCGACATCGCCTGAGGTTCATCAACGTCGGCGCTTTCGCAGAGTTCCAAGTCGAAATCGACGAGCACCCGTTCTACATCACCGAGGTGGACGGGACCGGCGTCCACCCTGAACCATTTCACCGGCTCAACATCCTACCAGCACAGCGCTATAGTGTGGTGGTGGAGACCAACCTCACCACCGCTAACACCTTCTGGATGCGAGCCAGAATGATCACTCATTGTTTCGCACGAGAGAACCCCTGGCTCGACTCTGAAGTCAAGGCAGTTGTCCGCTACAGCACACCAGCCTCTAGCAACAAAGAGACGCACGAGACATCCCCAGGACACATTGAACCACAAAGCAAGAGCTGGAACGAGGCCGTGGACGTCGACTGCCGAGACATGAACACAAGCCTCCTCAGACCCCTCGACGCGATCCCAGCGCCAAACACCACAGCCACAATGTACCTCCGCGCCAACTTTGAAATCGGAGCCTGGCGCCTGTCGCGGGGCTTCTTCAACGCCTCGACGTGGCACGCCAACCTCACCTCGCCGGCTCTATACCGTTTCCTGGATGCCGCCGCCAAGAGCGATGACAACGGCACATTGATTCCGTCCACAACCGGCGTAAACGACATCGTCTTTAATCCTGAAAAGGAGTTTGTCTATCAGACGCACGGCATCCAGAGTGTCAACATCATCATCAGCAACTTTGACGACGGCGCGCACCCTTTCCACATCCACGGACACAAGTTCTTCGTGCTGAAGCAAGGGCCGTCGGGGTACCCGCCCAACGACATGGCCGAGCTGGAACGAGAGCTCGCCGCCTCGGGCGTCCTGGAGAACCCGCTTCGGAGGGACACCATGACGGTCCAAGGCTATGGGTGGGCGGTCATCCGGGTCGTGCTGGATAATCCGGGCGTGTGGGCGTTCCACTGCCACAATGCGTGGCACGCCGAGGCGGGCATGATGATGATGATTGCGGCGAGGGTCGAGACGGCAAAGGAATGGGCGCTGGCGAGCGAGGAGAAGGAGGGAGAAGAAGGTGAAGCACGAAAGCTCTGCGGGTTGCCCGGGGTCGAGAAAGGGGCTCGGCCTAGTGATGACCTTTGGTTTGGAAACTTTGGTTGAAGGGGAACTTTTTTCTTCTCGATACGAGATTTCCTGCAAAGAGAGGGTTCAATAGCAAGAGCAGAAATCCAACGGAAGAATGCGGCGCGGCGGACAAAGGCGTCGACGCTGTTCCCCGAGATGAATTACACCGCCTCGAATGGCCTCACCCACGGGAAAATTTGTTGAGTCCGTACGATCCATCTATACGGAGTATCCATTCTGTAACGATTCAGACATCGGCTGTTGTGGGATCCATCAATCAGATTGTACCAAGTCCGCCAGGTCTACCAACGGCTAGAGCACCCTTGCAACCCGTCATCATCAAGCCCCGTGGGCAACGATGCGGTGGTCCTCGGCACTATTCCTGGCCCAAGGCAATGGGGCTTGGATCCACCGAGGTCTTTTCTTTCCTTTCACCGGGTCCCCTCTTTCTCCGCGTATGTACGACTTCATCGCAAGAAGAAAGCTGCCCGCATCTACCGGTCGACTACCGAGACATTATTCCCAAAAAGGTCCAAAAAGGACAAAAAAACGGCTTCCATAGCCCCCGGCACTTCCGAAGCTCCTTCCCTTCACAGCTCTTGATGGCCTCATACGGAAATCCATGAATCATATGCCCCCCCCCCCCGCCGCCTAGTCGTCAGTCGTCACCGCTGCATTGCCAACCAGAAAGGGAGTTGCTTTTGCCCGGAATTTGCCCACCAACGATCTAGACCACCAGAGGGCCTCAGGAAGCTAGTCTGCATAGAGGCAACGTCACGACTTGTGCAGGGGAGGGGCTGATACAGAATATTGAGAGAGATTTGGGAAATAGGCAAAACGGGGCCCTGACTAACTCGATCAGATACCGGATTCCGTACTCCCTAGTGCCGCGGTGCACGTGTGCTGCTTCAGCCGTGTGGTCCCATTTGATTGCCGTAGTAATGCCCATATTTTTTTGTCGATTGATGTGGGTTCCGCCCTGGGCCGCGAGGTTCTGGGCCCCTTAATTCTCCTATTATTTCCCTTGTGCGACAAATTGGTTGTTATTGTTGGGACGTGGAAGCCCATTTTCTTTGCTAATCGATTGCAATCGCCACTTTTTCGGCCCGTTGAAGAATCCTCCTCCACAGTAAGAAGGAGAAAAAAAAAGGAGTGGTGCAGTATCCGTATCCGTACCGGGTCTGAAGGGAGAAAGAGAGAGCGAGAGAGAGAGAGAGAGAGAGAGATCCAGTTTTCTGATGTACAGAGCCCCGTTGAAACAAGAGACAAGTGATGTGTCGTCGCATTGCGTCGGAAATAAAGAGCATTTTGGACGCTCGTGCCCCAGTTGATCGTACAGCGTAGTTGGTCGAAGCTCTTCTTCACCCACTTGCATACATCTCAGTGCCGAGTTCCATATTATTTTTGGGGTAATGGATTCCAACTAGATAGGAACGCGCGCACCAATCCACCAATCTTTACGACGGGGGGGTTTGCCAATTGAAGCATCTAGATGGCGGATAAACTGCGGCGGTTGTATTTTTTCCAGCAGTCTCGAGATCGGTTGTCGCTTGCCGAACGTCGTTTCAAAAAGTCATGTCCCAATGTCATGTTGATAGATGATATGCAGTGCAGACTTGATCATGCCGTGTCGAGGAGCGGCAAAGCGGACGGAAAAACCAGACATGATGCGACGTTGAAATTGAAGATTCAGAGTTTTTGACTGGTGCAAATTCAAAGGACTTGTCAGCTGTCTCCCCCTCCCCCTTCCCCCCTTTTGGCTCGCTGCTAGCTGCCGTTCAGATGACATGTGTTTCATCGGCGCCGTCGACGCCAACATGGTGAACACGAAGACTGTCGCAAACTCTAATTCCCTTTCAGGAGCGTGGGAGGGGGCAAGGAGAAAATCTGCTACGCCTGCAGACTGTATTGCAAAAGAGGTGCGAACAGCCGAAGGCGTCGAACCATGTCGAAATTAGCTCCTCGACGGGGAAGAAGGGGGGGAAGGCCTTCTGGCAAACATTCTGCACATACTGCATGCATGACGGACCGAGCTAACTGCAGGCTAATTCACATCAAGGGCAGCAAGTCTGCATACTCTGCAGGAAAGAGTCGAGGATGGGGGGGAGAGAAAAGTCGGGAACCAAAGATATGCTCTAAACTTTCCCGCCAATCATGGAGACAATGGGCAGAAATTGTTCCAACAGGCACGGCAGACAAATTGCTTCGAAACGGGAGAAAACTGCTGCCCGAAAGTCAATTCGATTGCAACCCGTCCAACCGCGCCATGATGTGATCCCGCCCAACCCCACTCCCATAAGTCCCTTCAGCTATACGTGTTCGGGAAGGGGGGGGAGGGAGCGCACGTAACCGCTACATTTCCAACCGCAACCCGAGCTCATCCTGAGCGTAACGCAATATCGGTCGAACTCTGTTCAATTTAAAGCTCTTATTATCTGACCATTAACTTTCCACCAACCAGCCGCCCTGGCACAGGCCATCCCTGGTGAACAATCTACGCGTGCCATCCTCTTGGCCAATCCCCCTTTCGTGGCTCCCGCCCCTCCCACCCTTTCGGATTTTCTCCTTTTGAAATGTGATGCTGTGCCATAAACTGGGAAGTTCGATAGTTTTTCCACATGGGGAAGCATACATTGTAGTAGAGACCAGAGAGGGTACCCAGTGCGGATAGTGGCTGGGAAACAATGGCAACGGAACTCGGCAACTCGCGATTCCCAGGATTGATACGACCGCGGATCGCCTATTTTGTCGAGTGCCTAGATTCGATCGGTGCAAGGGCCGGACGACCCTGCTCTAACAAGCCTTAGCTTGGCGGCGCTTGGGGTTGCTCGTCTATGTCAATCGCGGAGATGGCGCCGTTGGGCAGGATCTAGTCCGATGCCAGAAATTCAGGAGTTGTCGGTGGGGTCTGCCTGCCTGCATGGAGCCAGGGTCCTCCCCGGTACTCGCGTTTACGTCTGGACCGGGACGTTGGTCGAAGCTCCATCTTCCATCTAACTGACTCGGCCAGTGTTTCCCTGTTTCCCGTGATGCGTCCAGCCACTGACGGGGCCGCAGGGTACGTAGGCAGCAAGCAAGGTAGGGAGAGAGGAGGATTCGAGGAGACAGGGAGTAAGAGATTGAGAGAGAAATTGAGGGTCAGAAAGAGAGAGTGGAAGAGAGGCAAACGTGAGCTGTTTGTTGACAGGCCTTGGCAAGGCTGTGCCAAGAGATCCCATCGATTAGGATATAAACCATCCTGCAGCTCCTCCCCAGAATGCCAAGAAGCTTCCAAGACATCACTCCTGCAGATCTCATCCAGTTTACTATTCTAGAGTCTTGGCTCATTCATTCTTTCGTCTTACTTTTTAACATCAACTTTCTGATACTGTGTATCAAGTCACTCACTACCACTACTACTACTACCACTACTACATTGCTACTACCAAAACAACTTTCTTCCATCAAAATGGTTTCTTCACTTCTCGCCCTCGGCGCCTTGGCCGCCACCGCTATCGCCGCTCCCCTCGATGCTCGCGCCGGCTGCACCTTCACCGATGCCGCCTCCGCCATCAAGGGCAAGGCCAGCTGCACCAACATCGTCCTCAGCAATATCGCCGTCCCCGCCGGTACCACCCTCGACCTGACCGGTCTCAAGGCCGGCACCACCGTAAGTGGCCAGCATTCCTTTCTCTCTCTCTCGCTACCAAGCTTGTCTCTCGCTTACACAAACACAAAAAACAGGTCACCTTCCAGGGCAAGACCACCTTTGGCTACAAGGAGTGGGTCGGACCTCTCATCTCCGTCTCCGGTACCAACGTCAACGTTGTCGGTGCCTCCGGCCACTCCATCGACTGCGGCGGTGCCCGCTGGTGGGACGGCAAGGGAGGCAACGGTGGCAAGACCAAGCCCAAGTTCTTCGCCGCCCACAGCCTCAAGAGCTCCAACATCAAGAACCTGAACGTCCTCAACACCCCCGTCCAGGCCTTCTCCATCAACAGCGCCACCACCCTCGGCCTCTACAACATTGTCCTTGACAACTCGGCCGGTGACTCCGCCGGCGGCCACAACACCGATGCCTTTGACGTCGGCTCCTCCACCGGTGTCTACATCTCCGGCGCCAACGTCAAGAACCAGGACGACTGCCTCGCCATCAACTCTGGCACCAACATCACCTTCACCGGCGGCTCCTGCTCCGGTGGCCACGGTCTCTCCATCGGCTCCGTCGGCGGCCGCTCCGACAACGTTGTCAAGGACGTCACCATCACCAACTCCAAGATCTCCAACTCTGACAACGGTGTCCGCATCAAGACCGTCTCCGGCGCCAAGGGCTCCGTCTCCGGCGTCACCTACTCCGGCATCACCCTCTCCAACATTGCCAAGTACGGCATCGTCGTCGAGCAGGACTACGAGAACGGCTCCCCCACCGGCAAGCCCACCAACGGCGTCCCCATCACCGACCTCACCATCTCCAAGGTCACCGGCTCCGTCTCCTCCTCCGCCACCGATGTCTACATCCTCTGCGCTGCCGGTGCTTGCAGCGGCTGGAAGTGGAGCGGTGTCAGCATCACCGGCGGCAAGAAGTCCACCAAGTGCTCCAACATCCCCAGCGGCAGCGGTGCTTCTTGCTAAGCGCCTTCGCAACTTTGTGAGCCTTGACCGCTTCTTTTTTTGCTGAGTCGGTGATATCCACCTTGTGGGAGGCCGGTGGGGGGTGCTAGTCACTCTTCTCTCTCTCTTCACTTGGTGGGAAACAATGATGTCGCCGAGAGTGTTGTGCTGGGACTTTTCTCTTGTAATGAGCTGAAGCTGTGTCTGCATCTTTTTCCAAGTCAGCCGAGCGCGAATTCGTTCCTGTATATAGTTTCCTTTTATCGTTCTCAAGATGTCTTGAGGCGAGCTACATATCGCTATCCAACTACATTCTGGATGAAATCCTCTGTTGTCGCCTTCTTCGTGCTCCCCATCTTCTCTGGTGAAATTAATTAATTGTAAAGCTGACGCCTCGTAATTGAACCATGCTTATGCTCCGCTTTCAGCCTTTTTGTGTGTGCGTGTGTGCCAAGAATGCAGAGAGATAAACTACTGCTCATTTCCACATTGGTTACAGGGGTCTTTACATGGAGTGCCCCTAGATCGCGGACCAGCCCTGACCCCTCCCCCCCCCCCTTTCCCCCACCCCTCAATTTCCACACGAACCACAAAAGGTCCTAAATTACGCGACATTTTTCATCAGACTGGAGGAAAAAATCAACCCGAGAACAATTAGGAAAAAAAAGAATGGCCCGCTACACATGAAACAAAAGAAACTCCTCGACGGGGAATTGAACCCCGGTCCCCTGCGAATCTTTGTATTATCAATGACAAGCAGATATCCTCACCACTAGACTATCGGGGATTGGTGGATGTTTTCATCCAGTGATAGTTGGTTGACGGACTGAGCCACAAGTGCATATATGAAGTCAGCCTATAGTGCACTCCTATAGGTAGACTGTACTTGTTCAAAGCTAGTTACGATTTCGTGGCTGTCTTTAAAGCAATGAGTATTTTCTGCATTGATTGTGTGCTGATGAAACTCAGTTTTTCAGGGCCTGCGAGACTGACTAGTAGTTTGTTCGCGGAACTGTTCTTTTCTTGCAGTATAGTCTCATCCCACACGACCTGCAAGTCTCACGGCACATTCTGACAATGGATTCCATACTATCCTCAATGGTGAAATGAGCTAAATCAGGAGCTGTTTGATTGTATCAAGCGGAATGTACTTTGCACTTCAGTCTTCAATATGTACATGAAATCAAATGAATGGTCGAGTTCAGTTTCCAAAACAAGCGGCCCGACAAGGAACTACTAGGTGCACTGCTCAACAGGTAAAGGCAGCCGGACCAGGAATCGTGTACGTTTGTGCTTGATGGAACGTTAGCAAAGAACAGCAAATCCGAATAGCACAGGCTCGACATACCCTTGTAGGCATCATAGGTGATGCCGGGATCGGTCGCCTTATACGCGCCGGGCAAGGCAACCAGCGACGTCGCAGTCTTGGTGCCGGCGCCAGTGACCTGCACTTGATGGCAACCGGGGTAGAACTGCGCGCCGGGATAGGAGTAGGCGGCGTGCAGGGCGATGATTTCGTGGCGGACGAGGTAGTAGCCCGGCTTCAGGCAGGACGGGATCGTGTACTGGGTGCCAGAGTTTGCGACCATGAGAGGGGTCTCGGGTGTATCATTAGCAACGATTTCCAGCCGACCTCAGAAAGGCATTTTCGAGGTCCAAACTTACATCGGCCCAGGTGTTTGTGGTTCCGGTGCGTCCACCTTCCTTGACCTTGAACCATACCGCACTGTAAAAGTTTTTTCCCCAGAGTGAGCCGTGTGTCTCTTTGGGTACCACCGCGCGGATTACATGTTACTTACGAAGTGCCGGGCTGCCATGCCTGGCAACCGGCGTCGGGGCATCGCGCCATGTACGTGATGACGGGGCCGACGTGGGAGTCGGGCCACAGGGTCCATCGCAGGGTAACTGTCGATCCGGCGGCAGCTGCGGCGTGCAGGGCTGCTGGCGTGGAGCCCGAGACGCCGCCGGCAGTGTATCCTCCGCACTGGACATCGATCAAGTCGACGCTCTCGATTGGGCCGTTGCCTTGGATCGGGCGAGAGATTCTATGAGGCTGATGGGTATTTGTGTAAGTCTTGAAGTTTCCTCGTTGATAGTAAAGCTAGGCTTACAATGGGGTTCGTGTACGGGTCTTGGTAAGGCTAGGTACACAGTAGTTGTTAGATTAGACAATCCGGTCTGGGAGGTAATTTGTACCTGGTAGAACTGTATAGGGTCTGTCAGTAAGTGAAATATTAACTGTACAGAAGGCTGGTTGAACGAACCTGGTAGTAGGTCCCTCCGATGGTGGCATTGTCAACGTATCCGTGACCAGCGACCAAAGCCGCAAGGCCGAGGAAGCAGGCAGCGATCTGCATGTTTCGACTATCTTCGGAAGTACGTTTGATGTACAAGAGCAAGAGGGATCGACGACTACGACAAAGAGATAGTCGCGTAATGACTGACCTTGCCTGCCTGGAGCTGAGCACTTCAAAGCCGGAAACTTGCTCTCACTCGGGAAACACCATGCTATATATCATCGCCTCCCACCTTTTAGAATTCAAGTGGTCCATCCTTTCTTTTCCAATCGTCCCACTCCTCTCAATCCAATACACCATACCAGCCAGCAAAGCCCTTGGCACGGCTACGTTGCCTCCCCTCCCACCTTCCTTAATCTCATCACGGGAACTGAGAGGACACCGCAAAAAGGAAACAACGGAACCACGCGAGCGAATGCCACGGCTCGACTTTATTAACTCTGGCCAGGGACATTGCCAATGAAAATGGGGAAAACCCGCATTCCACTTTGGAGGCGGGGATTCCACCAATTAATCAGCCGAGCCATCGTCGCAAGACAAAACGCCAATGCCCCTCCCCCGTGTTTTAATCAAAAGGGAACAACGAGAAGGAATAAGCAAGTTTGAGTCTTGCTTTTGGACAGAGCTCGACAGAACCGTCGCGCGGGATCCGTGATGCCACGTGCCGCGAATTTAGATTGTGGGGGGATAGCTGCGGTGTCACCATGCCGGTTCACGATGCTTGTAAATCTGCAAGCAATGCCGAGGAAATGTTTTCGCTCAGTGGGGAGTCAAAATGTGACATGAAGAAAAAGGCGTGTAAATGCCAAACGAGTTCGTTTAAAGTTTGACAAAATTGTTAGGGACTTGACCAATCTCAAGAGCCGTCATTGAGTGCCACAACATAATCGGGATGGGTAGACTACAAATAAACAAAGTGCCATCTGTAGAGGAGACTATCCGGGAATACAAAAGCAATCCCGCAGGATTTGCCTCCGTGGAACCCTTCGGCCATCCCACCTCCTGCTGGCATCCACTTATTTCTCCCGGAACAGGAATGTGACATCTTGCTCAGGATGCAGTAAGCTGAGCAACTACATGACACTCATTGGCTTTGCTGTAGAATCAGCTCGTCTATGGATGGTTTTCAAATTTACTTCCTTCCTTCTCGTTCCTCTCAAAATCAAAGCAGACGCATCCTCAGAAGGACGCGGGCCAGTGCACCGCGAAAGTCTTTCGTACTTGGCCTAGTGCTTCTACTTCATCGTCGATGCTCAACTCTCGAGTTCCTTGAGCAACTTCGCTATCGATGTTGGCTTTCGAGACTTTGGATATGTTTCTCTGAAGGCACGTACACGCATAAAACTGCCGATCTCCCCGAGGTGAAAATGTAGTTCTTTGGATAGACACAGCAGATCTTAACGTGGTAATGCTTGAATACTATCCGTGAATTGAAGACTCATTAAGTAAGCCCGTGTTGGTGAGACTTTGCGCTTCAAGCCACCTTGTAGAGTCTGTAAGACTTATTACAACGCTGTCGCATTAAATATTAGAAGCTGCTACTTTGTCTCCTCCAGGCGTTTGATAAGTTTTCAGTCGCTGATAGAAGTATTGGCTCAGCCATGATTTCTACTGGATCAACGTATCGCAAGCCGACGTGTACCTATCTCAATGTGGAATCGTTACCACAAGAAAACCTTGAGGTTTTATGTTATAACATGGCCCTCGATAACGCCGTTCTACGCCGCTTCTCAGTTAGCGTCAAGTTCTTCAAGTCATCATTATGGTCCGAAGTACCCCAACACCCTGTAGGCCAACACGTAGCGCCTATGCTTGACCGCGGATTATCGAACTTTGACGCGAAAATTCTAGAAATAACCATTTCCATAGGTAAAATGTTGCATCTCGAGGTCCTGAACGAGACTGCACCCTGATTCCCGGTGTCCTTAACCAATGCACGCCTCTTCATGTTGCACCTTCTATCGATCTTTAAGGACGATAGTCTCTTCAGGCCCTGCTACCGCCGCTCCCTGCACCTGGATTGTGATGCATCAGCTTGCCAACAAGCAGCGAATGCGACGGACCACCATGCACCTTCGACTTCTCCCCAACAGCTTTGGCAGGCTGCCGAACGAGGATGCCAGACCTGCGCGACGGTCATCGACGCGGTTTTCGTGCCACGAGTCCACGCCGCCTGGTGGGAATAAATTGCACCGGCGCTGGTGGTGGATGAGTGGGGTGGCCTGATTGAAGTTTATTCTTAAGCTTATTTGTCGACCAGGGTGACGAGGTCAGGCTTTTCAGAACGACAAGGAAGCGAGCGCGGTACGCAACACTTGGTCGTAGATGGAGTGCCCATGAGAGCTTCCTACTGAAAAAGTCCAAAGAAATTGATCTTCTCAGAGGCATTGGATGGGCTACAGTTCCAAAAACTTTCCAGCATGCAATGTGGCTGACTTGGGAACTTGGCATCAAGCACGTCTGGATCGACAACCTGTGCATCGTGCAGGACGACCCAGAAGACTGGCACCGGGAATTGGTGAAGATGAAGGCCGTCTATGGGCTGTCCTACATCCACATTGCAGCTCGTTAGAGAAACGGCTCCAGCCGCGGTTCATTCACTTCGAGCGATTTACCTCGCGCATATCCCGCGCATCCCGTACCATGACTCATGAGATTCTGGCGCTTTCATACGACAACAGCCTCACTGGGCGTACAACGACTTTGGTAGCAACTACAGATCTCAATTCAACTTGCCTCCCCTGCAACGCGATTGATTCCTCCAGGAACGTATTCTATCACCACGAGTCTTCTATTTTGACGATGTCGAAGTGAAGTGGACATGCATCACCGCCGCCGATTGTCAATGTCGCGGTTTTGTGTCGATCAGGCTCATCTTGTTTGCTAGGAGATTTATGACGCCCACCGCAAGCCGTATCGATACATCGCGCCCAGCGGATCGTGCCTTTCAGTATTCGGCTCGGTTGGCTGCTTCGACAGGACAGACTAGACAGTTGTCCAAGGTTGACGTCGACATCGCAAAGTGAAGTGCGCAACTGTCGATGGGACGGATGAAGCGGGACCTCTTGTCGGAGGCTATCTGAAGCTCAACGAGCGATGTACAAGCATGTGTGCTCAGCTATTTGACGTCAGATATGATGACGGTCCACCTAAACAAGACGCGATAGTCTATTGGGGAGACATGTGGCCGGGTAGAAACAACTTCCTAGCCAGGAGTGGAGGTTTGAGAGGCTGGGTATCTTCTGGTACAACAAGGATAGCGAACCTGAGGTGCTTAACAAGATAATGGGGTGATGTTCGCCCCAGAAGGACATCGTCATCATTGGAGGACGTCTTGCCTCAATCTGAAGCTGTTGTTTGGGTTAGGTTTGCATCTCTGGGTTCCAAGGACTGCAGACTGGCATTTGCTGCTTTGAATACCTGCCGTGCTTCTCATCTCAATGTCAGCGCAACACAACCGCAACAATGTGATTGAAATGCAGTGACCCGTAAGTTGATAATCGCGTTATTTGTCCCTGTTGTTGGCAAATAATCAACTCCCCCACGCTCTGATACTCTGCCAATCATCACAACAGACCGAGCCGGCTTACCGATCAAAAAGCTCGTTTAATGTCTTGGCGACATACTGAATCGGATCCCAGGACAGCAGGTGCAGCACGGTAAAGCCGACCCTCAATCCAAGACATCAGCTCTCAAAAGTCCCCGGAATTCCATACCCCGCAGACACGGCCGGCCACGCGGACAAGCGTTGTTGTCTTGTGGTCTGCCATGGCCCATGCCGGGCGGAAAACAACGAGGAGAACAGAAATCACTGAATCATCGAGGAAAAGCAAGGCCAGAGAACCGTGTTCCTGAGCCACCCCTGGCACGACAGACGAGCAGGACGGGCAGGTCCTTTATCCAACTCACGCGGTGCTGAGCAACAGTTGGTTCCTACCCGCCACTCTGCGATATGAAAAAGTCTTGGCACCTGCCCTTTGGGGTTACATCGTGGCGTGCGAATATTTAAGCCAAGAAGTTGTGACCCGCGTCTTGGCGACGGACGCAAACTCTCAGTCTCGCCTTTCCACTTCCCAAGAGCAATTGAACAAACTACTTGCGGTAACCCTCCCCCGTTGTTGCATGGTCATGGCTGGCAGAACCATCAGCTAGGCGAGTCCGTCCCTGTTGATAGAACTAGCCAGGCTCGAGTGCTGCTTATCAGTCGCGTGAATTGGGCACGCCGATTCGCAATATCTTGATGTTCCCTGCCCCGCAACCCATGTTATCGGCAAGGTCCAAATGCATGCCAAGCTCGACCAGAAGCTTGAGCTCTGGGCGAGACTTCGCAATATCGCCGCGCAGAGTGCCATTCAACGTGGGAACTGATGGCCAAAAAAAAGGAAGGCAACATGCGGTGCCTGCATGGTGCGGTCATTATAAAGAAGCGGGCGACGTCCCTGAGCGCGTCCCCGAGATTCTGAGAGCTCAACCCGCCCTGTTCTTCTCGCGGTCCCCTTGCTGGTCTTATTGAGCGCATTACCAGATCATCTGTCACGATGAAGACTACCTACCTCTCCGCTGCCGCTCTGGCGCTGGCTGCGACTACTTTGGCCACAGACCCTCTTACTGCCGACAAGGTCGAGGCTGACATCAAGACCGTTGAGTGAGTCAATCTCATGTGCTACTGCGATCTTTCCGTGACGCACAGCTCGGCTAACCCACAACGTACCCTCCTACAGACTTGAGCGCATTCTCTGGAACCTGAACAAGATTGGTCGCGACAATGGCGGCACCCGCGCCTTTGGCACGCCCGGCTACAAGGCCTCGGTTGATTTCGTCCTGGAGCGTGCCCAGACTCGCTTCGCCAAGGAGGTGGACACCTACCTCCAGCCCTTCAACCACACCTTTGAGCAGACCAACGCCATCTCCGTGACGGGTCCTGATGGCGACGTCATCGTCATCAGCGCCGAGTACAACACCGCCACTCCCCTGCCGGGCGGTATCACGGCCCCTCTCATCGACACCCCCGTCGACGACGAGAATGGTTCCGGATGTCTCCCGGAGGCCTTTGCGGGTATCGATGCCACCGGCAAGCTTGCTTTGATCAAGCGTGGCGTCTGCGCCGTCTCTGACAAGATCAAGAATGCCAAGGCTGTTGGTGCTCTCGGTGTGATCCTGTACAACCAGGTCCCCGGTAACGACATCATCAAGCCCACGCTCAGTGCCGAGAACATTGGTCTTCTCGTTCCCCTGGGAATCATCACTCTCGAGACCGGTGAGGCGTGGAGCACAGCCCTTGCCGCTGGCGAGGAAGTCATCGTCACGCTCATCGTGGACGCAATCTTTGAGGAGCGTGAGACTTGGAACGTCATCGCCGAGACCAAGGAGGGTGATCCGAACAAGGTCATCATGCTCGGCGCCCATCTCGACAGTGTTCTCGAGGGCCCCGGTATCAACGACGACGGTTCCGGAACCGCGGCCCTCCTCCAGCTCCTGGGCTCCGTCAAGAAGTACAGCGGATTCCCCCACAAGATCCGCTTCGCCTGGTGGGCCGCCGAGGAGGCCGGTCTGGTGGGATCCTACTACTACACCGAGCACCTCAGCCCCGAGGACGCCGACAAGATCAAGTACTACTTCAACTACGACATGATCGGATCGCCCAACCCCATCTACGAGCTCGCCTCCTACAACAACAGCGGCATCGGCCCCCAGCTCCTCGCCGACTACCTCGAGGCCAACGGCAAGGAGACAATCTCTGCCGAGTTCGACGGCCGCTCCGACTACGCCGGCTTCGTCGAGCTCGGCATCCCGACCGCGTCCATCTTCACTGGCGAGGGCGAGAACGATCCTTGCTACCACCAGGCTTGCGACACGATTGACAATATCAACTGGGATGCCATCACCCTCAACACCAAGGCTGCTGGTCGCGCTCTCGCTACCCTTGCCAACTCGCTCGAGGGTGTCCCCCCTCGCGCTGACACTACGCCTATTCTCCGCGGCCGCGCTGGTGTTCTCCAGCAGATGCGTCGCTGGAAGGCCCTTGCTGAGCACACCAGCCACGGCAAGACGTGCTCTCACAAGGATGAGAAGAAGATTTACTAGATGGTGTGGGATTGTCAGTGGATGCGTCAACACTCAGGTCGAAGGGCGTTACGGTCGAGGGCGTTGTAAATGTACCTAGCCGAGACCTGTTTGAAATGTAGCTTATGAGTAACGAAAATGCCATCTTCCGATTCAAATTCTAAACCTTGTGGGAATAATAAAGACTGTGAATGAATGGACGCTCAGTGACCGAGGAGGTATACATTCCGGGAAAGAATAATCGGATGCCGGTGAAGTGGGGCCGATTGCGGTGCATCGGAGTGGGGATCGGCGTCGCCCACCACGGATTAGCGCCTCGGCAGCGAGAAATTACACCTGGATCCACGACCCACGCCGCAAATTTCTGCTGATTGGTGCTGGCTGTGCCCCAACGGAAAGGGGTCTCCCCACTACGCGTCTCTTGTTTGCTCTCCTCACCACCGCGTCACGTCAAGTGTAGGCCGGCGTTTCGTTCTCTATATTTTGAACCCAGCCAGAAACTGATAACGTTCACCCCGCTGAGTCAGTGACGAGCTGAGACAGCCATGGCGCCGAAGAAACACAGCTATGAATTTGGAGGCCCGTAAGTCCAACGGCTACGCGCGTCCATGACCTTGACCACTGACTGAATGCTCTTCTTCGCTCAGTCCTGGCGCCTTTGCCATTGTCTTTGGGCTTCCCGCCCTCTTGTGGACATTCTTCTTCGTCTGCAATGATAAGACCGGGTGCCCTGCCCCGTCCACCTTGAGCCCTCGCACCTTGAGCTTGGAGAAGCTCAAGGTCGAGACTCCGTGGCCCGCCGATGGTATCTGGGGCTTCTGTAGCTGGGAAGCTCTCGGCTGGACCATGGCTTACTACTTTGTCAGCTTGGTTCTTTACCGCGTCCTCCCCGCCCAGGAGCTCCTCGGCACCAAGCTGATTCAGTCCGGCCGTCCATTGAAATACCGCTTCAACTGTAAGTCCCGCTTGAGCTCCCACCGGTGGGAGACCTCATGTCGTCTAACCCAAGCACAGCGTTCAGCGCCACGGTCGTCCAGCTCGCCGCCCTGGCGGTCGGAACCTACCTCCAAGGCGCCGACTTCGTCGTCTGGACCTACATCTCTGACAACTACCTTCAACTCCTCACCGCCAACATTATCCTCGCCTACATCATCACCATCTACGTCTACGTTGCCAGCTTCAGCGTGAAGCCCGGCAACCCAGACCTCCGCGAGCTAGCGGTGGGCGGCAACACCGGCAGCCTCATCTATGACATTTACATTGGCCGCGAGCTGAACCCCCGCCTCACGCTCCCCATCTTTGGCGAGATCGACCTCAAAGCCTGGCTCGAGATGCGGCCCGGCCTGACGGGCTGGGTCATCCTCAACCTGGCCTTTTGCGCAAAGCAGTACCGCGCGTACGGCTACCTCTCCGACAGCATCGTCTTCACGACCGCCGTGCAGGGGTACTACGTCCTCGAAGGCCAGTTCATGGAGGCCGGCCTCCTGACCATGATGGACATCACCACCGACGGCCTGGGCTTCATGCTGACCTTTGGCGACATCGTCTGGGTGCCCTTTCTCTACTCCACCCAGACCCGCTACCTCTCCGTCCACCCCGTCCACCTGGGCTGGGCCGGCGTCGCCAGTGTCTTTGCCGTCTTCGCGACGGGTCTGTACATTTTCCGCTCCGCCAATAACCAGAAAAAGGTCTTCCGCACGCAGCCGGACCACCCGAGCGTCAAGGATATGCCGTTCATCCAGACGAAGCGCGGCACCAGACTGCTCACCGGCGGCTGGTGGGGCAGGTCTCGGCACATCAACTACTTTGGCGACTGGCTCCAGGCCTCCCCGTTCAGCTTGCCGACGGCCGTGGCCGGCTACGAGATGCTCGCCGCCGGCAGCGCCGTCTCCGGTGCTGTGACGATGCTTGATGGGCGTGAGGTTGTTCAGGGCGCGGCGCGCGGCTGGGGCATGATCTTTACGTACTTTTACGTGCTGTACTTTGCCATTCTGCTTATTCATCGTGAAGGGCGGGACGACGTCGCGTGCTCGGACAAGTATGGCGAGGATTGGGAGGAGTACAAGAAGATTGTTAGATGGAGGATTTTGCCGGGGGTCTACTAGAATCTAGATCAGCGAGGCGATCGGCCTGGATGTCGTGGCGCCAGTCAAGGCAGTTGATAGCTCCAATATCGCATTTGGATTGTGATTCAGGCAGACCTAAATACCACCGTATTCGCACAGCAAAGCCTCGATTTGACCTGAGATCTTCTTGAAATTTTGCCGGCGGTAGTCGAGAACTTCCTCCAAGACGTCCATCTTCCTGTAAACGTTTTCCAAAAAAGCCAGCTGAAACCCATATCTACATATTTGGAGCGGGGACATACCACTCAGATGATCACACTTACGCAATATGCCATGCTTTGGCCGATCTACCACACCTGGATTCCCTCTAGCATTCGGCTTCGCTCCACCCTCCAGTAAAATACGTACACCTTCCAGATCCAAACCAGCCACGGCAATTTGCAGCGGCGTAGCTACGAATTCCGATGAATCTAGTTTCGCACCCAGACGTAGCATTTCCTGGAGTGTGCACCAGCCATCACAGCTAACGTACCGGGCTTCATGTTTATGCCACATGATGTATGAGACGAGAATATTGCTGTAGTCGAGAATTCTGGGCCAAGTCTTCAAAAGGTGTCTCAACGCAGAAGGTCTGTCGCCGCTCATGATAACAATCAAGTCGCAGAGAGAAGTGCGAAAGTGAGAAAACGCTTCGTCATTCAAGAAGTCGTATTTCACGTCAATCATTGTCCGGAACAGGTTCCGTGGATCATGTAATCTATGCAGAATGAAGTCGACCAAATAGAAAGCACCCATGTGCAAGAAGTAACCCAAAATACGAGACTCAGGTGGCGATGATGCAGCGAATCTTACAAGCTCAAATGTGTCGCCGAGGTTGTAATGATCTATAAAATCCCAGAAGACGATCATATCGTACAACCGCAGAATCGCATCCACAGGATGAGTTCTTGAAGGATGCGGAGTTGTAAGCATGGTAGCAAGTTCCTCATTTTCTGGGCAGGACCGTTCATAGTCGAGTATCAACCTGATGGCCGAAACAGCGCAATACGCTCGGAAGTCCATTTGCCAGTCCCATGGGTCGCTCAAACAATCTTCATCGCTCTCGAGCATGCCAATCGTATTAAGTGGAGACCGGAATACTTCCAAAAGAATGATGCTTGCTCGCCCGCCTAAACATGCGTATTTATCAAGACGAAAGCAAGAGGTCGGCCTGAAGCGAGTTGATACCGCCAAATATTCCATGACAGTGTAATGAGGAAATGAGACTTCGTAATACCCATACGGGAAACGGTGGTCGGTCTCGGTGACTTTGATGAGACAGCCGCATAATTCTAGAAGCAGCTCGGCATCGTAGCGGTAATCTCGGGTGCATGAATTTTGTCGATTGAGGTCTCCTTCGATGGCTTGAAGGAGCACGTTGCAACTGAATTTTTCACGTCCAAAGACTTTGTAGTTGAAGCAGATCCAATCAAGGGCTGAATCCACAACTTGTAGATCTTCTTCAGGTATCATTTCGAAAATTCTGTCGTATGCTTCGTTGAGTGTTTTTGGAAGGTGCTTCAATTCGTTCATGATGGCACTTTGAGAACCTTTGATTCTTCGTAAAGCGTCGAGTTGACATACAACCCAGCGAAACCTGCGTTGCGCTCTTGTCAGTTTTCCGAAAGTACTATGTATGATCTGAATTTCGACTGTGGTACTTACATTCCTTTTGCGCCAACAGACAACGCTTCTAAAGCCTCTTTGCGCAAACCTTCTGACCAGTCTTTCAGCTTATCATTGGTAGCCAGTCGAGATTCAGTATATAGCCGTATGTCAGCATCGAGATAGTCGTTTCGCATGTTCACTTCCGTCGAGATTTCGCTCATGACTTTTTCGATATCCAGGTATTCACGACTAGTTACAAGGAGGCGAATCTTTGAGAATCTGTGGTCGGTAGCTAGATCTCGCAGGACCTTGAGAAGCTCTTCCCGGGGGCTGCTCTCGTCTACGGCGTCAATGGTGATAGAAATACTGCTGAAGTAGTGCGAGGCAGCTTCGAGAGCAGTAAGCAGGTCGCTAGTGCTGGGGTCTCGACCGTTCTTGAATAATTTCCAAAGATAATCCGGGACCTGTTCAACCTCCCTACACATACGATCGAGGATCCATCGTAGAAATGGGGCTGATTCGTCCTGACTGCGTCCGAAGTAGCAGTAGTAATGGATCCCAATTGATATGGAAGCAGTTGAACTAGACTGTCGGCAATTCTCCTCAACTTTCTCGGCGAGCTGAGAAGCCAAGATAGTTTTGCCGGCTCCGGGAATCCCATGAATCCAGAGGCATCGTATATCCCCCTGGTTGAACTGGTCCCATTCTGGGGTGCGGGACATCCATTCGCACGTTCCAGGCTCGTGATTTCGGCAAGCTTGGTCGTGGATTGATGAAGGGTCGGTATGCTTGAGCCACTTGTAAACCTCGCTTCGTTGATTTTCTATTAGAAGTAGAGTCAGTACAGTGGCTATCGGGTAAGAAGTCGAGTGGAACATACCTGTCAGAACTCGTTGAATGTGTGAAGTCCCCTCGCGTATGACCTTGATGTCATGACTAAAACAAAGGAGTCTCAGTTAAGATTCTCGCAGCAAGAACTTCCCCAGTAAAGTTGTCCTCTACAACACGGGATTTCCACCTACCTGGACGTAGCAGTGAGTGCGAGACTAATAGTATTCTTGCATCGCGCAACATCTTGAAGCATCTTCTTGGCCTTGGTCTCCTTCAACGGCCATGCCAAGTTTCTCAAGGTAACTTGCACTCTTCTTCTTTTCGAATCATGGGGCCCTTGAGCCTGGTTTTGGTCGGAGGCGAGCAATGCCTCCAGCTGTTCGATGGCGACCCGACATTCACCGACAGGCCCTTCATCGCCGTCCAAGGCTTTACGGAGAGCCGAGTCTGGCTCTTCGAATTTGAGGAGAAAGTCGACATTCTGCAAGACGGCTCCTACTGATGAGGTCTCGACGAGGATCGTGCGGAGATCGGAGGGTGCGTCCCGGACGCTCTCAATGTAGTTCTTGCAAATTGATATCACCCGATCTGCAATCTGGATAGTTGCGAAAACGCTCGCTGCGAGACCAAAGGCTTCCGCCATCTCTTAGCCTCTGTCGCAGCAACTGAAGCTATTGAGAACAGCGACGGTACACAACGTCGACAGCAGGAGACGGACGAGATTGCGATCAGGCTACGGGGTGGGGATGTCTTTTCTTATGGTTTCCAAGGCCGCTGAAAGCAATGCAGCAGATTGCCTTGGGAGTGTGCCCGACGCAGGCTGCGCCGCAATCATACAACTCTTGCCCAATCATCTCGCCTCGGCTGATTGTAAGCCTCAACATTGATCCATGGCCTGCATATGAACGGGCTGATTTCGTGTACAACGAGAGAGAGGTGTCATCAAGTGGCTTGAAGGCTGAACAATTGATTGGCGGGCGAGTTGGTTAGGCACATACCTACTCGGTACAGTGCCCGCATCTTCACGAGGGCTTTCTCTGAGATTCCCAAGTCTTTACCAATGTCGGCAAATAAACCTGCCGCCCTCGCCACTGTCGGTGTGGAACAAGTGATGTGGCCTCGCTACGGGCGTCTATTTCTATCAGGTATCGAAACATTGCAAGTCACGCTAATCGCTCACAAATTGCTAGAAATTCTAGTCATGAAGTTGATCATCAATTCGTCCTCCTCCGGCACCAAGCCAAACTTGTCCGCGCTCCTCTCGTTCTGGAACCCCTCTTCGGGACTCGCCCAGCTGTAACCCTTCCACACGCCCAACGCGGGCCACATCTTTTGCTCCACGAGAGCCTTGAGCTTCTCGTACCGTGCCGTCGCAGCCTCGGCCTCGCCGCCCGCAGCAAGACCCCGGAGCACAAGCCTCCACGCCTCGACAGTCTGCTCGAGCTCGGCGGTGCTGGTGACGCCCATGACGCTGCCGCCGACGCGCAGGTCGCCACGGTGGCCCGGCAGCCGCACGCCGAGACCGGCAGCGGCGCCGACGCGGGCGTACTCCTCCATCGACCAGTGAAGCGCGACGGTCTCCAGCCGCTCCCCGGCCTCGCTCGCGATGGCCGAGAGCGTCTTGCACGCCGAGCGCAGGTCGTCCGGCGCAGGGTGCCACGAGGCAATGACGCCGGCTTTGCCCTCCGCCGTCTCCGTGCGCGCGGGGACGCCCGTGGATGTGAGCAGACCCATGCCCAGCATGCTGGCGTTCAGCACGACCTGCACGCCGGCGTTGCGGAACCGCCGCAGCGGGCTCTGCTCGTCGGCGTGGTCGGGCCCGGACACGACCTCGGCGAGGCCGAGCGTGGGGTTCTGGATGGTGAAGTGCCCGTAGCTCAGGACGGCATCGAGGGCCTCGCCCGTCTCGGCGAGGATCCTCTCGGCGAGGTCGCAGAGGACGTGGACGGGGAACCCGCTGATGCCGACGTGGCGGATCTTGCCTTCGTCGCGCAGCTGCCGTAGCGTCTGCACGGCGGCGAGGACCTCTGCGGGGGAGACGAACTCGACGTCGTGCATGTAGACGAGGTCGAGGTAGGTCGTGTTGAGGCGGCTGAGGGAGCGGAGGACAGAGTAGCGCACGTACGCCGGCGAGTAGTCAAACTCGTTGCCGGCGATGCGGCCGGCTTTTGTGACCAGCACGTAGGACTCTCTGGGGAGGTTGGTGGCCGCGGTGTGGGCGGCCAGCGCGTCGCCGAGGAGGACCTCGGAGGGGCCGTAGTACGGCGATGTGTCGAAGCCGTTGACGCCGAGCTCGAGTGCCCTTGAGACGATTTGCCGGTACGGCATCTGCAGCGGGTCCTTTACATGCTGGGTGTTAAATGTTGCTGTGCCCAGGAAGAGAGGTGGCAGAACGGAGGAGACGGAAGGGCGGGAGGCCCGGTGGAGGCTTGTTGTGGTAGCCATCCTGGAGGAAAAATGATTCGAGGATGAGATGAGAGCTAGTGAGAATGGTTCGATATGTTGGGTACCTTAATAGAAGTTGAGAAGAGGGGGCCAGGCAAGAAGAGAGGGACTTGTCAGGAAACTGTCTAGCCTTAAGTCGGGAGAGTGACAAGAGAGGGCTAAGCCGTGAAGTGTTTGCTACTTGATATAAGAGGGGCCACCATAGGATCGGTCCAAAAATCTGGTCTAAAAAAGTTCGCATGGGGGGCGTCCGCCGCTTGCCTGGCCCCTGGACTAGGAGCAGTTCGTTACTAGCCATAACCTAACTGATATGTGGGCATGAGAGACGCCCTACGGTACGCCTCTAGCGTACCTTACCCAGAACCCGCGACCTCGGGTTCTCCAGGGCTAAGCCGCGTACGCTTGAAGTGCAGTCGACTCAGTGCCGATACAAAGAGGAATTATCAACTCGTCAATACTTACTAAGCTGTGTTGCGTAGCGGAGTTTATGCGCGGTTGGTCCATCAGGCCAAGTCCTTCTGGCACGGCCATTTTGCCAAGTGAATTTGGACCGAATGCACGTGTCACCTCGTCTCAACTTGCTACAGCTTGATAGACAGCGGCGAAGGGAGGGAAGAGAGATCAAGGATGATGGGGGACGCCCAACTGCATGGTACCTCTACCACTTTACCCTTGCTAATCAGCAATTTTTCTCTCAGTGGGCCTCGCCAGCCGGCATAAGTGTGGCGGGACCCCCCAGCATCCATGTTCATCTGAGACTTACCGTTTCAAGCCACCCACCCTCCTTGACTCGTCACCTACAAACAGATCCCCGATCCCTGGCGCAATCGAACCAGAATGTCAGAAACCCAGAGGGTGTTATGTCCCCGTAGCGGACGCTAAACTGATTTCGTCATATATCTCGTCATTAGCCTCAAAATTTCCAGACCACCCGGCTTCCATTGTGCGTTGCTCACCCGCCTTCGGATTTCTCCCTCAGAATCGCCCATAGAGGAAGCGGTCCTTACCAAACCCCTCAACTTTGGATCATCATCATCAGAGTTCAGAGTTCTTTAGCCAGACTTTGCTCCTTCCAGTTCGGTGTAATAAAGTCGATAGTCGTCGTCGAGGAGCAATACGCGCAATGGCCGCCGTGGCGTCTCTGGATCCTCACATCCGCGGCATCATCGACGATGCCGCCGCCGATGGCATCCCGTTCCGGGCCAAGTCGGCTCACTTCCACACCACCTGGGCGCGCACCTTTTCGTCGCTGCCGGAGCTCTTCATCCAGCCTCAGTCGCAGCAGGAGGTCGAAAAGGCAGTCAAGCTCGCGCGCCGGTGCAGGCGGCGCATCACCACCGTCGGCCACGCGCACTCGCCTTCGGATCTGACGTGCACGAGTAACTGGCTGGTCAATCTCGACGGATTCAAGAAAGTGTTATCTGTCGATAGTAAGCACAGACCCCTCACGTCACATCGCACTATCACGCACTCACTCCTTCACTCCCTCACACTCCCGCGTAATCTCATGGAAACTATGCTAACAACCGCCCGGCAGAGGAGACTGGTCTCGTTGTCATGCAAGCCGGCATCCGGCTGTGGCAACTCACCGAGGAGCTGAACAAGCACGGCCTCTCCTTCCCCGTGCTGGGCAGCGTCAACGAGCAGAGCATCGCCGGCGTCATCAGCACGGGAACCCGCGGCAGCACCCTAAAATACGGTCTGCTGTCCGAGGCCATCGCCTCGCTCAAGATCGTCCTCGCCAACGGCGAGACGGTCTCGTGCTCGCCGGACGAGAACCCGGACCTCTTCCGCGGTGCCACGCTCTCGCTCGGCGCCCTCGGCATCATCACTGAGATTAGCTTCCGCGCCGTGCCGGCCTTTAGCCTGCATTGGCAGCAGACGATCCAGGCCGACTACAAGATGCTCGACGCCTGGGAGCAGGACAATAAGCTGTGGACCCAGTCCGACTTTGTCCGGGTGTGGTGGCTGCCTTATACCAGGAGGGCCGTGGTCTGGAAGGCCGACATCGTCACAAAGGAAGATCTCGAGTCCGGAAAGGAGAAGAACCGGGATCCGCCAGTCGGCTACTACGATGGCGCCCTCGGCTATCACATATATCACAACCTTCTTTACCTTTCGCGTTATATCCCTCGCATCCTGCCCTGGGTTGAATGGTAGGCTCAAGTCCCCTTCCCCCCCCCTGTACACGGACACTTCACACAACGAGAAACGACGACTAACTGACATCTCCAGGTTCGTGTTTGGCATGCAATACGGCTTCAGCGACGGCTACACCTCGTCCGCCGTCCAGCCCATGGACAAAGCCCTGTGGATGAACTGCCTCTACAGCCAGTTCGTAAACGAGTGGGCCATCCCCCTCCACCGCGGGCCCGAGGCCCTGATGCGTCTCGGATCCTGGCTCAACAAGCTCAAGCCGGGCGACGTCGACTACGTGGACCACGGCATCCCCTACTCCGCCGAGGGCCTCTACGTGCACTCGCCCGTCGAGGTCCGCGTCTGCGACGCCACCGTCCACACGAGCGCCGAGCAGCGCAACCGGCCCTTCCTCGACAGCACCGTCAAGGACGGTCCCACGCTCAACCTCAACGCGACAATGTACCGCCCCTACGACCTCGACCCGCCCGGTCTGCAGCGCTGGATGCAAGGCTTCGAGTGGCTGATGCGCGACCTCGGCGGCAAGCCGCACTGGGCAAAGAACTTCAACGTCAAGAACGAGGAGTTTGCCGCGTGGTACGGCGACGACATGGTCCAGTGGCGCCGGGTCCGCGACGAGGTGGACCCCGACGGGCTATTTGTCGGGTCGTGGCACCGGCAGTTCGTGCTGGACCCCAACAGCCCGCCTCTCGAGTTTGAGGAGTTTGAGGAGACGAGGCATGATGCTGGTCGGGGCGTTACCGTCTACGGCACTCGCCGTCAGATTGAAGATGCCGATGCTGATGTCAAGGCATGAGCTACCATTTCCCTAGTTGGGTAGTGTCTGGCTGTGTAGATTCGGGGCATGGTGATGAGCGCGGGGTGTGAAAATCAGCATATGGATTGTTCAAACAATCCATCATAGCACTTTTTTACTTTATTCAAACATGATGAGATGGATTTCAAGCGAAAGAATTTCCACTTCTCCCTGACAGGAAGCATTTCACATAAAACTACAATTGCAAACACTTCTGACTCACAATTTTGAGATACGACAAAACATGCTTATCATTACCTCTTCAACTGCTGCCTCGCTCCTCAGCCAACCATCATTTAAACGAGGGTGGGTGGTATCCCTTCGTTGATGCATCCGTCAAGATGCAACCGAGTCTGTGGTGTAGAGTGATGAAAGTCCGGAATCCCGTACGAATATCAATTACGTGTAAAGAAAGCCATACTGGTAGGTAGCTCCCACTTGAACCCCCTCCCCCCCCTTGTGTGGGATACTCAGATCGTCGCCCTTTAATCTTGCCAAGCAAGAAAAGCCAAGGTCAGGGTCCGTGTTCCCCTTGAGCAAGATCATCCAAGCTCTGGACATCCAGTTCTAGAATTCCTTCTGGAAGGCAATAAGGTTAAGGATTTCTGTGTCACTTAATCACAATGCATCTTTCCCCTGATCGAAATGGCGGGTTGCGGGCTGACATGGTTCGGTTCGCGCTGCCGCGGGACGCGGGTGAGCGTTAATCTCGAGGTTTGATCTTCGCACAAAACTCAATGCCGCTCGTACGTTCGTCCCCTCGCCAGCCAGGACAGAATGATACCTATTCTCTGTATCGACGTTGTCGTAAGGCTGCAGGCTCAACGTCGCACTGCTCGCAAGTGTGGTTTCACTGCACTATTGTGTTGCGCAACCGCGCAATTATCTGAGGGACCCCGTGTTCTTAGTTGGCGGCAGCAAGGGACATGACCAACTGCGCACGACTCACGAGTCACTATATCGCGACTATCGTCGGGTAGGTGAGGAGGTATTTGGATCGCTACTGTCAGTGCTCTCTATACCGAAAAACTAATTTTACCCTTGTTTGAAGTTCGCTAAGCGCAGTGTATGAGAATGAACGGTAGGGGCCTGTACTTGGGTTACATCAGTCGTAGAAATAAACGAAAAAGTCAAAATATAGGAAGATTCAATCTTGCATGAAGATCCGGCCGGTATTTGCCGGAGTCTCACATGTTTGTGCACACGCACCTCGCAGGAGATGACACTCTGCTATCTAGGGCATGTCGCAGTACCATGTACATCTTGCTACATGCTCTGATAGGGATGCTAGGGATGATGGGAAGAGAGGCGGTGAATCCATTCGTTGACATTGACGATGATGCTTTCCCCCACCCCAACCAAACCCCCTTTGGCTCGCCGATAACAAAGACCTTGGCTATTAGGTTCAAAACCTAGTGCTCTGTCAAGTCTTCCCGAACGAGCGCGCGGCAAGCTCGAGCCACAGCCGGTGTAGGTTGGCCCTGGGACTGGGAACAGGAACGTTCAATCTCCATGTATTGTCCACTCAAGGGGTCCTCCTTGCTTTGCTTGCGTGTTGTGAACCTGGTGCTTGGAATCTGCAACTGAATCGCATTTTGGCCTCTGCTGGGTATCGCATAATCATGCAGTTTGTGCCTCGGTGAACGGCGAGAGGGCTTTCACCGTCGCTGGCTGGTTGTGATCCGTCTTCCAAGCGCGCAAGCGCGCCCACTTTGCGACACTCTGGATTTACCGCGGCAAAAAGCCAGGAAAAAGTGTTTTTTTCAGAGTAGCACTCAGCCGTGTCAATCCCATAGGAGGCGGGCAATGACGCGGTTGTGGATAGTAATCAATGTTCATGTTGCTTGCGCAGGAAAAGGGGGCCGTCCAACGGTCAATCAATTGATTGATGTGGCAGCCAACACCAAGCCCCCCCCACAACCTACCAGCCCGCTGGAGGCCCGTCTCTTATTACCTGTGTTCGCTTCACAATTCAATCAAACAGAGTTTGTTTGGCAAAGAAGTAGCTGGGACCTGCATACGCTAGACTCCTAGCGGCCGATAACATTTCGAAGTCTGTTGGACGGGCCGCCATCAGGGTTCGATCCCGGAGACTGGAGATTGGAGACTAAAGTTTGGGAGTTTGGGAGTTTTTGGAGACAAAAGTCGAACCAACGGAGTCGACCCGTCGCCCCGGAGTTGAGAGACAAGACAATGCTCCACCACCCCCATTTCGGTAGTTGAAAGTGGTCGAGACTGTGAACATGGAAAAGAAGGAATGAGGGAGGAGGAAAACGCAAAGTACATTACAGGCAAGGTACGGTCAGCCTAGCCCCGTTGGGGAAGGACGAGGACGTCTCGGTGGAGCGTGTACGTATGCAGACCCCAGAGACTTAGAGAGTTGCAAACTGCTGCAGCTTCATCGGTGGAGAGGAGGCAGAGGGGGGCCCGGACCCATCGATAACGTTCCGCAACCGTCCCGGCAGAAGATCCTTGGGGCTCTTTTACATATGCTGGGTCTGACACAGGTGCAGCGCCTTCTCTCCAGTTTTTTCTGAATCCCCGTTTTGGATCGTGTTGCCAGTTTGGCTGGGGGGGATGCCGTGAGACTGAAGGGCAGGGCCTTTACCATACCGGTGAAGACGACGCCCAATAACTGC